ATGATATATTTTTACCTAGTTAATTACTTAGTAATTTTCTTTCTTAACAATTTATGACTTAAAATTTAGTTAATACATATAGAAAGACAATTAGAAAGGATTATTGGGATTATGTATTAAACAAATATTCATCAATGTTGAACAATGTACTTTTAACATTTTCATAAATGTAATTTAATAGATAGCTTTCTTTTTTTACATCCATACAATATATATTTACACATAGTTTCAATAATTTTATTTATTTATTTCTTTGTAGTTTAATACATTTATATAATAATGATTAAATATTCTTTTTTCTTGTATATATAGGAGTATTTTAATAAAATTACTCATTTAATAGTTCACCATATTTTATATGTAGTTTTAGTATATGTCAATAGTTTTAAAATAAATTAAAAAGGTAAATATATTTTTTATGCTATGTACAACTATTTTAATTCAAATTTTTTTATTCAAAATCAAAATCCAAAACAAACATCACAAGTAAACATACAGTCAGTTTATTATATTATATATAAAAAAAATATTAATATTTTAAAATTTACGTATAAAAAAAAAAAAAATTTATTTATTTACAAAATAAATATACAGCTACGAAGGAGAGGCCGGCGGGCATCCGTATACGGTATTAAATACAGCCATATGTTGTGGTTGTGGATACGTACACATGGCGCACGTGAAATGACGTAAGTGCCCCTTGCCCATAGTCAACCCTAAATGAAATTAATTAAAGCTTAATTATTAAGGTACATGAATATAATATACATATATATATATATATGAATGGTCCACTCTACCCCTAATTCACTGTTTTATTTAAGTGATGACCAAAAATTATTATCTCGAATTATTGTAGTATTACTTAATTAATTAATTAATTATACTTTTATTGGGGTTTGAATTTTGAATTTTGGTAAGTGATAATTTGTGTACTGTGTTTTAAATGATTTTTTTTTTTAAAAAAAAAAATTAAACACAAATCAATACTATATATTTGCTAGAAATATATTATTTTTTAAAAAAATTATTAAAATAAAAAATACAAATAAAAATCAAACAAATCGTAACTTTTCAAGTTTTATTAGTAATTTTAATTTTTTTTTTTTTTAAATATGAAACAAATCTATATGTTATTTGTATGATATTTCATATAATACTTATAAAGGTATATTAAAACACAAACAAACACCTCAACTTGGCCTCAATTGGTTCAATTTGTGCTTTTTACACATCGTATCATAAAGATAAATGTTTGAATATAGTAAATATGGATCATTGGATTTAAATTCAATTCATTTTCGGGACCAAATATGATATTATTTATTTTGAAAATTTTGGGCTAGTTATTTTAATTAAAAAATTTCTAACTTATTTTAGAATCTAATTGTAACAAAAATATATACAATAGTATGTAATGTATTTATAGGTATAAATTTATTTAAATTTTGGATATATGATTGGCTAGGCATTTAAAATATCTAAAATTTCTGAATACTCGACTCAAACTATACAAATCTAAGCTACTCGACCCGGGACAACTCCTAATCTTTAGTATATATAATTGAGTATTGTATAAATAGTGTAGGGATATATAAATCAGTCGAATAATCAATTAATCATGATAATTATAATATAGAAGTATTTTTAAAAATTAAATACTATGTATTCATGCACTTATATATAATTTGTATTTGAGTTTTAATTATTTTTTTAAATATTTTTTTTTTTTGTGAGGAATTTCGACGTTATTCGTAATAATATGTATTGAGATTTCCTTATTTTTGTTGCCCAAAAATTAAGTATATTTGAAGTGTAATCTTATAGGGAAAACATATATATTTAAATTTTTATCTAGTTTTTAATTATACTTTGATTTGGATACAGAATATTATAGTACAATTGATGTTACATATGTGGAATCTTTTCAAACATTTATTTGTTTTTTCTACTTTTGAGAATTTGTTTACTTTGAATTTATATCAGTGTTATACTTTTTAGTTTGATTTTAATAATTGTTAAATGTGACATTTTATAATAAAAATAATACTTCATCCGTCCAATTTCTACTGTTCTAAAGTATATTTGCACAGTTTTTAGATGATTGTCCTTTTTTTTTTTGTTATGAATGGACAAATTTGCCCTTAAATGTATGGTAAAGATTAAAAATAACAAATGAATGAAGGATAAAAATGTAAAATTTTTCTTTAAAAAAAAAAATAGGACAATAGTTGTTGAACGTTTCAAATAGGAAAGTAGGATATTAGTTTGTGGACAAATGGAGTATATTTTATAGAAATTATAGAGTATGTATATATATAGTTGAAAAAATCAAAGTGAACTTAAAAAAAATAAAAAAATAAAAACATTTGCGGCTTAATTAGGGTTGTTCCTTGTGTGTTTTGGTATTGATTTTGTTTTTTCTTATATAAAAAATATAAATATAATATATAACATAATCCTCCCTCCATCCCACATACAATGTTCACATTGCCGTTTCTGTCCGTCCTACATACTATGTCGCTTTTCTTTTTCGGAAAATGATTATACACTTTAATCTCATTTTAAATTTTTAAAATTTATTTTTTTTAATTTTAATTAAACTAATTAGTTATCTTAATCTTAATTTATAATTATTTATATTATAGGATAATTATTTTCACTAATACATTCTTAATTATCTACTAATTATACCGCTCCTGAAATACCGTGTCTACAGTGTAGCAAACACGGCATTTGGGACGGAGGGAGTATATTACAATACATGTTTCTATAACATCAAAAATATTATCTAAAATGTTAATTACTTCGAAATAGTATACTAAGTTGGTCAAATCAGTGGGATCCTACCCTCTATCTGATAACTTACTCGTATGCTTTTCAAAACTCTTCATTTCATATTACAATTAACTAATATAATAATTTCTCTATTTTAACTGAAAAAAATATTATTTTTATTATTTTCGTTTGTTCTATTCAAAAATATTTATTTTTATTATAGTAAAAATAATAATATACAAATACTGAAATACATTTATTTTTTTATATAAATTAAAAAGATATCATTACACATATACATAAAGTACATACGACGAAAATATGAAAATTATTTTACATATTTTGATTAAGTAATAAAATATTATTATTATTTTATAATTTATTATAAAAATTTAAAATAATATATTTATTTGAGGCGAAAAGAGTATTATATTATTAAAACTCATCTCCAATTCAAATAAACATAAATTTTTTGAACAAAAAAAAAAAAAATACAATACATATAAAGAAAATTATAAAGTGAATATATATATATATATACAAAATATATGCATGCATTCGCCATCCATAATCTACCTTTATCAGATGTTTAAATATTTTATATACTTCGTGTCCGTCGTTTAAACATGTAATAGAGTGTGTTTGTTCTGTATTTCTAATATGAATATTATTTATTTATTTTGTTCTGTATTTCTAATATGAATATTATTTTTTTTTTTTTTTTTATGGTATGTATATGAAAGTGTGTCGTCAATATAAAAAATTATAATTTGTATTAAAATTATTGACTTTTTTGAATTAATAGACTATATATTATATATTTTATGTGAATATATATTATATTTTTTATAATAGCATCAAATGTTTTTTAGAAAAACACACTATAAACAAATAGGCCGCGGTTATTGTATTGATTGAAAATTTTTAGTATAATATTGACAATATATAGCAAAGAGATAATCAATTAAACACATAATATGTTAAATAAAATTATGCAGTTGCGCTATTTTTATGGGAGATTGTGTTGTACTTGATCATCATGTCTGTTATTCGTTTTATGTTAATATAATATAAATATAACATATAAACTAACAATATAATTTGTAATTGATTTCAATACAATTTAACATAGTACATGATGTATTAAAAAATAAATTATTCTGATTATATTATATATGCATTTAATAAAAAAGAAATAACATAATTAGTTCTTTTTTTTTTTAAGAAAATATATATATATATATATATATTTTTTTTACATATATGAGCACATAATCTAAATTTGAAAATAGTAATAAAATTTTTTCCCATTGAAAACAATCAAATGTCCACACCAATATATGTGTATAAAGAAGAATAAAGACATAAAAGCAGCGCCTTTTCCGGTTGCAAAAACAAGGGCCACGATGCGGCCCTTTCGACACGTGGCACCACACCAACTGTAGGATCCTCATGCAAGAAAAAACACAACCATACAACACACTCCGGATTAGTATTCACAGAATCAGAAAATTTACCAGACATTTATTTTACAATAATAATAATAATATAAATGGATCTGACCCAACTCACACAATATCTGTGTTATGAATAATATTAGTCTTTTCATTATGGAAAATTATGTAATTTTAGTCGACTATGAAAACTAAAAAATAATAATATTAAAATAATCAGGTAAAAAATAAATAATGATATTATAAAATTTATATTAATTAATGGATAAAAAAATAACGGAGTAATTAATGGTAAAATTATTATAAGTATTTATTAAATTAAGAGTAATATAAAATTATTGATTGATAAAATATTTTGCTATAAATAAAAATGTGCATAAATTAACTTATAACAAAAAATACTTATATAATTTTGGCAGACATGAGAGTATTTACCTTAGTGTTGACACATTTGTTAATGAGGTTACCGAATGTGTTTTCATTTTGTAAGATAGTTATTTTTTGATATAAAATATAAAAAATAATAATTTTTTATAATATATTAATTTTTTTTTATATATTTTTATAAAAAATACACATATGTCAATATATCATATCCAATATATACGAAGTGTTACTTAAAAATATTTATTATCTGTTTTTTTTTTTAATCCACTAATTGGTGCTGATTTATTCCAATTTGCAATCGGTCCCCATATGTGTGTATATATATATATATATATACATACACACAGAGACACACAATTAATATATATGTATATATGAAAGTTGAAAAAGGCTGAGAAGGTGCAGAAAGTTTCACAGTGAAGGAATGAGAGTAGCGTTGAATGCTGTAAATGGTGGTTTGGGGATAAACGGAAGCTAATTTATAAGCTTTGTTGAGATCATCCATGGCGGCGTGCCAGACACCCTCTAATTAATGCCAACAACACAATTCAATTCAATTCAGGAACAACAAGAACAAGCACCAGAATCGGAGACGACTGGATTCGATCGATTTATTATATGCCCATAAAAAGTGAGTCGTCTTCTTCCTAAAACCCTAATTAAAGCTGCCACAAACCCCTTTTTCTCTAATCCATTTTGCAATCCCTAATTTTTAGGGTTTGTTCTTCATCCAACGCATGCAATTAGCTCCACCCCATTCCCAATTCTCAATCGATTTCCAGAAATTGTGTGCCCCCAAATCCATAATTCGAGAATTTCTGAAATTCGACGAAGAAAAATCCCCAATTCGATTGTTCTTCGTCGTCCCCCGTTGGAGTTTGTTTGTGCTATGGATTGTGGCTGCTCGCGATTGATTCCGGAATGGCAGGTTTTTTCTCACTAGGCGGCGGCGGCGCCGGCGGAGGAGGGAGGACCGGCGGCGGCGGCGGCGGTGGCAGCAGTAACCCCGATCAGGAGAGCAGCAGCCACCACAACGACATCAATCCAGAGAGCTGGTTTCTGTTCAGAAATGAGGAAATTCCGTACCGTGGATTCGAGCTATGGCAGCCACAGCCGCCGCCGCACCACCACCACCACCACCACCACCACCACACTCTCCAGGCGGAGAACTTCCTGCAGCGCGGCGAAGGCAGCGTCAATCCGCTGCAGGATCTCGGCGGCGGACTCGCCGTCGGCCCCAGCCGCGGCGGCGCCACCGCCTTCAACGGCTCTCCGAGATCGGGATTTCTGATGATGCGCAGCAGCGGCGGCGGCGGAATCAGCTGCCAAGACTGCGGCAATCAGGCGAAGAAAGACTGCGCCCATATGAGGTGTAGAACTTGCTGCAAGAGCCGAGGGTTTCAGTGCCAGACGCACGTGAAGAGCACGTGGGTTCCCGCCGCTAAACGCCGGGAACGGCAGCAGCAGCTGGCGGCGCTCCAGCAGCAGCAGGACAACCACCGCGAAACCTCCGCCGGAAAACGTCAACGAGCTGAGAATAATAATAATAATAATAATAATACTAATAATCCGTCGGCTTCGAATTCCCTCGCCTGCACAAGAATTCCTCCTGCGTCAGGTAAATTTTAAATTTACATATACAATGATTTCGATTCGATTTGATCCAATTTCTTGACAGATTAGATGTTTTTTCATTACAACTGTTACTTGGTCTTCGTCTACATGACACCAATTCCGATTTCCTGTCCAATCCGATCTGAATTCCATCGAAAAAGGAAAATTCGAAATTCTCACTTTGATTTCTGCCCCAAATTTCTTTCTTGTCAAAGGAACTGTTTTTGGGTATTCTTGACAGGATAATCACTGTTCCAATTTTCCCCCAAAAATTAGGGTTTTTTTATGAACTAATTTTTTGCGGTATGTAATTAGGGTTAGAGATTGGGAATTTCCCGTCGGAGGTGAGTTCGGCGGCGAATTTCCGGTGCGTGAGGGTGAGCGCCATTGACGACGCTGAAGATCAGTACGCGTATCAGGCGGCGGTGAACATCGGCGGCCATGTCTTCAAAGGGATACTTTACGACCAAGGGACGGAGAGTCAGTACATGGCGGCGGCGGCGGCGGGGGAGACTTCCTCCGGCGGAGGAAGTGTCAGCGGCGCCGCCGGAGTTCAACAGCTCAATTTAATCACTGGTCCTTCTGCAGCAACCGCCACCTCCGCCGGGGATAATTCCGGCGGCGCCGCCGCCGCTGCCGGTGGGTCGGGTTTTCTTGACCCGTCTTTGTATCCAGCTCCGATTAGCAGCTTCATGGCCGGTGCGCAATTCTTCCCACCCCCAAGATCCTGAAATTATTTTTAAAAAAAGAAAAAGAAAGAACATCAAAATCAAAATCGAATTAGAGATTCAGAAAAATTAATTAATGATTAAATCGGTTCATTTAGGATTTTGATGTTTCTGTAAGAAATGAAGACAACATAGGATTGATAATTATTACAAGCTGCTTCTGCTGCTGCTGCTGTTGTTGTGTTGTAAAACTCTGTTGAGGTTAGAAGATGAGAATCCATATGTATATATATATGTATGTATATATATATATATATATGTGATATGGATCATCATCGATCATCAATTACATTTGAAGGGACTTTTTTATTTTATTTTATTTTTGTAATCACATTTGATTTAAATTTTCAGTTAATACATATTTCTGTTTATTCCTCATTTTTTATGTATGTATATGTTACACTTCTTGCTTTGATTCTTTGCATTACATTAGGGTTTGCTTGTATATGTTTGGGGAAGAGTTTTAGGTTGATTTGAAAAATAGTATAAAAATTAAATAGAAAATAAATATTGGACGTCGGATATTTAAATAAAAAAAATAAATTTTGAGTTGTATATATATATATTTAAGAAAATAGTAATTTTTGTAAAACAAGTTTGAAAACATATATATATATATATATATAGATATATAAATAAACAAAAAGTTGCTTGGTTTTGGTTTCAAACGAATCAAAATCATTATTGTTCATTTTGTATGATATTCAATAAAAATTTATTATTTTTTCTCATAAAATAATTATTATAGAATATTATTAAATAAAAATTCAAACTAAAATCAAAATTAATAAAAGCTTTGGAGTTTTTTTTTTTAAATAAAAGAAAAATAAAAATAAAAAATTAAATGAATTTCAATACTAGTCAATAGAAAAGGCAACTCCCTTGTGATACACCGAATTCGGCTAGGTTATTGATGGAATGAGTAGATCGTCATTTCTTGAAATTTCTCTTATGATCTTATATAACGGCAATTACTTAAATACAATTACTTCAAATGCATTTGGATAACATCTTAAATTTTATATAGTTTTCAATAAAAATATAAATATTTTTTCACATAAAATATTTCATTAAAATACTATTTATATAAAAAGTCAAATTAAAAAAATACAGTTTTAAATCAAAAACAAAAAAAAAATAATAATAATTTCTTTTCTTAATCCTTAATATTTTTAGTATTATGTAACTTCACACTTTCATAGTAAAATTGCAATAAACATCTAGTACATATGATAAATGACCCCTCTTTTCTTTTAATTATCATAATAGAAAAATATATCTCACATATATCACTATTTCGCGATTTTTGTGCTCTGGCCACACGTAAAGTTCACGATGGATACAATTTCACGCGCACGAAATAGAATTGTGCTATGGAGTACAAAAATTGCGAAAAAAATAATACTTGTGGAATATATTTTGCTAAAGTAACAATTAAAAGATAAGAATGATAATCGCTCGAAATTACACCATTCTTATATTCAAAATTACACAAGATTTGCACGATTAATCTGAAACGACCAAACGAACCAGTTAATGATATATTATTTTATCCATCAGAGATCATTTGGGGCCCTAAAATTTCTAAATGCTAAAAAAAATGTCACTTATTTTCAGATTCAAAATTATACACATATTGAACATAATTTGCACGGTTTATCCAAAATGATCAAACAAAATATAAACTTATTTTTAGACCAATTATCACCGGTTACAAAATACAATTAATTTATACTAAAAACTAAATGCAAACACATACTACAAAATAACAAACCTTGAGGTCTTTTTCTTTAAGGTTTTTTTTTTTTAAAAAAAAAAAAATTACTATTCCATTTCTTTGTTTTTTTTTTTTAAAATAAAAGTATATTATTTTAAAAAAATAAAAAAAATTACATTAAATTATGATTTAAACCAAGATTCAAATTTAAAACTCAAATCCAAATCTTAAAAAACACACACAAAGTATTTTTGGTGCATGTGTTTAAAACATATATAAATATATATATTTACATTTATATGATCAACAGCATATGGAATTTTCCCAATAATCATATCTCGATGTGGAAAAAAGGGAATGACCTCTCTCTCTCTCTCTCTCTCTCTCTCTCTCTCTCTCTCTCTCTCTCCCCCTCAGTCTCTCTCTCTCTATAATATATATAAATATATTGATATGACATGTTTTCCATCAGTTGGCAGCAGATATTCGAAATGAATATGCACATAAAAAGGAATAGAAAGAATTTAATTAATTGAATTGAATTGAAGCAGACGATGTATATATATATATATATATTTGGATTAAATTAATTTAAAATGGCTGCTGCAGCAGGTGCATTTATTTGTTTCTTTACCAAAACTTGAATCTTCTCTTCGAAACAATAATCATAATAATATATATAAAAATAAATATGAAATGAATGTCACTGTATGCATATAATTAAAAGGGTGCCTGTGAATCACACAGAATCGTTTGGAATTTTTTCTTGTTTTAGAAAATATATACACATCTTCATCATATCATATGTATACAGTATATATATATATATAAATAAATAAATTGTGACATCTTCCTTAATTTATTCTGCTTGCTTCAGATCAAATTCAATTCTTCTGCAATAATAATGGATTATATTTATATTCCTTGTCTGATTTGAATTTAATAAATCTCCGCATTTACTGAAAGCAACAATTTTTAGGACAGCATTCAAGAAATGCTGGAAAATGAAGATGCATGCATGCATGCAAGAATTATTATTATTATTATTATTATTATTATTATTATTATTGTATGTGTAGCTTTTAATAATCTTGATGGCTGTAGATATCATTATGGGACACTTGTTGTGCTTACACACACTCATGTACATATATATATATAAATATGTATATTTATAGAGAGAGAAAGAGCAGGAGAGAGAGAGAGAGCTCTACTTGTCTCTTGAAAACATTACAAGAATAAATTCAGATGTTATAAATTATGATGCATTTTGTGCTTTCATTTATTTATTTGCTTGCCTTAATTAATAATACTCAATAAATGCTTATAGGAGTTGTTCATACAAAGAAATGACATTTTATATTTTTATTTATATATACACATTGTGAAGAAATTTAAAGTTATGCTTCATATATTATAACAAAGTCAATAAGCGTATGTTTGGTTGTGGGGTAACTTGGATTGTACCATTTTTTTTTTTTTCATAAACAATATTAAATTAATTTTTAATTTTTATATTATACTAAAATTAATTTTATATTCAAAATATGATATCAATTTATATTTATATTATTAAATAATTATTTTAATTTAAAATTTTACTATTTGAAATCTCACATTTAACTTCAAAACTCACAATCCTTAAATACATAAACTCTCTTATCTCAAAAAGTTGAAATTAATATTTTGATTTAAAAATATTTTAATATGATATTTTATAAAAGAAAAATAATAAATTTTTATCAAAAAACCGTGCAAGAGTGAATAGTGTAGAAATTGCTTTGAAAAAAAATAAAATAAAATTAGGATATGTTTTTTTGGGGGTTTTTTTTTTCCCAAATATACTATTTATCTTTTTTTTTTTCAAAAAATATCAAATATATTATATAAAAAATTAATTTTACATTCAAAATATCACATCAACACCTATTTATATCACATCATACAACTATTTAAATTCAAAATTTTTACTGTTCAAATTTCAACTCAAAATTCAAACCTCCAAACAAACACACCCAAATGTAATACTATCACTATTCAGTTTCAGTGTATTTATTTTGTCATTTTAGTGCACTCATTCTTAGGGTGTGTTTGTTTGGGAGTTTGAATTTTGGATTGGGATTTGAATAGTAAAAACTTTGAATTTAAATAGTTGTATGATGTGATATAAATAGGTGTTGATACGATGTTTTGAATGTAAAATTTATTTTTAGTATAATATAAAAAATGAAAAATAGGTGTTTGATTTGATGTTTTTGGGGGGAAAATTTTGGATGAATAATAGAATTTTGACAAAATCCTACAACCAACACACCCTTAATGTATCCATTTTTTTAAATAATTATACTTTTTATTTAAATAAATAAATAAAAATGCTTTGACATTTTATATAATATGACAAAGAATGCCATTATAAAATAAATGAGTTAAGGATTTAAATATTTTTTTTATTTTTATACAGTGTTATTACCTATAATACCAATATTCTAAAATTTATACGCAAAAATTAAACAGTTATATTAAGATTGGAGAAAGAATATTTTAACTGAAAGTTAGGTCTTAAATAGAGTGAAGACCAAGTTCACGTACTAAAGATTGTAGGTTTTAGATTTGATTTTCAATATTTATAATTTTTTTTTTAAAAAATATTAAATTAAATTATTTTTTATTTTCATATTACAAAATATCAAATCAATATTTATTTATTATACTAGTAATTATTATAATTTAAAATATTATTATTTTAACCTCAAATATAATTTCAAACATACCACCAAACACAAGTTACATATATGGGTTGATTTATGTAACGTTATCTATTTATTTATTTTTGTGGGAGATTGGGTGTTGGATTATGATGCTATGAATAAAAACAGTTATTGAATTAAATATTTAAAAATGAAAATACTGCATATATATTACTCTTAAAACAAAAGTAAATAAATGGTGTTTTAAATTGTTTAAACACTAGTAAAATTTAAGTGGAAAAATAAATAAATAATGTAACTTTTTGTGTAATTTTAAAATAAAAGTATATAGACTTTATATATATATATTCATAAAATATAAAAAAAAAATTGGAAAATAATTAATATTTCCAAATAGTATAAGAATATTGGATAACGTGCGATTGAATTCCTACAGTGAAATATACTAATATACTATAATAATATAATAATTAATATTAGTTTCCTCGAGCAACAAAACATGTAGGAAAGGCATCCCTCCTATCATATGGTACACTATTCCTGCACCCTATCTATATATTTAAATTCACTTGTTATTATTTATATAATAATAAAAAAATTATCCGAAAAATATCAAGTGAGGTATTTATTTGTTTTTGTTTTACATTTAAGTATTAAATTAATATATATTTATATCATATAAAATAATTATTTTGATTCAATATTTTACTCCATTCGTTCAATTCTAAGGGTCATATTTATATTTTGCATCATTGTACTTAATATTAAAAATATTTTTATAGTTGTATAATATTTTGTACAAATGTTTTTGTATTAGTATCATAAGATACTAATTGAAATATTTTTGTAATTATATTTTTTTTTAATTTGTATTACGTTTTGATATAATAATTAATATTCAAATATTAACAAGTAAAAATAAATGAGACCTTAGAGCCAGATAAATGTAGTATTATTTGTTGGGGACTCATAAATTAATGATACATTCATTTTGTACTTCCGACATTATATCAGAGTCTTAGGTCTCGAGTTCGAATTCTAAAATATAGATACATGTTTGATTTATGGTTTTGAAGGGAATTTTTTTTTTTGGGTGTTCTTGTTCGAGGTTTGGATTTTGAGTTGAGATTTGAATAATAAAAAATTTGAATTGTAATAGTAATATGATGTGATATAAATAGAGATTAATATGATATTTTGAATGTAAAGTTCATTTTTAATATAATTTTTTAAAAAATAAATATTTGATTTGATATTTTTGAAAAAAAATAGTGAATAATAGAAATCCTGTCAAATTTTTCAAAGGAACAAACACTATAAGTATTAATAAATTTGGTAAAAAACTAAAAACAAACAGAGCTTTAGGTGTATTTAGTTTTGTTTTTGTTTGTATTTTAATAGTTATTATATTATTATTTTTTTAAGATAAAATAATATATTTTATGTAAATAATTGTGATGGTTAAATAAAAAAGAAAGAAAAAAAGAATCTCAATTATCAAGCATAATAAAGCAGTAAAACCAGTAGTAATAATATGAATAGGCTACTCCATTTTCAATCAAGCAAAATAATTACATTTTATTTAATAATATTTCAATTGTGATTAATTTACATGCACATATGAATACATTAATTAATTATTATTATTATATATATATATTAAATATTGGAAAGATATACGTATTATATATTTATTCAAAAAGTTGAATGATTAGTGTCCGTAAATGATAGTCTGGTGGTGCGGAGTCGGACTTGTGACCGTGAGATTATTTTATAGAAAATTTTGAAGTTCTTGAATATTTTAAAAATTGTAAAAAAATGATTATTTGATGTGATTTTTTAGTATTCACGAATTATATCAAAACTTTGACTATTCGGCAGCAATTTTTATTTTATTTTATTTTATTTTATTTTATTTTTTGACTATTCGACAGCAATTTTTTATTTTATTTTTTAACAGCAATTGAATATGAATTGATGAGCAATTAGGGTTTGTATTATTATTGTAACACTATCACATGCATTGGAGGCTACAGAGTACAGACAACAACTTAAGGTTGTGTTTGTTTGCTCATTAATTACTCTTATAATTATATATATATATATATATATAGTATACTATTAACTAATTCATCTAATTTTTACACTGAATAATTTAATTTGTTCATTGAAATTAAATTGATTTGATAAGTGAATAATTAATTGAATAATGGGTGTATTGTACTTCCCTTTTAATTTAATTATTTATTTCGCTGCATGCATTATTGAATATGATGCAATTGTTAGTGAAATTATTTAGGGATAAATGATATATGTATTTTTTATTCATTAGTGTCATTTATTATATCATTTTGGATTATATATATTTTTATAAAATATTATCACAAAATTCAAAAATTTCTGCAACTTATATACTTGCACGAATAAAACTTAAATTTAAATTTGTACGTACATATATAGTACGTGGCAGACTTTGGAGGGGCAAACGTGCTTCAGCCCCCACCCCCACCCCCCACATTAGATTTTTCGTCACTAATTATATATATATATATATAGGTTGAATTGATATATGTGCAATGATCATTTTGAAATGAGTGGATTGAAGTTCATGTGTGTATTGTATGTATTATTATTGTCCGATATGCATGCATGCATGCATGCATGTGATGTGTTTTTTAATTATGTGAATTATATATATTAAACACACTCAATTTTCAATCTCATGAAAAACCCTTTTAGTTATTTTTATTTTTTTTAAGAAAAAAAAAATAAAATTTATGTATTAGTTTGAAATTGGAAATATTCGTGATTAATCCCAACCATAGGCTGTCTTGAGACATTGAAACAAAGATATTGAATAACGTGTGTTGTGTGTTGTGAGTTGTGACAAGTGAAAATGACCCAAAGTAGATAATAATTATTGCCATTCCAATTGCATTGTTTCCTCAATAATATATATATATATATTGAAATAATGGCATGTTCGAAAATTTGATTGGCACAAAATAAATATACTTGAGCCTAAAAAATAAGTCCGTAAAGTTTTTGAAACCGTGCGAATCCGACAAAACAATGAACCAGACTATGCTTAGGTCTACTAAGATCGAACCGTGTAGAGCCAATCAGGTTTAGTGAATTTAATATATTTTTATATATTATTAAAAAATGAATGCATATAAAAAATAGAAATATAATCTATTTATTTAGTTCTTATTTTACTAGCACTAACTCCAAGGTTCAATTCTCACTTTGAATAAAAATGGACCGATAGCCCTAAATTGTCACATTTCATTACTTTAGAAGTTCTTACAATTAGTCCCACTTATATTATTTCACTTATCTTTTAAAATTAGTTCAAATTTATACACCAATATAATATATATTTTCCTTAATCAACTCTAAAAAGACAAATAAAACACTTTAGGTGAAACATTATTATTTTCTCCATTATTTCTTTTCACAAAGTGTCATCAAATTACTAAATAGTTGTTGATGTAATTTTTCAACAAAAATAAAGTAAAATTCAAAGATATAGAAAATATCTTTAAACTTGATTAATTAGTGGCTGAGATTAGGAATCTCTAAACACTGTATGGTACAGAAAATAAACTGGAAAATAAAAGACTGAAATTTAAAGTGGTGATCCCCAAATCTGACTTTGCTTTGTTGAAGTTGATTGAAGATGCCTTGCCAAATGATGATCCAAATCCTTAAATATTCTTTGAAGAAAACGTTCAGAACCGTCGCACTGTTTCACCAACCGTTCCCACCAGTTACAGAACTCAGAACTGCCTCTTTCATTGACACATGTCTTTAACCGCCTCGCCAACCGCATAACCCAACGACCGACCAACCGACCAATCTAGATACATAATTGGTCGCCAGATCAAAAGACTCACTGGTCGCCCCATCAAACGACCACTATTTGGTCTCTTCAATCGTCTGACCTATCAACAGACCTTTCTTCGCCCGACTTCCTTTTTCGACTGACCCCCATAGCAGCCAACCTTTGTATCAACCGACCCATTTATCCGACTGCGGATAATCCGACCTGTTTGCCCGACCGCGGACCATCTGACTTGCTTATCTGATTGAGAACCAACCGACTGAGAACCCACCGACTGACTCTGGATACCTTATTATTATTATTATTATTATTATTATTATTTTTTGTGCGTAACAATAGTATATGAATTACAACTAAAAAAGAATTTTAATTTCCTAAATAAAAAATATATATAAATTAAAAGTAAAATATACTCTGTTTATCAGTCTATAAGATTCATATTACCTTTGTCATAATGGTATAATTTTTTTTTTTTTTTTTATCAAAATAGTACTTTTACAATTTTTTTTAACTTGTACTATATTTAAAAATAAATAGTAAATAAAATATTTAAAATCGGACAAAGTATTACTTCTTTCGTCTCACCTAGCATATCCGATTATCGTAGATATAAAAGTTTAAAATAAATATAATTAATAAATAATTAAAAATATATTAATAAAAATAATTATGATGTAATATAAATAATTATCATTTTGGATTATATATATAAAAATTAAAATAGTTAAGCTATGAGATGTTTGAGAAATGGAAAGGACGGTGTGACCGGAGAGAGTATTTCAAATTATTCCCAAATTACAAACCCTAATTTACTCCAGCCCGCCGCTCGCTCACCCGTTCTCTCCCTCAGCATCCGACCGCCGCCGCCGTCGATAGTCGCGCCGCCTTCGCGTGGCCGCAGTTCCACCGCCGGCGTTCGTTCCCCGTCCAATCTGCACGCACCCGGACTCAGGCCACGCCACCCCGTCGGCCGCCTTCGCCCGCCTCTCCTTCCACCGTTCGACCGCCCGCCCAGTTGGAGCTCCACCCGGTAAGTTTGTGTTTGTTTTCACCGCTGAGACTTTTGGATTTATCGATTCAGTAGGCTCGTTTCAGTAGAATTTTGGATTCATCGATTTATTTTCACGGTCGGCTCCATACATTCGTCTGCATTTTCCACTAATTGGTGGTCTGAGAGCGTTGCGTTGTAAGATTCAACAACAGTGTCCGAGACCTTAGGTGAGGGGAAAACAGAGAATGTCATCATCATCCTGTCGGGATACTCTTCTCTGATCTTGGAGATCAGCAGAGTTCCCATTCCTGATCTCGTGCCTCCTCCGACTGAATGGCACAATTTGAATCCTGTAAATACAGAAAATTAGTTTCGTAGCTAAAGGTTGCGTAGACTGCTAGATTTGAGTGTCAGGTGTTACCTTGTAGCAGTCACAGTTCTCTGCTTCCTTACGAACAACGTCGATCAATTCAGCTCCTTCAGTGTAATGCCCCTTTGCCCAATTGTTTCCCGCACCATTTTGCCCGAACTCAAAGTTATCAGACCGAAATATTTTCCCATATGGTCCAGTCCGTAGGCCGTCCATAGTCCCCGGTTCCAGATCCATAAGCACGGCCCGTGGGAGATATCTCCCTCCACTAGAAAGGCTTATTATTCATACTTCTGTGCGTTGGGTACAAACGATGAAATTAACATAGAAATGATAGTAAATAATAGAATTGTAGAGATAGAATGAGAATTAGTTTCTATATGTTAAAATTGATGATTAAATTGTAACATAGAAATGCAACAATAGGGATGAATCAATCAAAAGAAGATTATAGGTTTGGGAAAGGAAGGATTTTAGTAGAGTAGAAAACCGTGGAAAAGAAATTTGATTGTGGTTTGAAATTGATTTGAAATAGAGCGTTGCTTTGAGTATTTGTTTAAATACTAGTACTATTATTTTGATGTGATGTTTAGAGAAAATAATGTATTTTTATTGGAAACAGTGCTAAGTGAATAGTAATTTTTTTATTTTGGTTTTGGTTTTGATTTTGATTTTTAAGTTGAATAATAATTTGAATATGATGTTTTGTGGAGAATATAATGTATATTTATAACAACTTATGAAAAATGAATAGTAAAAAGAAATCAATAAATTACCAAATGAAAATACTCTGTATTTCTAATTTATTGTGTCTATTTTCTATTTTGATTTTTTTGGCTAAGACAAACAAGATAAATGAGATATTTCCATTTCTCTGTACTAAAAGTTTCAATTTTTTATTTTTTTATGGAAGTTTGCTATGTCATAATTGTCCGTTTCTGAAGTTGAATCCTTGTTAAAAATTTCAAAACAATGAAGCTAATGTATGCACAAGGTGATGTAGCTGCAATTTATTTGGAAGTTGTTATCTAAATAAATCTCTTTCGATTCGCCATTTTGATGTAGGCTTAGTAGCGCTTCAATATGAGAGAAGAAGACATAAACCGGTGCCAAATTCAGGACTGGTACCCGAAATTCTCGTCCGTATCCATCAAAACCATAATCCACGAGCTTCCAGAGTCCTTCATCCAATACCTTCTCGATGATTCCGGAACCTTCCTGCTCCCGCATTCAATAACTAACGACGATGCCCTGCCGAACCGAGTCCATAAACCCGAAGATGAAGAAGATTTTGTCGCATTGGAAGGATCTGAAAACGAAGCAGAGGAACCGACGCTGCCGCCGTCTTTCCCCGAACTAGAAACCGCAGTTAAAGCTTCGATCGAATCCCTAGGAGGCGCAGTTTTTCCTAAGCTCAACTGGAGCGCTCCCAAAGACGCAGCCTGGATCAGCTCAACCGGGAATCTCAAATGCACCAATCTCGCCGAGATCGCGCTCCTTCTAAAATCATCCGACTCGATTGTCCACGACCTTTGCCATGCCTATGACTCATGTGTCGACAGCAAGACTTCATTGAGGCCCGCAAAGTTTTGCCTTGCGCTCCGAAAATGGCACCCCTCGTTAAAGCCCGAGATGGAATTCCGTTGCTTTGTGCGCAGTAATGTCCTCTTGGCCATTTGTCAGCGCGAGGTTACCAATTTGTATCCGGCCCTTATCGAGAGAATAGCTGACTTGAAGGCCAGAATTCACGACTTTTTCCTCGAGGAGGTGAAAGGGAGTTTTGAATCCGAGAGGTATACATTCGATGTTTATGTTAGAAAAGATTTTCGGGTTAAGCTTTTGGACTTCAACCTGTGGGGTGCCCCGACACTTCCTTTGCTATTTACATGGGATGAACTGGAAGAGATGCCGATGTCTGGATCAGGGGACGGCGAATTGGAATTCAGGATTGCCGAGAACCGGTGTATTCGGCCGGGGCTGAAAACTGCAGTCCCTTTTGATTATTTAGATACGAGCCCTGGGAGCGGATGGGATCAGTTCTTGAAGAATGCTGAGGAGGAACTGAAGCACCAAACTTCAGGTACTTCCTGACTTCAACTTTGATTTCAATTTTAGGGTACCATTGATGTGCTGATGGTATATGTTTTTAGTTTAGATATGGGCCCCTTCATGGTTTGGAGAATATAGAAATGATATACTTGAATTTGAATCCAGTCTTAATTAAAAAATATTTAAGTTTATTCTCTCTTTCTCGTGCACCTGCAATTCTTATTTTTCATTTCAATTTATCTTTTACTCCCTTGTTTCGATGACCGCTCCGATTCGAACTGAACTGCCTGTTTGGAACTGACCGCGCAAGTTTGATTAATAAAATTTTAAAAGTAACGAGACAACAAAAAAAAAATGATTTTCTTCCCTTCTAATTGTACTGATTATGGAGCCTAGTGCAACAGCGGTGGCGTCCCTATCCCTGCCACCGCCGCCGTCAATTTCTTTGTTCAGTCGCTCATCAGGTACATCTCTCTCATTTCCATGGAACTACTTCCTGCACTCTGTTATGTTACTTCTAAGTTGTTTCTGCATTTGGATTTTCAAATCCTGTGGATTTAGAATATTTTCGATTTTTTTTCAAATGTAGACCTACTTGATGTCCAATTCCCAATTTATCTATACTGGTCGGCGCTCACTCAACTTCATCATCTTCGCCTTTTTTTTTGTCCCGATAAAGAACAATGAATCACTACCTTATGATTTTCCTTTTAATTGTGTATTTATTTCCTTGTACCTATTCAAATCCTGTAATTTATTACCCTTTGTTCATTATAATGCAAAGGCTATACACATTCATCATTGTATGCTGACAGAATCTAACATGGAGCCATTAGTAATTACAAAAGGACGGTATACATATGTACATGATGTCAAGAATGGCGGATCCAAAGCCATAGATGTTCATCATATCATTCATGCAAGAAGCAGTGCAAGTATTCTTATGTTTTGCAGATATGCTATTCTTTTGAGCATCTTGTGCATAGTTGTTGTGTTATACTTGCAGGTATATGTTGTAGTCTAATCGGGCTTCCTTTTTTTTTTTTTTTTTTAAGTGAATGCTAGCAATTGTTATGCCTATAATGATACATTTTCATTGCTAGATTCTTGATAGATTTGAGCTCAGTGTTGTAATGTTTTCATGCCTTCATACTTCACAATCTATATTTCAATCTTCGTAGTCAAGACTCAAGCTATATGTTTAGGAGTTTATGCTATCAGTTTTTTTTTGTTACAATCTCATGAAACTTACTGGCAATATCTTTTTTCCTGGAATTTTGGATGCTTCGTAGTTTTAGTTTGTACATCTGTAGATGTCATGACAGTTAGTTCCATATTTATTTGAGAAAGTAAAAATTTGAAAAATGAAAAATGCAAGGTATGGTTATGCCCATCTGAAAGCTATAGCATGTGCCTACAGGTTGTATTGATGTTTTTTCTTGTCTAAAATTCCCATAAATATTAACTGTGAGATGCTTTTCGTGTATTCTCGTTATCTAATGCATGTTTTAGGTCAAACCATTCTTATATTCTATGTTATGTTTCAGAACATGACTGGTTTCTGCTAACTTTTGAAGCAGGAGAAGTTTGCTATTAATGTTATCTGGATCCTTATCGTGGCTGGTTTATTTTTAAGACAATTTGAGAGAAAGAAGGTTGAGAAAGGTGAGGAGTTGAGTAATAAATGCATCTTTGTCCTCAAATATTTGAACTATAATCATAATTGGGTGAATGTACATCTCTTTTAATGTCCAAGTTTGATGGTGGTTGCTTTGCCTGTCATCTGGCATTCCAGAACTCAAAATGATTGTGTTTGTATAAAACACTGATTTCTTTAAATCTTTTTTTACATTCCTTTGTACCCAATAACTTTCGGATTCTGTTTGTGAATCTTCTTTTTATATCACCCTTTACCAATATATATTGTTTAACATTTTCTATCCCATCACATGTAACGTAATATTGTATCCAAAACTTGACTGAGCTTGCTTTGATCCTTAACTGTTTCTGTAATTATGCTGGGAGCTAGCGTACATATATGGAGATTATTTCCTGAAGTGCAATTTTATTTTTTAGCTAAATGACACTGGTCTGATTAGCTGAAAAAGTTTAGCGGAAATAAAAGGATTATAGTTGGTGTTAGTAAGATATTTCCTTTCATCGTTTCTTAAGTTATGACATTTTGTTTTTTATTTGTCTAACAGAGACGGTTACAATTTTTCCAACATTCGGGGTGCAGCTTCAAACATCTTACAGAGGGTAAAACACTTTCTTTTAATTCTCTGCGGAATGTACTGATTTTGCTTCTTCATGGTTTATAATGGCTGGTGTAATACGTTTCAAGACATGGACCTTATCAAAGTGTAGAACATTAATTTCATAAATTAATGAAGTATTTATATTACAAAGTAATCCCCAATAAAGTGAAAAAAACATAAAATCCCTTTGACATTACAATATATTAGCTATGTGACTTCTTTAAGATTAACTAATATCCTAGATCTTCGATATGTTAGAAAGTTGTTTTAGAGATTGGACAAAATACTAAATGCATAAAACACAGTGATTGAAGTGAATGATATCATAGCACAAGGTTACGTGGTGGAGAAGAATAAAAAAACCAAACCATGACAAATTTCAAAATTATTCAATGGAAGAACAACTATATATTGAAAGAGATTTAAAATGTGAAGAACCAAATAGCGCTGGTGCATACTTCCTAACCTTCTTAACTAATTGATTTTGTTTGCAGCAGTGGGAGAACAGTTTGCCACTTTGTTCCAATTGGCAAGATCTTAAAACCTGTCTTGAATGAATGTGTGACTCCAGTTACCTGCTACTGGAGTCTATCTCTAATTCTACGTGGAGAGGAACAACTTTTGCTAGTGTTCAAGGTAGCTCATTTTTAAACTTTTTGAAATAGTTTTCCTTTAGTATTTGCTGTGTGAGAACGACAAGAATTTAGATTTTGGTTGTTTATGGGTACATAATGGATCTTTAATGCTGGGTTGTTAGCTATGGGTTGAGATCAAATTTTCATGCCAAATACTTGTGTTTTTAACATTTTCCATGTGTTCAATTTCTATTTCTAGGAATCATATCCTCCTGTTGCAATGCTTGTCCCCATTTGGAAGGCTTTGTGCACTGATATTGATGATAAAGAATGTCGTGATGGCCATTCGTAATGTGGCACTGGATGATGGGCTAGAGAGCAATAGAAATCTAATATATTGACCTTGTCAGAGGTAATTTGGCATTTTTAATAGGCATATAGCTTCTGTCGTTGTGAGGGGTTTTGTTTGATCAAAAGAGGAAGAATGAAATTTTTCATCTATCCTTTCAGGTACTTTATTTATTTTTTTGAAGAATTCCAGCATGACACTTTTCAGGCTTGAAAATTCTCACATAGCTACAGCCATTGCAATTACCGAAAACATGGGCAGTTCAGTAACTTCCAAATATGTAAAACCATTAACCCACAGCTGACCATTTCCCATGCTGCTCATGTCCAGTGCCAGTGGTCATCCCCGCCAGGTAAGTTGAAATGCAATGCGCCTGCAAAAGTTTCATTAGACTCTATGATATCCAGAGTCCCCCCTAAGGATCAAATTTTTTTATTTTATTTTTTTGTTTTCATTCTGTACCTTATGCCATGACAAAGGTTGCTGTTTGTTTGTAATCAGGGAGCCTTTTGTCCATTCAACTGCAGAAACATTATCTGGCAAGACAAGATTCTCGGTTTCTCGTTTCATCCCAACCTATTTGAAGAAAGGTATTCAGGAGAATGATTCCCATGTACAGTATATATATATATATATATACACACTCCAATAATATACATATTTTTTGGAGATTGATTAGATAGCATATAAAGAGAAGAAACTTGTAAAAGGTGTGGACACACCCGATGTGAAACTGTTATTTTCAGACAAACAACATGAATTGAGACAGGGAATTAAACAAGAAGAAGACAAAGCAACATGGATTAATTCAGACAACAACGAACATGTATATATATATTAAACATCCCGATTGATTCTCTCATGACTCCTCCTCAGGCTTTGTTTATGTATCTGCAATGCTTTCTGATTTCACCCCTGAAGCCCGTTAATGGAGATATGTTTCCCATTTTAACCATGGACTTGGCGAACTGCTCGAAGAAATCCTCGTTGCTCGCCGCGTACTTTTTCACGAGCCCCAGCGAGATAGGATTCTTTGTCACCAGGATTTGGTCCGAACTCAGAAGCCCCTTGTAGCTCAGCAAGTTCCTGAAGTAGCTGTTGTCGAATGCTGTCGGGGAAATGAAGTCGAGAAAGAAGAGGTTCTGATCGCCGCCGGACTTGGGACATCCGGCGCGCAACTTGGATGCATACGATTGGTCCAACGTGTAGTCGGGCTGCGAGTTTCCCGTCTGGTTGTATAGCCTCTGTCTGAAGCTTACACATCTTGCATTTCCTATGGTATGGCTTCCTGTACATGTTTGTGTGTGTTGATATATTATTGGTTAGCACGATGATGCAATTTAATTATGATTAGCCTTCGATATTGTTCTAATGTCCTTTTATATGTAGAGATAAGGACATTTACTAGTGCAATTACTACTGAAATTAAAACATGTGTTTTATGTACTTATTATTATGTTTTATATAATGAATTTATATTATGTTAAAATATAATATGTATTTAAAATCAATCATGACATAACATATGGTGGTACATAAACTATTATACCATGTCTTTTATAATTTGTGTTGAGATCAATATGAATTCATATGTTATATTTGTATTATATTATATATCATGTAATATTGATATATGTTTTGTGTGATTCCAACACTCTGCTTACTTACCTATAGTCACCACAGTAACAATCGTCATAGAGATATGCATGAATATTAAGCATGAGAAGAAGCGAGCATACCGGATAATGCCACAAGATCGACAATGTCCAATCCTTGCAACTTGAACTTTGTAAGAATAGTTTGGAATGTGTTGTTAGGGGCAGGTATGTTGTTGTTCGAACCACTCAAGCTCGCGCCTAAGGAGTCCCGTCTTCCCAACGGAACCACCCAACTTGGCCCTCCGCTCTACGCAAAAAACAGAAAGCATAAACACGATCAAGAAGGCTCGTCACTCACTCGCCAAAAAGTGTTTTTTATTTTTTCTTTTTTTAACAGCTTACAATCACGGTGGAGTCCCGAGCAGCAAGAGCCATTATATCGGCGCAAGAAACGGTATGAGGGCACTCTTTCTCCACGGCTGCTTTGATCTCATCGATCACTTCGAACCCGCGTGCAGAATTCCTATTCGGATTCGATCTCTTCTCGCTCACAAAGCTTCCCGTGCTGTCCAAAAGTATCGACGCATCGCATCCCTTTACACGAAGCACACATTAGCAAACACATCAAATACGAAGATACGGCGTAATAGTGGAAGAAAGTAAATAACGAATAACTAACCTTGACAAAGCAGTCGTGAAAATGGAGGCGGAGGAGCGAGGCAGCCATTCGAGCTTCACGGGCAACGGCCTTGGCAATGACTGATTTGACGATATCTTGGAGTCTCGGACACGACCGATCGTAGAATTGCGGGAAGAGATAGCCTCCATAGTTTTTGTGGCAGAGACAAAGAGGCGAAAAAGAAAAAGAAAGAAGAAACACAATCAAGAATAAGTTGAATTTGGCCATTGTGTGTTATGAATGTTTTCGATTAGACTCGGCTTGGAATGTCACAAGTATTATTTATAGAGATTATATGAAGGAGAAATGATGGAGTTGGTGAGATTTTTGAGTTGAAATTTACAAAGTAGGAATGTCTTTTTTCTTAGGAAATGCTTCTTCATACATTAGTATTAGCTTACAATTATTTCAACAACTTTTCTACATTGCTTTGTACAAATGATCTTTTCTTTTTCAAGGTATTCTACAATATATATATATATATACATATATTTAAAAATGAATTTTCGATCGCATTGAAAATATAAGATAAAATATTCTCTAGGTCCGGTAATAATAAAGATATTTTGTAATTTAGAAGGTTCATTTAAATCCCAAATATTCTCTTTTATTATTATTATTATTATTATTATTATTATTATTATTAATTCTTGAAGCAATGGCAGTCTCATTGGCTCCATTTCTTGCAAGGTATTTTACATGGAACGTTAAGGCAAATAAGGCATACACATACACGTATATGTATGTCTATACACATACGCAGCTACTTAATAATAGGGATGTGATTCCTAGTCATACTTATTTTATTATTATTTCTTTCACAAAAATGACATTTATAGATTTTATGCCAACATAAAAAATAAAAAAAATAAAAAAATAAAAATGACACAAAATAAAATAGATAGCAGTAAGTACATTTTTAGTAAAATACAAAGATGAGTCACTTAGTCACCATGTTTCTTATAAAATATGATAATTTTTCTTACAAAATATTATTTAAATATAAAATATCCATCCTAAGGTGAGAATTGTCCTAAATGTGGAGGTGGGGAAGGATGGGAAAGTGTAGTGAGTAGAAGCACCTGCTCTGTTGACAAATGGACACTGTATCTGTAATCTGTATGTATCCTAGTACTAATTGGCTATGAAGATGATCATCAGAGAGAGAAAGATAAAGATAGGTAGAGAGAGAGACTAACATATGATATGACACAAACTACTTCTAGTCTTAGGTTAAAATATATATATATTTATATAAAAATATATAATCTTGACTGCCAAAACATATTGAGATTAGGACAACTACTCCCCCTCATCCTGTTCATTCTTCTTTCCATCTAATAATCCTGTCGTCTACAGAATCTTCCAATTTAGTTTGCAACCAAACATACCAGAAAGAAAAATAAATAAATTAATAAATAATTCTATCTTTCTTTCTTGGCTAAGAGAAGCAGTTCCATAAACCTGACTAAAATGCCTTGACTTGATCCTATAATGTGAGCAAGATCAGCACATAGTGAGTGTATGCCATTTTTGGCCATCCCTAAACCCTATATCGGTAATATTGTAGTGACTATAAAGCGCCGAGCTAATCCTAATGAAGCGCTTTAGTGTTGCCATTGTTTCGAGAAACTTTGACATCTATGAGGTTTTGGACATTAATGAGATTCAACGGCGTATTACTATGACTATCGTGTGTGCATATCTCTAGAGAGCTCGACTAAATCTCAAATGATCAACACATAAAACATATTAACATAATATCAAGACATCAGATAAACTAACATCATACGACAATAGTCCATAAGGTATATACTGTAATTAAACTCAGCATATAAGGTATATAGAAACAACATAACCTTAAAATATAATTGGTAACACTGTAAAAATCAATCCGGACATTCTATTCATTCAAGTCATGTGTTGTCAACGTATATTTTATATATTGTTGGCACAATACTAATTAATTTAAATAAGCACCCTAACCAATCCGAGTCAATATATATATCACTTTCAAAACCTATGCTCCAAACAAAACTAGATCTATAGACACATTTAAGCACACCTATCCTCACATTGCAAGTAATAATATCATGTCGCAAAAACAAATTTATCCGAGCTCTTGGCAAGTATTTACAGAGTACAGATGTGTCGTAAACATTTTTAACAAAACCAAATAATCTCATGATTAGAATCAAATAATTATCTTAGCCAAAAACATTTATGGTTTCGACCTTGAAGCATCATCAGTTCTAGGCCTCGTCTGCTTCACAACAGGTTTAGTGAACCATGTCGTGTATAGAAATTGCTTGTGAGGCCCGACATGGTTACATATTTGCCTTAGCTTTTGCCGCTCCCTCATCCATCTCATAACCATTTTCATGTGCCTCTTGCTATCAAGTCCTTTTAACCCAACGTCCTGCTCGCAGGAAACTACTTCTTTAACATACGAAAGTAAAAATAATAACTGATTGATCACACAAAAAATACAAGCTTTATAGTAACCATGGAATGTCAAAGGAGAACCATTCTTTTTAATATGTTTTCAACTTTCTTTTAGCCTTATTTATCAGCATTTCCCTCTTTAAAATAGAAAGGGTATGTTTAGTATATAGAATGAATCCTAGATAAATGATAATAGATAGTAAAATTGAAGAGAAAGAGAAAGAAAATATAATTGCTTCTTTTGTTTGGTAGGCCGGAGTATTCAACAGAGATATATAAATCAATTGTAAATTTGTAATTTACTCAAACAAATATTATATATACAAAGTAACAATTTAAAATTACTATAATCAATAACAAAAATATGTCAGAAAAACTTTATCATCAATCTACAAAATTCTCAAATCAATGGCAGATGGTGTGATGACAATGATGGCGGTGGAGAAGAAAATTTTGGGAAAAAAACAATGGAAGACCGTTTTTTGATGCGGAATCAAAAAAAGGTTAGAGATAAGTCTATGTTTTTTCTTCTACTCTCACAAATTCAATTCTCATTTCTCCACGGACAACAAAAGAGAACTGGAAATTAAGAATGAAATTTCTTTCCAATCTTAAATTCTCACGTCCAAACAAACAGTCAAAATATGTTTTTGTGCATTTAACTGTTCTCAATTTCCTATACCAAACAAGTTCAAAACCTAATTTTCATTCAATATATTCTCTATTCCAAATATCATATTCAAACCATATCTATGTCACCTCAAACACCTAGTTTACATTCAATTTGTTGCTATATCCAAATCAATCAAAGACACCAATACATATCCAAAATATTCAAAAGTTGAAAAAAATTCTGGAATACCTTAACATGCTCCCATGTATTGGCGATGGTTAGAGGACCATGTTCCTTCAAGATGTCGAAAATCACCCTTGTGAGTGTTTGCGTTTGCTCTGGAGGAGTTTTGAGTTCTATCGGTTTCATCTTCGGTTTTGGTTTCTTTGCCATATATCTTATTGCAGTTGCAAACATGATGATAACCTTTTAGCAGCTGTGTACCCAATGAACAAAGAACTCCTTTCTTAGCTCTGTGACAGAGTTTAATTAACCTTTTGAGTGATTATCCAGAAGAAATCTCCACGATAAATCATAGAAATCAAATTAAGATTCTACAGATGACAGATGGCCAGCATCGAAAGTGGGGCTTGCAAATTAGAATGAGATATATATTTCGAAAAATAAAAACTCGAAACTTTGCCACACTGCTCAGTTCCATAGCTTTAATTTCCGGAGAAAAAGGTCAATATGAAACTCGAAATCGCTCAAGAAATAGAAAATGATTTCACAAAATGTTTAAATTTCATGAATTGCTTGTCCGACAAAGGTCGATATAATCGCAAATAAGAAAACAGCAAAATCCTAAAAATTGCTGCAATATACTTGATAATTCTCACACTTACAAAATAAATTGAAATAACAAAACATCGAACACGTCAAAAATCAAAATTACTGTGAATCCTTACGGTTGCTTCTCTTATAGCCCTAGGAAGTGAAAAAAGGGAGCAGAACTTACAGTTATTTTGATGCAGCTGTAGCTTCTAGAGACGACTCCAGCTCACCAAACAACCAACAGCGACGAAGGATCGTTTTTCTCGATCCGATTGGCCTTGATTTGGGAATTGAGAATACTGCTAATTAGAGTTGCCCAATTGCCTTTTCAATTGGGCTGAAGATCGGTGTATTTTGGCTGGGCTGGCCTGCTCTTATAATGGAGGGCTATCGATTTGGTAGTTCCATTTGGGTTTTAAAAAGAAAAGGCTATAATTTGATTTTATTTTCTAGGAGGTGTTTCTATTTTGTTTGTCAGAATTATTTTTGCAACTGATGAATTAGCTATGGGTATATGAATCGGGAACAGCCTCATACATCAAAACAAACATATATATATATATACACACACATACAATACATACAGTACACGCCTGCCTTCTCATGTAAGTAGCTGAGAATGGCGGCTTATTGCAGCCTCGTACGCCAAAAACGTACACACACACAGATATATGTATTACAGAGACGGTGAAGTATTGCTTTAATTACATGATTAATTCAGTCTTGGATCCTTTTCACCATCTTCAAATCTTTTCATGGTGTACGGCGGCGCCGCCGTGCACTTCATGTCCAGCGGCGGCGGCGGCACCATCCGTCTTGTGACCGCCGCCGGGGAGCATATCCTTTATCTTCCCCATCAGGCCCTTCTTCTTCCTCCTCCCACCTTGCCCGTCGTCCTCCGAAGACTGCCTTCCACCCAAATACAATAATCATTCATAACAAAAAATATATATATTAGCTATTTCAAAAAAAAAAAAAAAAAAATGATTGTTGATTAATAGTAATATCGAAATTAAAAAAGAGTATTCTTTAATCTATGGTTATATACCGAGCTGGAGGCGCTGCCAGAGCGGCGGTGGTGGCCGCCTTCCTCCCTTCCAGCATCAACTTTTCCGGCCTCCGCCCCGTGGTTTCCGGTCATCCCGTAACCTCCAACAGCACCACCGGCGGCCCCATATTGATCCGTCTTGTAAGCTCCTCCGGTGTTTCCAGTAGTTCCATATTCTCCTCCATGGACTCCATACTTTTCGTCGCTCTGCCGCCCGTACTGCTCGCCGTACTGTGCCATATTCTCAAAATATACTCACTGAAACTTGGTACCTTCTCTGATCTGCAACTTAGTAGTTAACCAATGGCATATATATGTATATACATATACATACAAATGTAGCAGAGAAGATGCAATAAGCAAATCAATGGAATGCCACGTAGAGTTTCTGGATTGATCAATCAACACATCCACAGAAATTTCCACAAGTGTCCTGGCAGTGTCGGCAAATTAAAATTGCAGTCCCCAAATCAACAAGATATGCATAGATTTCAAAGAAAGGATCTTTCTTGCAGACAATCTACAGATATGCCATTTCGGGGCTTACAGGTGTCCCGACTGCAAAACTACATCTGACACTTTTGGAACTTACAGAAATGTCATTTCAGAGCTCTTTATCAAATAATATTTCTTCTCACAATACATCAAATCAAATACACATGTAATTGCATCCCAAATTTGATCAAGAACTGATATATAGAGAATGAAATAAGTTCTAACACTGATTGGATAAGTATAAAAAATGTCAAGCCACATATAGAGTGGATGAAGGGCGTTGATGACTGTTGATTCCGTAGTAAATATATATCTAGATATATATTCATATGTATATATGATTTTGGCTGAAAGAGTGAACTAGCAGACACATACCGTTGCTAATTGCCTAATTCACTTGCTTTGCTCCTTGGGGATGTGAGTGAATCTCGGGTATATTTGTTTGTGTTAGTCGCTATCTATCTCCTCAAGCTAGACATCGATAAACCCTGTAATGAAGCGCAGGATGGCGGATACAGGCTATTGGCCTCCTCGAGAATTCTAATTATCTTGTGTATTTGAGTTGAAAACATGTAGATTTCATCGGCTTGATTTTTACGAACCCAGTCTTCGAGAGTCCTGACCAGTATTCAAGCCCAACAAACATGAGTTCATAAGGATATAAGGAAATGGATTTTAATATGCAAGTTACCTCGAATTATGTTCGGTGTCGTGAGCAGAGGCAGAAAAAAGGACTTTGATACTGGGAAGCATAACAAGCTTATCAGCAGCAGATTCGGTAGAGCAACAGCTCCATGAATTAGGATTCAGAAGAATAATTTGAAGAACGCTGGATTTAGTTCGAATGTCTCTAACAATAGTTCTGTACGATAGTTCATCTTCTGCACTTTCCAGCAACTGACTAGCAAACATTCTCTCAAGGGTGTAGTTCCTATTTCGATTGTACATTAATGGATCAGCAAGTAATCAAGAAATAATAAGAATCTGAGATTAGAGTACGAAGAACAATGTAACTTACTTGAATGCATCGTCAGATAGATTGCAGGGAACACAAGTTGATACACAGCATTTGAATAGACGAATTCCACCATCTAGAGGCGCATTATCATCAACACAAGGATAAGCTCCTATAAGACACGAGCAATCTGGGCAGCAAAATTCGACCCACCGGATATCATTAGAAAGGCCTGAAGATCTAACCATGAAACCATTTCCAAGATAACCGTTCAGAAATACTTTCTGAGTTTCCAACAGTTCAGCATTTGCTTTAGTAATTTCTGCACTTAAAGTGGTTCCTGGTGTTTCTTCAGCATTCGATTTTCCATGACAGCATTCTGTATGACTCTTCTCATTTGCAACCACTATCTTATCATCAATCTTCAAAGTAGGAAAGACACTTGCTAAACTACTATCATCGAATGAATTTCGTAAACTGCTACAACTTTCAACGTGTTCTTGGGAATGTAGATCAGACTTATGGCTTTGCTTGATTGGCGCATCAGAAAAACTACAACCGAGGAGATCATCCTTGGATAAAAGAACAGATGTCGGGTTCAAGAAGCATAATCCCGGTGCACAAGTGTAGGACTTAGCATATTTTGCAACAAGCTTCTCACTTACACCAACAAATGAGCAACAACAATTCCCAAACCAATTGTCAGCGACATCTCGCCAATTAACAGATGGCAGTTCCTCGAAACAACTGTCATTAAAAGCAAAAGTGCAGAATCTGTCACTAGTGATCTTGTAGGGGAATGTATGCAAATTTCATAAGCCAAAATCAATCCGATCTTCATTCACATGGTCAGTCTAATGCCCATTTAGCTCTGGAAAAGTGTTATTAACTTAAAGTCAAACCCAATGCATAGAAAACTAGTCGGAAGATCTACTGAGTGCACTAATAAACAACCAATGCTGCTGCTAATGTTACAAGTTCGTCAGAAATGATTCTATGATCTTAAAATGCAGCCATGGAAATAGTTTTGCCGTATTCAATTAACTCAAAATTTCCATAACAGGGACAAGCAACTCAAACATGAATTGAGCAACAAAAACAGAAACCAAATGTTTACCTGAGACCCTTGGTCAATTTAAAAGAGCAATTTCTGCAGTAGAAGTGAACCTCCTTCATAAGAGATAATTTCTTCAAATCTGACATTCCAACAACACACTTAATGTTTGGAAAAGAATATACATATAAAGTCCCTTACAAAGCAAATTTTCCTAAAACCCTAGAAATTAAGGATAGCAGGAATTAAATCCAAACCCTACCAATAATTAACGAATCAAATAAACAATTACCAGAATCCAGTGACAGAGGAGGAAGAGCATCCCCTTTCTCCTCGAAATTAAGAATTGAATCGAATTCTGAAACGATAGGATGGTCGACCGGAAGCAACAAAACGAGCTTAACTTCAATGTGGTCATCAAATGCTTTCACTTGGAGAGCAGCTTCGGGATCAACCAACACCCGAGGGAGCGGGACCCGAACAATGGCCTCCATTCGGACATCACTCTCCCAAAACGACAACTCAAGAAACGATTTCTCAGGGAGAAGACTGAGCTTGAGGTCTCTGCATTGAGCAGAGGGTTTAACGCCTGGTTTGAATAAGAGTAAGCGCAGTATCGGAGTACGCGACTGAGCTTCCCACGTAAACCGCCAATTCCCGGAGGCGGCGGTCGTCGGAGGTTCATCCCCTGACGGCGTTGTTGAGGCCATTTTTGGGCTCACTGCAGTTTGGACGGCTAATTTTTAGTAAATAATAAGAAATGGTATTTGGGCTATTTTAGGGTACCAAAAAAGCCCAATTATTGGAGCCCGGCCCGTTAATTTTATTCGTACTAATTATTAAGTTAAATTAATCAAACACAAATTTTAATTCATTATGATGTTTGAAATGTAATGTTGGGACAACCCAACAATGCACAAAGATTTGCTGGAAAGTTGCAATTTCCTACTAAAGGAATTGCGTTATCCACTAAAGTCGAAATTAATTAAAGTATGAATGCCTTTGTCTTTAAGCGTAGTGAGTATATACTTTCCTTGTTGGATTTCCATGCTCCAAAGCTTCTTTCCCTTAATGAAATACCCTAAAAAAATATTCGGTCATCTACCCCACTTTCAGTCAATATAGTTTTTGCACGCATCTGTTAAAATACATCTAATTTGCAGAGTATTAGATTCGATCGAAATTATCTAGTGCGCACTTTCGGATAGCAATTGCGAATTTTCGCAAGATATATATATATATAGTTTTTGCACATGCTTAAACAATCTTTTTTGTTTTTTTTACTCAACTTGAAATTTCAAATAGGATGATTTACTATTTGATTTATAAAAGTTTGAATTGCAAATTTTACCAAATGGAAAGATCGTCGAAATTGAACCTAACTTGAAATTAAAAACTACTGAACTTTTACAACTCAAAATCAAGCAATAGTTTTAACAAAAACAAACTATCCTACTCGAACAATGTGGTCACAAGTTAACCTCTTCTATGCTCAATCCCTCATTGGTTCTTCGTTTTCTTGCATTTGAGAAAATTAAGGAGCCCTTCAAGCGATGTTTCGGCATTGTCGCTCTTCATTAGCTCCTCCGCGACCTCGGCCGGGGTAACTTTCATCTCCTCGATTAGGCCTTCGATCTCCGGGAAGCGAGGATGATCAGGATCGTTTACATTGAGGTATGTCGATGCGAGAAGTTTGAAGCCTGCTGGCGTGAGATAGGACATGTGGATGTGCATGTCCATTCGGCCCGGCCTGAGCAATGCCGGATCGAGCTTTTCCTTCTTGTTGGTGGTGAAGATTATAATTCGCTCGTCGCCGCAGCTCGACCATAGGCCGTCGATGAAGTTTAGTAATGCTGATAGTGTGAACTGCTGTCATAGATTAAGATCTATTAGTATAAAGAGAGTCTCGATTTGTATAGATATTTTTGAAAATTTGATAATATTAATAGCAATATTTAAAAATATCAAATCAAATCAAATATTGTGTTCTTTCAATATTAATTATTATAACAAAACGTACTCTAAGTTAAGAAAAAAAAATAATTCTATTAGTGTCTTATAATAAAAATATAATGACATTTTTACAAATATAATTATATTTTTAATGTTAAAATAAAAATTGTGAATAGCAAAAAATTAGAATTTTATAGTATGACATGTAAAAAATAATATATTTGATATCATATTTTTAAAAGAATATTACTAACCTGCTTTTCGCTGGAAGTGGAATTGTTGGGAATGCACTCGTTGTCGTCGTCGTCGTCGTCGTCCGTTGGACAATTCCGGTTGGGGAGCTTGACGGTGCAATCGATGTCTTCAATGACGAGAATAGACTTGTTTGCTGTCCGGAGGAGAACTTTCCTTAAATCGGAATCCTGTCGGACATTGGAGAGTTCGAGGTCGTAGATGTCGAATTTGAGGTAATTAGCCATGGCGGCAATAAGGCTGGACTTTCCGGTGCCGGGAGGACCGTACAGAAGGTAACCTCTCTTCCACGCCCTGCCTACCTTCCTGTAAAATTCTTTCCTCCTCAAAAACCTGTCCAAATCCTCAATTATGCACTTCTTCTCCGCCGGCTCCATCGCGAGCGTCTCGAAGGTCGAAGGATGTTCTAGATTGATCCGATCCCATGAAATCGAGGAAGAACAGGACGACGAGGAAAGAGTGTGGAGTTTTATCACTTTCCTTTTTGACCTAATCGAATTCGCCCATTCGAGGATGTACGGAACGTAGGTTTCCAGGACAGTCGCCTTGTGCTTCGTGTCGAAGCAGAGTTTGAAGTGGCGCTTTTTGTTGGAATTTCCGGTGTCGGAATCTTCGTACATCAAATTAGGTTTCTCCTGGACCTTCTCGACGAATTTCCAGACAAGACGAATACCTTGGAAGGAATCGACGACGGATTCGGACTGCGCGAATCGGACGCGGAAATCGGTGTCGCTGTAGCGTTTGGAGATTTTCATGTTCTGGATGTCGCGTCCGTTTTTGGTGCAGAGGTAGAGCTCGGCGGCGCCGTACACTTCGTTGGTGATCATGTCGTCGTTCTCCTCGATGATGACGGTGGTGTCGCTGTCGACGCGCCGCCACAAGTAGTGGTGGACGGCGGAGATTATGTACTGTTGCAGGCTCGCCGGAATCAGCTGCTTCAGCATCGTCTGGAGCATCATGATGAAGGTCGTCGCCGACGCGTAGGCGGCGAAGATCGACGACGCCGGCGGCATCAATGAGGACAGGAACGCCATTGTTGATTAAGGTCGAATGTTGAAAGGAATTATTGTGTTGGTATAAGATCAAGCGCTGTATATATATATATATACACGTAGAACGGGCAGGGCATGCTTAACGTATGACTCTAAGGATTTGTTTGTTCGGAAATTTGGATTTTGAGGTGTGATTTGAATATTTTTTTAATGTGAGATTCCAATATTAAAATTTTTTATATTTGTATGATAAGATATAAATAAATATTGACGTGATGTTTTTAATATAAAATTAATATTTAATATAATATAAAAATATATATATATATATATAGGTGCTTGATTTATATTTTAGAGATAAAAAATTCTCCAATCAACACACCCTTAAGAGCATTATTATTATTATTATTATTTAAAAGAACATTATTTGAATACCTATTATGCTATCCGTATAATTTCAACAAATTTGGGTGCTGTTATTTTGAAGGTTGAGATTATTGGGGGGAGTTTTGGGATTTAGATAAGATTGGAATGGATCAGATTAAGATAAGTACTCCCGTACGAAATAATTAGGGATTTGGGTGAATTTAAAGAAAATTGATTTGAATTGATATTATAATTATTTAATAGGATATTTAGTGAGAAAAAATATAGAGTATTTTTAAAAAATCATAGTTTAAATAATAATTTTTTAAAAATAAATTAAAAAAATGACAAAATAAACACACATGTTAATCTCTTTTTGTTGTCTGTTAAGCTAATTAGAATTTATATATAATATGAGTGTGTTCGCTTCCGAATTGAATTTGAGATTTTTATTTAATATTTAATTTAAATAACATTTAAATGTGATATTTTATAAAATTAATTATATATCTTTATTGTAAATTGCTTAAAAAGGGAGCTATGTATTATGGGTCTGATACCATGTTGAGAATGAATTCGAGCTTTCAATTTAAAATTAATGGGTGATAGCTAAAGTGATATAAGTCAAAGAAAGATCACATTTTTTCCAATGTGAAAAATGTTTAACAAAATCATAGAAGAGAAAATAACACAAAATATGTTAATGTACATGACACATACAAAATTAAACACGTACTTATATAAATTCAAATTATATGTTGTGTAATTATATTTCAAATAATTTATATATATATATAATATAGGAATCTACAGCTATTTTTATTATAATGTCGTAGCTTACAAATTAGTAACGTTAAGAGGATTTTAAATTATAATCTTACAAAAAGGTATTAAATCGAATTTATGATCTTAAGATCACGAATTCACGGCTCATACCATCAGAGCATCGTATCTTTAGAGACCGTATAAGTTTTGGATAGCGACAAAGTACAATGAAAAAAGGAAATCAAAAGGTCCTTACTCGTTATGGGAAAGTATGCATTACTATTTATTTACTATTATTATTATTATTTAAATTAAGTTGTGCAAGGAGAATACAGCCACGACTTTCTTTCTCTTTATATTCCCTTTACCCTTTGCCCCTTTTGGTGTCAAATGACATATACATATATATATATATAATATACTAACATGCATGCATGCATCAAAACTATAAAAATAATTATATATAAATTAAAATAAAAAATAAAAAAAAATAAAAACAAAAAAGGAACTTGTTATACTCCATATTATTAGGTATACGTGCATGCAACTTTATGGGAAATTGACCTTTGCTTTTGCAGGTTGTTCTGGCAGATCCACCGCCGTTGGATCTGATTTCGAGGGTGGAGATCTAATCTCCAGTTGACACTTGTCCTAAAAAGCCTAAATAACAAATATATGTATACATCAAAATAAAATAATCGATGAGTGTCTGAAAGAAAAGCATATACAATGAAGTGGCCCTTTTTGTCCTCTTTGTTCATTTGTGTAATAAATAGAATAATAGAATCAAGATCCATGAAGATATATAACCAATCTTATTTATTTATGGATATATAAAGATTTGCATTTGTTGGTGTGTGTGACATTCTCAACAAGATTCTGCACCTCTATATATCATCACATGCACAATATCAGTCAGTAGTGGGGGTGGGGGTGGGGGTGGGGGTGGGGGACCCTTTGCTTTAGGTGTCTGTCATTTGTGGTGTTGGATTTAGGACAAATTGTATAACCTGACCCTTGTCTTACTTATAATTATTACATGCCTATTTATCATTCATTGTTGTGTGGTTTTGGAATTGTGGTTGAAATTTTGGTTGTAGTGAGATGTTGTTTTGTAGTAATTATATTATATACTTGATTGATATAAATTTAAAAATGAATGTTAAAGTATTTAATAATAATAATAACAATAGTAGTAGTAGTTGCATCTACATAATATATTCAATTTGAATACTACTATTTCATTTCCGGATAATTATGTCATTGTTCGCTAAATTTATCCATAATTCATTTATGGTAAATAATTTTATTCACTTATAATTTTATTATTCTTAATTCAAAAATAATTATTAATTTGTGACTACTTTTCTTCTACTTACTCCAGTATCTTTTTTATAATACACATTTTACATTTTACCTAATATTTTTTTATAAATAAAATACTATGGAGTAATTATTAGTTGTGCTAGGATAATGTCGCATAAAGTGCCCAAACACAAAAAATATTTCATAAAGAATAAAATACATGTAATATAAATAAATAATATATTACATATAATTGACATAAAAAAAATTTAAACTTATCTAAGAGAAATAGGGATAAAATATTAAGTAGGTCCTTATTTTTTGAATTTGGAGAAATATTTGAAAAATGGAAAAATTAAATTGAAACAGGAGTATTATTACTGGCCAAAGACATCATATCACTTTTGAAGGAATCGTGGAGGTGTCCAGCTCGATGAAAGCCTACATCACAAGAAGTCCCTTTCGAGATCCAAGAATTATAAGAAGAGGTCGTCGAGAAACTTAATTTTCGGGTCAAGAAGTCCATTTTTTTATTATTATTTTTTTTTAATCGGGTCTATTGTAATAGACCTTTTGGAAAGTTCATTTGATGAAATCTATCCAAAAAATGGTATAAAAAGCCCAAGACTTTAGAGAAATTTAGAAACATGGAGGCATTGCATTGCATTGCATTTCCTTTCATTTTAATTCCATACAATTAATCTTTCTTCGTCTTCTTCCAATTTTACTTGCCTTATTTTATGCTATTTGTGTCGATTTTGTTTTATTTTTATTCATGTATCCAACCTACTCGAGACTAGTTCTAAGCTTTCTTGAGGGATCGAAAAATCCAGATTGTCAATCTTCCGACAAGCCTAACTCATACCGGCCTCCCGGGAGTCGAGTTCCAACGGCAATAGATAGTGAAAACTAAAGCTAAGATGGTAAACAAGTAATCGTTCATTAGATTTATTATACTAAAATCAATAATATATTGTACTTAGTAAAATTTTAATTATTTCTAAACTTTGAAAACACTGCCTAGGGGACTTTTCAAAAAAGTACTTTGGAACCCAAAAGGACTAAAGCCCGTTTTGATTAGTTTAAAAAATAAGCAGAAGCTAAAAACAGAAGTAGAAGCAAAAATCAAAAGCAGAAATAGTTCGATTTTATATTTGGATAAATCATTATAAAAACAGCTTTTTGTGAAAAACTGTTTGGACGTTATATAGTTGAAAGTGCTTTTAAACTGTTAAAATTACTTAAAAAGGACATGCGGTTAATATAATAATAGTATTTTTCTATAACACTTTTATAATTTAATTTAAATTTCATAAATTATATTTAAAGATATTAAATTAAAGTATAAAAAATGTACTTTTAAATTTTGATTATTTATATTTTAAAATTTTAATTTTAGGATAATATATCAATTACACATAAAATTAAAATATAATATTAAATAATTTGTATTTTATAATTTATTTTAAAATTTTATAGATTATATTTAGTAATTTAATTACAATTAAAAAATCCAAATATAATACTCCCTCCGTCCCAGATACCATGTTCACGTTGCCGTTTCTGTCCGTCCCACGTACCATGTCACTTTCGTTTTTTGGAAAATAATTACACACTTTAATCTCATTTTAAATTTTAAAATTTTATTTTTTTAAATTTTAATTAAACTAATTAGTTATCTTAATCTTAATTTATAATTATTTATATTATAGGATAATTATTTTTATCTATTAATTACATCCCTCCTAAAATACTGTTTCTACAGTGGAAACAGACACGGTATCTGAGACGGAAGGAGTACATAAATTAACAATAATAAATTAATTATATATTTTTATTTTTATTAAAATATAATATATAAGTTATTTATTTTATATTATATTATATTATCTTATTGTATTTATTATTATTATTATTATTATTATTATTATTATTATTATTAAAGATAAAACATAAATTCTAAATGAAAAGTGTTTCTACTTATTTTAGAAGCTATCTTTAATGTGCTTTCTAAAAAAAAGCACTTTTTAGCTTTAAAAGTTGCTTCTACTTATTTCAGAAGCTACCTATAATGTGCTTCTAAAAAAAACACTTTTTAACTTCAAAAGTTGCTTCTGTTTTTGGACAAAAACCAATGCAAACAGGTGCAAACTGGTTTTTTTAGAAATAAAAGCCAAAAACTCCTGCCAAAATCCTGCCAAAAACTAATCCAAACGGGGCCTTTTTTTAGAAATAGAAACCAAAAGCAAACGGATACCAAAAGCAAAAACAATTTGATTTTATGGTTATAAAACCAATTTCTCCATATTGTGCATGAGCAATAATTTGCATTGATGGCCGGAATAATAACATAACATAACATAAACAAAATCAAACTCCAAAATAATTTCAAATGTTCTATTCCTTATTGTGAGAAGTGGTATATGTGTATATATGTATATATATATATATGTAATTTAACATCACCTTGATTGATTTTTTCATTGATTAAGAAGAAGAAGAAGAAGAAGAAGAAGAAGAAGAAGCTAAGCCAAAGATATAGATTTGTACCTATTCACAGTAGCTGTGATAGCTTCTTCAACAGGCAGCCTCTCCAAGCTCGAAGCCCCGTAGAATCCGTGAACCCCGTTCGTTCTCTTCAGCACATACTCCGCCTCCTTCGCCTCAGATATCGGCCCTGCAACCATCCAATCGAATAATATAACACAAAATACGTAACTCATTATCAAATAAGCACATAATTAGTTACCGCCGTGGCACAGAACAATAGCTTCACGGTTAATTGCATGAACAGCATCTGCAATCGCTTGTACAAGGGTCACGCTTTCCTCGAGGGACACCGCAGTTTTTGCACCAATCGAACCGGATGTAGTCAGCCCCATATGCGCCACGATAATGTCAGCACCGGCTTTCGCCATTGCTGTCGCCTCATTTTCGTTGAAAGCATAGGGAGTTGTCAGAAGTCCCATTTTATGAGCACTGGCAATCATCTCCACCTCTATACTGAAAATGGGAATGAAACAAGGTCATGCTTTGCTGTATTTACAACGATCGGTTAATGGCAGACATCTCGATGTTTTCGTGATTACCTATATCCCATTCCAGTCTCTTCTAGATTCTGTCTAAAGTTACCGTCAAATAGGCCAACAGTCGGGAAATTCTGCACACCCGAGAATCCAGTAGCCTCCAGTTGCTTCAGGAAAAAATCCATCCTTCGGAACGGGTCTGTTGCGCATACTCCCGCAAGGACTGGAGCTTTTTTCACTACCTAAAACATGGTAACCCAAGAAACATTGTAAGTTTAGTTTATTATAATCCGAGGAAACTTAACTTTCGGGTGAGAACACTAAAAACCAATAAATGGAAACTTACAGGCAGCACTTCGTTGGCCATTTCAAGTACAACGGCATTTGCATCAGCAAATGGCAATAGTCCAGCTAAAGATCCTCTTCCAGCCATTCGGAATCGACCAGAATTGTACACGACAATCAGGTCTACTCCACCGACTTCCTCGAACTTGGCTGATATGCCTGTCCCAGCACCAGCACCAATAATGGGTTTGCCCTCAGTGATTAGCTGTTTCAATTGCTGCAGTATCTTCTGTGTTCCTTGAAGAGTTTCTGTTCAAACAAATCATGAATTAACACACGGGCATATAATCTATTATGGCATGGTAGATGCATAGTTTCTAACTTCAGATTACCGATAAATTGCATTTACTCACAAGTAGCACGAATATGAAAAATAAAATAAATTAAGAAAGGGCAGTGGGTGTTCACCTGGTTTTGCATTAGGGAAGTTGTTCAAGGTATATGGAACTGGAATTATGCTGTCATGATGGACGCCAGATTCAGAAATTTGATCTTCAGAGCCTTGCGTAGATCCGGGAACAATCTGACTGCTAGTACTCTCAGTGTTCGTAAACATCTCCAAGAATGAGTCCACTAATGCATCAGCAAACTCCGGATCATTGATATGTTGTGGGATAACTTTAACCTATTAATAAACAGTGATGAATGAAATAATTAGCACAAGCTGAGAATACATAATGCCCGAACACTGTATGTGATGAGAGACGGAAAACCTGACGGTTTTCATCAGTGTCAATTCGCTTCTGAAGTTCATCTATAAGAACACCGGTAGCATCAGGATCGTAGAAGGCCTTGCCTGGTGCATCTAATGCAGAGAAACCCATCTTTGGCAGGCAGACACAAAGCTTGGATGATGACTTGTTCAGTTTGTCTGCTATAAATTCAGCAAATTTGATATTCTCATCCACTGTAGTTCGCATTAGAGTCACCTGATAATAAGGCAACGAACATGTTGATCCATAGAAGCATTACCTCTAGGCATATTCTTGTATGACTTCATGGAGTTCAAAGTGTTGCTTTTTTTGGGTAAAAACATTTATCGTATCTAACTATCTAAGGACCAATGAGTATATCCGACAAGCTTCAGAAGCCCAATGTAGACGCGAAGTAGAGGAAACAGAACAAAAGACATGTCAGATAAATCATAAATCACCTGTTCATTGTGCTTGTAGATTTTTCTTTGCTGAAATTTAGAAGGTACGGTGTCTCTGGATCCAAAGTTCACCATATCCAATGCTCCGGAGCTGAGAACTAGCGGTATCTTCTTTTCTAACATGGCATCGAAACGGGAACCATCACACGCCATGACTCCTCCAACTATGTAATCAGCTACCTCAGTTGTCGTGATATCCAAAACACCCTACAGGGAACAAACATCAGATAAAAACCAAGAAACAATCACAAGAAGTTGATTCTTTTTTTTTCTTTTCTGTCATTGGTACGAAAGATCTAACATAATGGGATTCCGAATAATCTGATTTCAGATTACTAAATTGAGAGACATCAAACGGCCAAAGCTACAAATTTGTGACATTTCAATAATACAAGATACACAAAATTATAATTGGAATGCAGCCAAAATACCTGTATAAATCCTCCTCTAACAAGATCCTCCATGGCTCTCCCTCCAACCCCAGTAGCATGGAAAACCAGGGTCTCATAACCTTCTCGAGCCAATCGATCCTTCACAGCACTGACGCATGGAGTAGTAACCCCAAACATAGTTATGCCGACAGTACCCTTTTTACCCGAAGCAACTGGCAATTTAGGTACCTCTAATTGTCCAACAATCATTCCAGAAAAAGCAGCCGCGGCATTAGACAATACCACCTTACTCACATTATTAATGCCGCAAATATCCACCACCGAAGGGAATAGCACCAAATCAGATGTTCCGACATAACCTTCTGTCTGTCCGCTGGCCACAGTCGACACAATCACCTTTGGAGTTCCTATAGGAAGGGACCGGAAGACAGTTGACATTAACGATGTTCCACCACTACCTCCAAGCCCTATAACTCCGGCGACAACTCCATCACGATAAACATTGCTTAGAAACACGTTCAGCGCTTTCTTCATGACTGCTATAGCTTTGCTTCTGTCATCTGGAAGCAGGGTACTAAGAGGTTCCCCTGATCCGAAACAACAAGAAAGAACCTCTTTTCTTGACACAAATTTGAAATCCTCAAAATTTTTGACATCTTTCTGACTGGTGGAAACATCAACCACAGTCACAAGAATCTGCTTGCACAGACAATTATGTGATAAATTCGGCATATACAGCAAAATACAGTATCTTAGCATTGCCTCCGGCCTAAGAATGACTAAATCCTTCAATCAAACAGCACTAGAAATCTTGGGAATTCATCAGACCTAAGATTTACTAAATCCTCCTATCAAACAATATTAGAAATCATATAAATTATCAGAGTAGAAGTGCATAATGCAGATCAATGTTTTAAAAACCAAACCATCATTGAACCCAAAAGTTAAATGGTTTAAGGATTGGTTTCAAGTTGAACAACAGGTTGAATTGATGACATTATTTGCAAGCACAATGACTGGGTGAAACACTTTTTCACTAAAATTGTTACATTCGAAAAATAAGATGTAGTTTTCCAATACATATTCAAGTGCTAACAAATTTAGCTATTAATATTCATCGATTTTTACCATCCGAAAATGCAGAGATAAAATCAACATCCATCAAATCATTAATAAATTAATGAAATCATCTAAAACATCAATCCCAAGAATCCATAATAATACTAACATTTCAAAAACTCATTTGATTATTTATGCTATGCAACCTCACAATTCCTTATAAAAACATACCACAATTCCGGATATCAATTTTTCATACAAAACATCATCTTCAACCACTATGTCATCTAAAAACCAAACACAAATTAAACACGCACAACAAAGTGTTCAACAAATTTCTTGTATGGTTCAAGAAATTCTTATGTCGCATAACTCATGGGTGTTCATAGCATGCTTATACCATAGTCTAACTTATTTCTTATATGAGAGGGGACATATTCAGCATCTATGCTGAATCCCTGAAAACTAATTAAATTAATTTACATAATTAAATAATATAATTAATATAAATATATATCATCAATTTTTAATCATCAGCATGGTTCAGCACCCGATCCATGTTGTTCTTTATATCACTCATCCAACAAAGGTTGCATATCATCTATCATTAGGTCAAACACACTTCCATATTATTCTAAGAGATTCGAATCATAGTTATGTACACCCAATCTGCTCCCCAATTTTGGAAAAGTATCTTTGCAGATAACAATGTTAGAATATTTCAAGCTCGACTAAAATGCAAATCCAGGACTTCATGCAGAAAAATAACTGACAAATTAACAACTCTGAAAGTACGAAAACAAAAAATTGGCCAAGCAATGAGAGAATTAACCCCACCTTTGAGGAACACTTGGAGGAGAAATGCTGGAGATTGGATCGCACGGATTTGGCCAGGAATCTGAGTTCTTCAAGCTTCGTATCAGCAGTCCCGACGCAAAACACTTGAAGAGGACTGTTCTCCACACTCGCCATTTGATTTCTTTTTCTTCAACAGTATCCGGAATTGATGGATATGAGCAGATTGGGGATGGAGCTCAATTTTGCCAAGTTGCGTATAAAAACAGTTGAAAATTGCAGAAGAGCGACTGCACCCCCTACCCTACAGCGACAGGTGTCCTCACCTCTCGTCACATACCCACAGGCAGGCAGGGCAACGGCAAACGGTGAATCAATTGTCCGCCATTTGTATCCCCCTCAAGAACACGAAGTTTATGGGGCTCCCGTCCAGTATAGTTGGGCTTTGTGGGTGATATAGTCTGAACCCAATTGTTCGATCTTGGTTAGCATTTCTTTAATGTAATTTGCATTTAATTGGATTTGATTTTTGACTAAAATATTTATTTTTAATTAATATAATTCCCCGTCCCGCCTTTTTACGTCGTTATGTCCGCCCTTTCTATACGGGTAGGCCCGGGAGAGTGTAATTAGTATAAAAGTGGTGTCTACCTATACTTATCAATAATAATTTGGATTATTTTTTAATTAAATAAACTACAAATAAATTCTATTTCTTTACATAAAAATTATTCTTATTTCGAATAATTATATCAATTTTTTTATTTTTTTTTATTATCACTTAAATTTTATGTATAATTTTATTATTTTTATTTTAATAAATAATAATTAATTTTTTTTTATGTTATTTTTTATACTTACTCTTTTACTACTTGTGTATTAATTTTTTAATAATTTTTTTATGACATCACTTTTACTAATTTACTTCTATTCTTATTTTGTTACCAAAATAATACTTCACTTTTGACTCGTCCGTCCGGATCCAAAATATTATTCATTCCGTTCACCACATATATCTCTATTTAGGTTAACACGAATTTTAATTAATATAGTATTTTCTTCACTTTGATTCAAATGAATTATTTAAAATTTTGTAATAAATTATTAAATAATATTATTTTACTAGTTAGTAAAAATGTAAAAAAAAAATAAAAATTAAGTAGTTGTAATATTTTTATAAATAAGTATAATATTGAACGAACAATTTATATCAATAAATGTTATTTATTTGTTTTTTAAAAAAAAAATTAATTTTTGTGGATAAGAAAATAAATATAAATTTGGTAAACCGAAGAGTATTGATTTTTTTATATATATACAAAGTCACTTATCAAATATAACATTCTTTTGTTCGGATTAATTATATCACTTTAGTACTAAGTCTAAAATGTAAAAGCTTATAGAAAATTTAATAAAAAAATAATATGACAAATAAAAAAAAAATAACAACAAATTAATTATTATTTATTAAAATAAAAATAATAAAATAATTTATTTAAAAAGGCTGCATAAATTTAGTCCAAGAGAAGATGATATAATTATAGGGACGGGGTAATATTTTTGCTTAATCTAATATAGATTTATTTTAAAATTATTTAGATGGAATATGCGGGGTAATGTTTGTGGCTCCAAATAAAAATGATTTAGAAATAGGTGGAAATAGATGAATTAACGTTAATTTAATTATTTATAAATTAATAAATTGATTTAACTAAAGACGTGCAACTAATTAATTAAGATTCCTTTAATTTTAATTATTCTCTAATTAAGTGGAATCGGAAAGCTAATTAGGTAATTAAAGCTAGCGATGAACAACAATGGCGAGCTTTTCTTCCCGGTGAAACTTTATCTGTCGAGCAATGAACGCTTCGATCGCTCTCCGGAACTCCTCGTTGCTCAGCTCATCCACCATCGCCCTCCGCCGCCACTTGTCCGCCGCCGTCTCCGACCGCCGCAGCACCTTATTGTTATCACCATCGCCGCCGGATCTCCTCAGATTCTCCGATCGACTCCTCCGGACGACGCCTTTTGGCAATTCCAGAATCGCCTGCTTGTCCTCGTACACAATATTCTCCGGCGGGGGCGGCGGAGAAGACGACGGAGACCTTCCGCCGCCTGACGTGATCCAATGATTTTTGAGAATTTCGTAGCAGAGATCGTCGGAGATGGCGTCTCCGGCGGCGGCGGCCTGCTTCCGCGACTTGAAGAGGAGAGTTAGGACTATGAAATTACTGAGGAGGAAGATGGAGAAGTGGCTGAGGAGGAGGTTGAGGAGGCGCCGGAAGTACTCGCCTGAGATTCTGACGGCGAAGGGGAGGCGCGTGGAGGCCCAGACGAGGAAGAAGAAGATGAAAGAAGCTTCTAGAACACGGAACAGCTTCGCGATTGCAGAGCCAAAGCCGTTTGATTTTTTCAGGCTGCAGGAACTTGACGATGAGAAGTAGTATTTGTTATAATTATTCTTCTTATTATGATCATCAAGATCAAAGACAAGATCCATATAAACATAAAAATGTATATATATATATATATATGTGTGTGTGTAGCAGCACTGCACTGTTAGTGTCTGTTGTAAATTTCAGAGACTGATCTGAAATTTCTGAAGAGATGAATGAATGAATCGTGTGAGAAGTGGGGGTTGTCTGCCCTTATATAGACTTATTTAAATTTACGAGAAAATGGAAATTTTAAAAATAATTGAAAAAAAAAATGAAGGGGAATTATTCCTGTGAGAGTTCATATTCATTCAGGGGTAGCTACAGTTTTAAGACAATAATGTCATTTTTATTATTTTTGTCAGTTTCAAAATAAAAATTCTATCTTTATTTTGATAATAACTTTTTTGAGTTTTTTACAAAATTATTTTTATTTTTCACAATAATTTTATAGAGTCGATTATTTTGATCTTTTAAAAATATTTTTACACTCACAAAAAACTATTATTACTTAATTCATGTCTCAATCCCAAATATCACTAGCTTCCCCTGCTCAAGTCGCGGCCTTTGTCAATATTACAATAATTTTTTAAACACGGACTAAGAGTAAATATATATACATTTGAAAAAAATATTTTTTAATAATTTATTAATTATATCACTTTCTAAAATTTTATATCTATATTGTACGGGCGGAAGTATATTGGATTTGGATCCATTGATCCGATGATAAGAGATATGATTAAATGGATAATGATAATGAAGTTATATTTATGAGTATGATTTTGTAATCAAGCTCGGTGAGGTGGCCGGGACACCATCAGTCATTTTTCCTGTATGTGTATGTATGAGTACGATACAGGGGTGTGGTGGGGTGTCGGGTAGGGTAAGGTAGGGTAGAGTAGAGTAGGGGTACGTACCCCGTACCTCTGGGAGAAACATATACTTAAACATTTATCAAATTTTCATTTTAATTTATCCTAAAATAAAATATTTTATATTATATAATATTAATAAAAAGAAAGAAAAAAAGAGTATATATATATATATAGTGTTAATAGCTCTTGGTTTGTACTTTGATGTCAAAGCGTCTTTCAAGCTGCAAGTGCAGGCAGCTGGATTCATTTTTTCATTTCAAGACTGATTGACAGACAGACAGACAGACAGACGTTCAGACAGACTGTAATAAAAGTATTGAAATACTAATCAAATTGAGACAAACACTGTAAATCAATTATGTCCCTAGAGAGGAGAGAGAGCATCTCAAGCTTGTCCACGGCCAAAATAATACTCTATTCCTCCGTGCTATTGTGATCATGTTGTCATTTTTTATTTGTTTCCTGTTTCATGTCATTTTTTTTCTTGTATTTTAATTTATTTTTTTTAATTTAAATTAAATTAATTAATTATTTTAATTTTAATTAATAATAATTTATATTATAAATTAATTATTTTTATTAATATATTTTTAATTATTTATTAATTATATTTATTCTAAACAACCAATGTGAGACTGAGGAAGTAAGAATATCGGGGTCCTGACCCCCACCACGCTCAGTAACTTTTGCGTTCCATCGTTCCTTCATTTTATTTATATATATATAATTAATAATTAATTCATTGGATAATTAGGTCATAAATAATAAAGACCATCAATATATGTTACATCGTACTTTCATTTTGATTTCATCCAGGCTCTCTTCTATATATATATTTATATTTATATGTATTTTACTGTAGTAATAGTTGGGTGGAAGTAGCTAGCTAAGGCCTAGGGGGAGTAGGCGGGCTGGAACGTTCATTTTTTTATAAAAAAAATAAAAATATATTAATGGTATGTACTGATCATGTAATGTTATCACTTCAAGTCGTACTGTTGTACTCTCTGCTCATTTTGATTTTTTACTGTATCCCATTACTCTTATTTTAGCTTTGACTGCTGTCAGATCAGATCTCATTATCACTCACTCCTGTAAAATTCTGCACGGTTAAATCTTACTCTATTATTGCAATTATAAGCACACTTTCATTAATATACAAGTTTTGAGGGTTTTTTATTTAAAAAATTTAAAAATAGTAAAAATTAAAATATTCCAAAAAGGTCCATATAAATAGAGCCTTCGTTTTTTTGGATAAACCAGCTGCACAGTGCGTGGGATTTTCATGAATATATACTCTCTCTGTCATTCAAACGTGTGTTCATTTGATGGGATACAGATTTTAATAAAAACGAATAATAATTGTTAATTTTTTTTTATAATAATAAAAATGAGAGTTTTTTTTTTTTTTTTTATGATAACCCAACAAAAAAAATAAGCATAAATTTGAATGACGAAGGAAGTATTATTAATGCAAACTTATGCCTATTTTATCAAACATTAATTTCTTTAAAAAAATAATAAAAATATGTTTATTATAAAAAAAAAAATTGTAAGAAAAATTAAAATGATAAATATTTGTGGTTAATTTATTGAATTAAACAACGGTGGAGAATCTGCAGTGGGTTGAAAAGGGACGACACTCATCCATTCCATTGATTTTGATGTCTAATTCATTCCCAAATTAATTTATTCCACCTTATTTATTAATTAATTTATTTATTGATGGTTGCTTTTTACACAAAGTTCTATAAATATTAATATTATCTGGAATGCAGTAGAAATAAAATAGAAATATTTAAAACAATCTTATTAGTATTATGTGATATAAATGTAATAATATTTGTGTAATATATTATAAATTGTAAGAGTATTTGTAATGCTAGTTAAATAGTACAATTACTAAAAACGAATTAAAATAGAAAAATGTATAATTTGTTATGAGATAGAGAGAGTATATATATATATATAATCCCTAATTTGAGAAGGTATATTCGAGGACGAGTGATGGATGATCAATCGTGTATGTAATATATTCGATTAGTTAGTTAGAGTTAGTGTGTGGATTTGGGGCAAATAAGATAACTTAACTTTATTGTGGGCATCAAAGTGGAAAGAAGAATTCGAAGGTGGAAAGAAAATAGATAATTATCTTTTTTAATTGCAGATAAGAAACCTGTGTTGGAATGCCATTTTGCTGACACATCCATCTTCAGTTTTTTAAGTACTTATGTTGTGTTAGACAACATCATCGTATTCGTATCGTATCCACTGCCTGCCTCCTGATGCTGTCTTGTAATAAAATACGCCTTTTCGTTAATGGGCCTCCATTAATAAGAAGCCCAAATATTATATCTGGGCCTTTCAGCCCAACTACTCACATGTGGGCTGAAAAACTTGAGGAAAATGGTAGTAACCAATGGGGGGTTTATGGACTAATTAAGGAGTATGGGAGACGTTACAAAAACAAATACATGAGCTAACGAATGAAACCTTATGGGAAGATAATAATTAAATACAGACTAAATTGCACAAAACTCACGTGTAATTTCACAAAATTGCATTATCCTTTTTTTTTTTTTTTTTCATAAACTAACCTCATTGGTCTTTGTTTAATCTGCATGCGACCAAAATGCCAATAAATTTTAGAATTTTAATTTATAAACCCTTTAAATTACAAATATACAGTCATTGTTCTTGTTATTTAACCTCAATAAACAATAAATATGCTAAAAAATAGTTATTTTTTATTTGATTTTAAAAGTGTTTTTTTTACTGTTATTTAATGCTAAATATAAGATAAATAAATATATATTTATAACTTTAGGAGTTTAGAAATAAGTATTTTTGAAATTTATTTAGAAATGAGTTTGACGACGCAATTTTGAAAATATGAGATTTTGCGCAATTATATGAAACCACAAATGAGTTTTTATGCAATATAGCCTTAAATATAATACTATAATATAATAGATGATTTAATGGGTGAACTTATGATTATGAAGTTTATTTGTAACTTATTTTGTCGGAGTAATATATAAGTAACAACGGTCAGATTGCATTTGAAGAATAGCGATGACATATTCTTGCCTTATTAAAAATATATCATTCACACCTTATTCATAAATTTTAAAAAATTATCGACTTTTGTATTTTAAATAAGCACATTCATTATATGGATATGTTTTTTTTGCAAAAAGAAATGCCGACGTTTCTATTATTTGAATTCTGTGTTTTTCGAAAAAAATATTTTTTTTTTCTCACAAAACATTCCATCATACATTATTTTAATACAAAACTCAAACCAATTTTTTTTTTTAAATCCATCAAAGGAAACACACCCATAATTCTATTAGATTTTTAATTTATTATAAAAATTTCTTTATTAATAACTTATTGGCATTCATTTTTCTACCTTCCCGTATTATTTTTTATAAACTTTTTTTTATATAAATTTTCCCAAATACCGATTTTGTCTTTTGACCTTTTGCCCTATATGGAATACCCGATTTTGCTTAAACATCCACGATAGACGAATTTGATAATTATATACTCCCCTTCCCTTCGTTCCAAATACTATGTCTATGTTGCCCTTTTTGTCACTGTTTTTTTTTAAATAATTATACACTTTAATCTCATTTTAAATTTTTAAATTTTATTTATTTTTTATTTTAATTAAATTAATTAATTATCTTAATCATAATTTATAATTATTTATATTATAGGATAATTATTTTCGTATGGGGATTATAATTTATAATAATAATAATGAAAAGAAAATCGTGATTCGTGCCTATTACCCTGTACGGAATACCATTTTTATAAAAGAAAGGCCTGCGGAGTCCCGACCGGCTTTGATTGGGTGGGCATTGGCGTGAGGAGCGAAGCTTCTCCAGCGGGAAGAAATGTCAACGATTTCCGGAACAGTGAGTGTTTTTACGGTATCAAGGTCCAATAATATAAGCAAATTTCAGATTTCAGCCAAAAGATTGATCAATTTTCGGGAGGAGTTCGATTGCAGAGCGTCGGTGTCTCGGCATAGGGCTGCGAGCCTGTGGGTAAGCAGGCGGAGTACTATGGAGAGCTCTCGTGGAATCGCTGCGAGCACGAAGGACGATGGCATTCATTCGTTTGAGCAGGAAGCGTTAGTGGAAGAGACTCTAGGTTTTGGAGGAGGTGGTGGTGTCGAGGCTACTATGAATAATTTGGTTGGTAATTCTGCAACCCTATGTTGATTGTGTTGTTAAAATTCTCTGCTTGCTCGGAGTATATATGATGAAAGATTGAAGTTGTTTGGAAGAACTTGGAAGGAGATATGTGATTCACCATTAAAAGTAGATTCTGCCATTGATTGATGATATGTGTTGTAAGTAATTATGTTGTTAATGGATGAACTAGATAATCCATGTCATTATGAGTTTCTGATTCTGGTCATCTTGTTTAGGGTTCTTGAAAGGCTGAATTCTTGTTGTGTGTTTAGTTCTGTTTTCGAAGTCTTTTCCGATGCAATGCGATATTTTGAATTTAAAACTTATTGAAGGCCCTTTGGATAGAAGTTTTGGATATTTGAGAAACTTTGGAAATAATAAAAAAATTTGGTTATTTAGTGTGATAGTTTTACTAGAGAAAAAAAGATATTCGATGCAAAAGTTAATGTTGTAGAATCTATTAAAGTTCAAAAAGTATCTATGTAAATTTGAGCTAGGAGTTGGATGCGACCTTTTGAATCGTCTTAGATGTACATTTTAAATAGAAGGGTAAAGGATATAACACATCTTTGTATTTTCCTTGTGTTTTTATAAAGTTGGTATAGAATACTCTTTTCATCAAAAAAATAACAATGGTTAAGAATCACACATAGCCCGGAGACACCATAATTGGCCATCCATAGTAGTTTCTGTTTCTGTATAATCTTAAGAAAACATAAGAAGAGTGTATTATGTATTTTACCCTAAATAAAAAGTAGGCGTTAAATGTAATGTTTGTATATATTTTACACTCGAATAAATAGTGCGAAAGCGCCTTTGAAAACAAAGTAAACACACCTTACTAGATGTGTTTTTTTATAAAATTTTTAAGTTCTCTCTTTTTTTATTTGAAAACATGCATTTTGCCATAATGCTGTTGCTTGATGACATTTTATGATTTCGATTGGTTTATTGGCCCGTATTTTCAGAGCAAATGGATCACGCTAGTATTTTTTGCTGCACTGATACTCTGGAAGCACGATGCAGAGTCTTTATGGACTACCATGGGTGCTGTTCTCAATACTGGACTCTCAGTTATACTTAAAATTATACTAAACCAAGAAAGGCCGATTCCTACATCAAGACCAGACCCGGGAATGCCTTCTTCTCACGCACAGTCCATCTTCTATATGACCACATATTTCAATCTATTGTGTAAGCCTGCATCGCCATTGTGATATCTTTTTAAGCATATTTCCATTCTGCATCTATTACTTTTTAAGAAGCTTTGATGCCATTTATATGGTTATGGTGGTTAATTGTGCATTTCTTTTCTCTGCTTCGACATTTTTACCCTTTGTACTTTTATTTTGCTGACCTGCTTAAAAAATGATGGCATTTTTGTGAGAAAGACACCAAGATATAGTATTGCAACACTGAAAAATACCCCATCATTTGCTTAAGTTCATTAAATTGCGATTGTAATTTGAGTTTCCTATATTATTATAATGCATCAGGTTTGTGCGACTAATGTGTATTTCTCATTGCAGTGGTAGCGTCGTTTGGGATGAATGCAGTTACTGGAATTCTCAGCACAATCTTTTTCATAGTTGGATCTTATTTTGTAAGTATGCCAGTTGTTTTCGATTTTACGTCATATATCTCTGGATTGGCAACAGCCTAGAATTCATTTTCATTTTCGACGACTTGCATTCAATAGATCACATGTTATGGCAAAGCCCGGGAGAGTGGGGATCTGCTACAGAAAATCGGGGATTTCATAAGTGATTATATATCAAACCTGCCCAAATATTATGCTGTCCTGACATATTTCGTTGCTCATGTTTGCAGTCATGGCTAAGGGTCGCCCTACAATATCATACAATTAGCCAGGTCGTTGTTGGCGCCGTTATTGGACTAATTTTCTCCGTTCTGTGGTTTTGGGGGTGGAATAATTTTGTATCTCATTATTTTGCATCATTCTTGTGGCTTAGAATTGTGGTTGTTATAGGTTCGATTGCATTCTGTTTGGCCTTTCTTCTTCATGTTTATCAAACCTGGATTTGGGAGGAAAGGTCCGAGCAATTATAAAGCTTTTGTGTAGGATCTGTACTGAATTAGTTCGGTTAGCCTGTATCGAATTGATTTATAGCTTGCGAATGAATCGAACAACCATGCTCTTTTCTATATATGTTATCAAGAAATCTGAATAACCAAAAGCCATAATCTCTGTGTATTATTCTTCTGAAATGTTTAGGATTGAATCAAGATCTTGTACAGTGACTTCTTTACAGGATATTAGCTCCAAAAGGGCGTAGATTTCATCGATCTTCGGGTGGGATTTGTCGCCGGCAACGAATGCAGAAATGCAGCCCTTAACCTTTGTCCAAGACCATCCAGGTTCTTTCACGACGCCTTTCGCTTTCATCATTCTTCGCATTTCTGCCGCTTCTTTCCATTTCCCTTTCGACGCATATATATTCGCCATTGTTATATGTGTTCCTGCACAGTCTGGATCCAGTTTAAGCACCTGCTCTGCTGCAATCCTTCCACACTCAATGTCGCCGTGTTCTCTGCTGGCTCGTAGCAGAATAGACCAGACGACGTCGTCTTTCCCAAACGGCATGCTCTCCGTCATCCTCAGAGCTTCGCGTAAACGCCCGCCTCGACAGAGAAGATCGATCATGCAGCCGTAGTGTTCTTTCGAAGGATCGATTCTGTGCTCTTTACTCATCGAGTCGAAGTAACGGAATCCGAGGTCTATAAGACCGACATGGCTACAAGCACTGAGAACGCCGATGAACGTGACAGAGTCTGGCGTCAATCCAACTTCGCGGATTCGTTCGAAAAGATCGATCGCTTCTCGGCTGTATCCATGCTCGGCGTATCCGTTAATCATCGCTGTCCACGACACGATATCGTTGGCCTCCAAGGTATGAAATATCTTCGCTGCGTCGACTATGCTCCCGCATTTCGAGTACAGGTTTATCAAGGAACTTTGTGTCATCGCCGTTCGATCTAAACCTACGATCAAAGCGTACGCGTGAAGCTGTCTTCCCTGATCGAGTATCGCCATACTCCCGCAGGCGCTCAAAACGCTCGATACGGTGAATTCGTTTGGCTCGGGTCCTTCCCTTCTCATTGACGAAAAAAGCTCGAAAGCTTCCTCTCCACACCCTCCTTGCGAATAACCCGCAATCAGAGTACTCCAAGAAATCACATCTCTTCTCGACATTTCGTGAAAAACAATCGAGGCGAAAGTCGAGCATCCGCATTTCGAATACATCGTCATCAGCGAGTTCGCGACGGATAACGAATGCGCGAGACCTACTCGAAGAGCAACGGTATGCAATTGCTGCCCCCAGTCGAGCCTCGTCATATTTGCGACGCCCGAAATCACGGCGGCGTAAGTGTACTCGTTAGGAGCTACATGACGCGCCCGCATCTTCAAAAAAGAATCGATCGCCTCTTCCTCCCGCCCCGTCTGAACAAACGTGGTTATTACAGACGTCCAAGAGACCACGTCGGGCGCGCTCATGTCGTTAAACAGGCGCATGCCATAAGAAAGCTTCCCGCACTTGTTATACATCGCGGCGAGGCTATTGCACACGTACGAGGTTGTGTCCACGCCCTTCTTCATCGTCCGAGCGTGGATCGCCCTCCCGTGATTAAGACGCTCTAAATCAGCGCATGCTTTCAACGCGATCGCGAACGTATACGCATCATACTCCACCCCGTCGCTCCACATTTGAGCGAAATACGACATTCCGTGCGAACTAAGACCCGTGCGGACGAGTCCCGTGATTATGGCTGTCCACGACACTTCGTTTTTCAATGGCATCTCGTCGAAGACTCTACAGCCGTCGAAAACTCGGCTATTCTTCATGTACATATCGAGTAAGGCGCTCCCGACAAAAACGGAGGTAATGAGACCGACTTTCGTCGAGTAAGCGTGCAATGTTTCGCCATAATTCACGTCGGAGTTCAAGCCGCATGCCTTGAGAGCGAGGCTGAGCGCGAAGGGATCGACTCGGATGGTCGGCTGCGCCGACATTTTCGAGAAGAGAGAGAGAGCTTCGGATAGGTTGGAGGCATTAACATAGCCTGAAATCATGATCGTCCAAGTCACTTCATCTCTTTGAGGCAATGTGTCGAACAGGTTGCGGGCACTTTTCAACTCTCCAGATTTTGTAAGTAGTTTGAGCTGTGAGTTGATTTCTGGCATGTTGAATTGCTCGGATTCGTGTGAGATTGAGCCGTTTGATCCTTCTTCTGAAGAGAAAATGTTTGCGGAAGCAAGGAATGATCTTGCGAATGATCTACGGGCAATGAATGGCCTCAGCGACAGCACCATGTTGATGTTTGTAGGCGAATAGAAAGCTAAGTCTGCGATTTTTGTAGCGTAAGATTTAGGAGTAGAGATTGACTTCTGCCCGAGAACGAATCCATAGCTGGGCTTAGATTGAATGACAATCGCCTACAGCAGAACCCTGTGATTCAGTAATTTTCCTGTAAAATGATGGAATCGAGAACTCGGAGGAAGATGATGGGTGTTTTTAAAGTTTGGATTTGAGAACCAGAAAAAAATAATTTTTTTAAATGGTAGAATTTTGAAAATTTTTAAAAATAATAAAAAAAATTAAATATTTAATCTAGTATTTTACTAAATAATTTAATAATTTGATATTATATTTTTTCAGTATCAACAAAAAAAAAAAAAAAAAAATGTTTTTAAAATGTAATTAATTGTAAAAAGAAAGAAAATACTATTAAGGTAAAGAAACAAGTCTCGGATAAGTTGTGGTTTGGAAACTGCAGATGTATATATATGTATGTAATGATCGTTACAACGCCAAGAAAACAGACAAAACTCATCAAACTCCCAACCACACACAACAATAAAATGGATCATCATCCATCCACTCTGTATATATCATATATATATATATATATATATATCTATATCTATAGTCACAGTATAGCTTCAAGATTACCATCCACTCTGTATATATCATATATATATATATATCTATATCTATAGTCACAGTATAGCTTCAAGATTAACATCTTCAGCAAGCTCATTCCTTCCTTCCCCTAAAAATGCAGTTTCTTTTCATGTTAATAGACACTCTGTATGTCTTCTAAAACAACCTTACCTTTCTCACTGTCAATTTCCGATGCGCCGGCCCCGGTTTCTTCCGGCCGGTCGCGCATGAGCCCTCCTCCACCGTTCCAAGTTCCTCATCCGGACAAATATCCGACGAATCTGTTCCAGCTTATGCGCATGCTGAGCTATAAGGTTCGCCGTCGAGGAATTCTCATCCAACACTATCTCATACCCGTCTCTGAACGAATCCATTCCCGGGGCCAGCAGCTGCCAGAACAGCCCTCCGGCAGCCGGCCCGCCCCGCCTGGCCGAGCTATAGATATTCAAGTAGACAACATTGAAGAGCGTGTCTCTTTGGTACGGGCTAAAACCGGGAACTTTCCAAGATTTTCCGAATTCTGTGATCAGCAAGGGCTTGCGGAGTATGTTTTGCGCGTCTTGGATGTGTGCGCCGAGCCATTTTCCGAGGAAGGCAAGCTGGTCGCGCTCGCTCGATCCCGATATCCTAATCAATCATCGATAATAAACATCATGGAAGAGAGCTAAGAATTTTTGTTAGTTTAGTTAGGAGAGAGGACACACACCATTGATCGGGGTATGAGTGTACGGTCGCAAAATCGATACCGGGGATCCTGTTGTTTGCGATGAAATCAGTTCCGATGTCGAAGCCAGCTGGATTAAGATGAGTCCTCCAACTAGATGACACGCCGTAGAATCCTTCCAACCCGGCTTCGAGCAAATGGTTTCGGTCTATGGACTTCACGTAAGCAGCCATCTCCGCTATCCATACCTGTCGAAACCAAAACCGAAACCGACAGAACAGAACCACCCTTAGCTTAAACCAATATGTACAACAGTAAGAGATATTGTTTCATCCTATAGATAAATGCTTAAGACTCAAGAATATCTTCCAAGATCATGTAAAGTTTGTATCTTTTGGAATGGGGAAACTGATCAATGTAATGTGGGGTAGGGGTGGGGGTGGGGGTAGGGGTCGGGGGGGTGAACTTGTGGCATATCACATGGTGGACCTCTGCCCAATTTAATTTTCTTGGTTTGATCTCTCAGATCAGTTCCATCTGTCCTCCAAACTAAAAGATCTTCTCAACTCACTTCACTCCTAAATATGTGGAAAAGAAGATAACCACATTGAACTCCATTAATGTATTCAAGTTTGGGGTTTCATCATCCAATATAGATAGGACAGGTTAATAAAAAATGCACAAGAACCTGAATGGTCCGGCCAGACGGATCGGACGGGCATCTGGGCTCGTTCATGAGCTCCCACGCCATGATTGTCGGATCGTTCTTGTACACAAGTCTCGTAAAGGTATTGTATCGATTAAGAACTGTCTGCAAGGTGTAAACACAGAAAGGGATGTGAAACAGATAGATCAATTGAGTTTTCTTTTGCTCGGAAAGATGAAAGAAATGGAATCTCATCATGCTATGATATATATATACCCTTATGTGGTTCCTGTAAAAGCCTTTGACAACTGCGTTTCGAAAGAAATCGTCATTGGAGGTAAGGCGCTGCCCTTGATTTCTAGCCCAGTTCACATATTGCTTCTTTCCCCCGAAGCTTTCGTAGTTATTGGCCAAGCTTAATATCAGCCTGATCCCATGTTTTCTTGCTTCAGCGATCACAAAATCCAGTCCCTTCACGAATCAAGAGCCACCGAAACATAGAAAATCACGACGATGTAGAAAGGTGAGGATGCAGACACTTATATATGCAATGTGTATGCAAGCTAATGTGTGATTTTCTCATACGAACAAACCTTAAAAACTTGTTCGTTATAAGAACCAGGGTAGCGCTGCAACGGGCGGTACCCGCCATCGCTGAACGCCCAAGTTCTTGCAACAGTGAGTCCATGGCTTGCAGCTTGGCGAAATGCAGCCGAGACTTTGGCCCTCTGCGAAGGGTCGGAGGCCACATACATGAGCCAGTAGGCATTGAAGCCGTTGGCGTAGAAAGGGTTGCCATTGAGCATGAAATGGATTCCTTGACTCCTGATGAACATATCTCCATTCGAAAGAATCAACTTTGCTTGGAGCAAAATCGAAATCAGGAACACGCTGCTCAAATGCAGCTTCTTCATGTTCTTGTTTCCTGTTTCAGTTAAAGAATACACAATAAAGAGAGGATAGGGAGTTAGTGAGTGAGTGATGGTGACGAATGCCCTCCTATTTATATCACAAAACAAAGCAAGATTTGATCCACCAAAACATGTAATGTATGTATATATTATTCACAGCAGGACCCATCTTGTGATCATAATAATATCACAGATAAAACAAAAGAAATTTAATAAAATCCGGTGAACTTATTTATCAAGAACATTTCATTTGCATTGAAATGTGCAGTTCAACAACTGAAAAGATAAGACAAGAAAATGAAATCAACCACAGCAACTATAACAAGAAGTTACGAGCCGAAGAAAACTTACCCGATCGTTGCATTAAAACTATACCTTGATCCGTTGGCGAACCTAACACTGGCCTACTTTCATCCTCACCATTAAGCAGTTGGTTTTTGCTGCAAGAAAATCAAACTGGGATGGTGATGTGTGTGTTTTTGTTAATGGGTCAAAGAAATTCTTGACATTTAGGAGCAGAACAAGCAGTGATTAATGGCGTGATTGATGGCCTTGTGCTACTGCTTTTAATTTCACCTTTTCTTGGATTGCATTGCAATCAACTGCCAACCACTTTTTCTTTTCATTTTCTCTGTAACATAAAAGTAGAGCACCATCAAGGGCTTCTTTTTTCTTTTTCATCCACAAATTTCATTTGTTCAACTTATACAACATCACAACGATGGCTGTCGCCGGCACACAGCCGACTGGACTGCAAAAGACGGTGACATTAGGGTGTCTGAACAGGCAGCATCAGTCGTTGTTGCCAAAATGTGCAGCCATTTGGTGCCATGGGATGAAATACGGTTAATGTCAGGAAGCTTGAATTTGGCCACCGTAGCCGTAGAACTTGAGGAGCCCCTCGTTCTGTCGCCAGTTCTCTTTCACTTTTACTTCAATCTGCATTGTTTGGCTTCTATCACTCGTTTTACCATTTGCAATGTGTTAATCCATTATTTGGTTATCAGAGAAAAATTATACCTCGAGGAAGACTTTCTTCTGCAAGAAATCTTCTATATCCAGTCGAGCTGCTGTTGCTAGTAGCTTTAATGCTTTCCCTTCCTGACAACATAAGAGATAATGATCAGGACCATAGCATTGCTGCTTATAGATACATTCAATCTGGCTTAATAGTCTACAGTTTGAAGTTTAAGACAACAGGTAACCTTCGAATTTCAGCGTAGCTTGTTCAGTGAGAATCATGTTATTATAATGGGACTTTGAAGGATTAAAGGAAACGCATTTCGATTCTAATAACAATGGAAGTACTTCCATTAATCTGATACTTTTTACAATTACACAAGTTTCCGGGTATTATATCATAAAGGAATCATCCAAAATAACTAAATGGCTATGTAGATACACAAGATGTACCAGTACAAAAAGTAACGGGCTAAATAAAAAGTAATGAATAAAGATATTCAACCTTTCCAATGAGGATGATCTTCTGTGAATTCTTCTCCACAACAATCTCAACTTGGATAAAATCTTTTGCATTTGGTCTACTTTTATAAGCAACCACATTAACCTGTAAAGATGGAGAAAATGATGAAGGAAATAAAAAGTGATGAATCACATGCAGAATAGAAGTTTTTCAAAATTTTATTATTATATTTACCTGGCAAGCATAGGGAACTTCATTTCGGTATTGCATAAAGATTTTTTCTCTGATAATTTCAGCTACAAAAAACCTTTCAGGATGCTCACTTGCAATATCCTGCAGACATATAATCAATCATTGGATTGCAAATGTATAGACTTGCATAGCATAATAATATCGACAATCCTCAAGCGGTTGTATCAATTCAAAACTATATATCATCAATCCTCCAGCTAGCTATACGAAAAACCTCATTTATAATTGGAATCTTATTACATACATGTCGTGAATACAACACCACTCACCTTAGGATAATAAGCTGGCCCATAAGGAAGTTTTGACAGAATCCATTCCTTGACATCTTCTACGCCATCGCCATACTTGGCACTTACAGGTATAACCTCATCAGCATCTGTACATTTCTCATACCACTGCAGGACATGTGGCGTTCATTTAGATAAATTAGTGGACCATGCCAGAAGTAACAGTAACCTATTGAAAGCTTCGATATGCAGGATTAAAGGGAGCAGGAGCTACAGAACAGTCCAAACTATTGAAGGCAACTTCCGTCATATTAATGACTTGTACTTCAGAATAATGCCCGGAAAGAAGAAATCAAGCTACCATCATATGTTTAACAATAGTATACAATGGAGAAGAAATATACCTCAATTTTCTTGGCGATTTCACCAGGTTTGATGAGGTCCTTCTTGTTTAACACCAGCAAGGTGGGTAATTTGCCTTTGAACTCTCCAACCCCTTCCAATACTTCCTCAATCTAACAAAATATCTAGTGTTAATTTAAGGCATAATAGACGACAAATTTAGGCTGTCTTATTATCGACATGAATGGGATACCGTTTGAGGTATCTTAGTGGCATCAACAACAACAATCACACAATCTGCATTGATGGCAGCACTGCGAACATTCTTCATCATCATAGAGTCCAGTTTGTGCATTTTCTTCTCAATAACACCTGGTGTGTCATACAGTATCATCTACAAGAAATCACAACAGAGATTATTGGAGCAAACATACTAATTCATCTTCATTATACTTAATCCATTAACAAACACTCAGACTACTCCACCAACACAGAGGAGCTGAAACAATGTTCAGAAACATCAGCGATAGCATTAAAATAGTACAAACTACCTTAACCAATCAGTTCTATTGAGAGGTTTTCTATATTTTGTTATGATTAGGTCGTTGTTATTATATGATTATATCAATTAGATTAGGAAGTTATTATTTGAGTCTATTCACATCTATTCAGAAGATAGCTGCGACCGGGACATTTCCTCTCCTATAGATTGAGTGACTAAGTTCCTCTCCAGCTATTTTATAGGCTCTAAAATTATTATTAATACGAAGCATCTTTGGAATTCTGCAAAATGTAGCATGATATCATAGCCACGTAATCTCTAGATTCTGAAATATTCAACTATGCCAACAATCGCCCACCTATCAAATTCGTTTTTCAGTTTTCTAAAGTCTTAATTCTGCCTTCGATCATCTGTCCTAATTCTGTTGAGAGCTATGTTTTCGATTTTTAACATCACTGAGAGCCCCGATTCTAATGTTGTTAAGACTTTTAGTATTGTTTCCGATTCTAACTCTAATGCTTCAGACTCTTCACGACATTGGGAATCCTATTGAGTGCATTGAGAGTCTGTGTTTTCGACCCCAATTGACTATTCAGCATCCTATTTCTTTGAGCAAACAAGTCTTTATTCTTTGGTGGTTATACCATTTAGATTCGATCGTTAATTAGTTATTATCTAAAGTCTATTGATTTCGTTATAAATAAGCAACTCTAGAGTTCTGCAGATCGTAACAAGCTACAAGTACCTCAGACCTTACAGGAACCAAAATAATTACACAAACATCAAACTTGAAGATTATCGAACCTGATAAACAGGACCAGAGCAAATTCCAAGGATTCGATGCCTAGTGGTCTGAGGCTTATCAGTGACGATAGAAAGCTTTTGGCCAAGCATTTGATTGGACAGAGTACTCTTCCCCACATTGGGCTTCCCAACCACCGCCACATACCCACTCCGGTGGTTTGGGTTATCCGCCTCAAAATCCATTTCTTCCATCTCGTAATCGTCCAACAGAGACATGTTCCGATCGGGCTTCATACTCAACGAAAGCAATGTCGAAGACGTGTCTGCATCCTCGTAGTCCTCATCAATTTCGCTTTTCATGTAATATCCACGAGGTTCGATAAGAGAAGCAGCTGACCTTTTCTCACTCGTCGTAGAACAGCAATTTACAGCTCTTCCCAAATTCCTCCTTCCCGCGGCTTTAAGAGCTTTTCTCTGGTGGATTCGAATTTTTGTGGTGGGAAGGAGCGGGAGCGGAACATTGTACTGCAAACACACTTCCTTCATGCTGAATTCTCGGAATTACCAACGGATCACTCTGACCATTGCCGCCGCAACTTACTCTTGAAAGATAGTCGTTGGCTTGCAGAATTTCAGTTGGACTGCTCCGACACCATGGCCAAAACCAGAAGGTTATCTGCTCGATTTCTTCCCCGTCGCCATCTGCAAAGGGAGTCTACCTTTATTGCTAAATGGACCGATAAAAGGCCCAAAAATTTACGTTGGCCCATATTTATGGGCCTATTTAAGGCCCACGGGAGGTTTGTTGGGGTTGCCCCTTTCAACAAGAAAGGTTTTCGATTTGTAAGTCATTCCTCTGCAAATCTACTGAAACTCTCCGCCTTTACAACCTTCGCATCGCGCTGAATTTGCTCTGAAAATTACAGGTGAGCTTTCCCGTTTCTTGTATGCAATGTTTTTCTTGTATGGTAGATGGATTCTTGGTTTTCCTTTGTATTTTCTGGTGTGTGTCTCGTTGCTTGCGGGAAGATGTAATTCTGATCTATTGATTGTTTGCGAATAATCGGTAATGAACTATTTGTTAGGTACGATAAACGCTATCATTTCGTTTCTTTGTGTCCGTTTCCTGTTGTTTAATTTCGCTCCGTAATTTTTTTTACCGTAGAAATTGTTAATTCTTGTAGTTAGGGCAAATTTGGGGGAGAAGTGATACTTGTTCTTGCTTCCGGAATTCATTTTCAGTTTTCATCTGTGCTGTATTTTTAACCTTCATTTACGAAGAATGTGAGGAAAGAAATGTTAAAAGTTTTGAGCAAGTAGAAAACGCTGCAGAATTTCGTAGAATCTTGACTTCTTTGAAACAAGCCTAATTGATTAGTCATCTCTACATCAGTTGTGTTTATTTATGGTATTCTTGATGGTAATATATTGCCAATTTTGTAGTGTTTGGTTTAGATTTGCAGATCTTCAGATTGAATATTGATAACCATGTCTTCATCGCCTTTCCCTGCCACAACTGATTCACTTACTCTGGCTTCCGATGCCAAAACCCCTTCTGAGGCTATCTCCATCCTTTATGGGATCATTGAAAGCCCTTCATCTTCTTCGGAAGCTCTGCGCATTAAAGAACAGGCTATTACCAACATTTCAGACCTTTTAAGACAAGAGGGTCGAGCAGAAGATCTTCAGAATCTGCTCACTAAGTTGCGACCTTTCTTTTCGTTGATTCCAAAGGCAAAAACTGCAAAAATTGTCCGTGGAATTGTTGATGCAGTGGCTAAAATTCCAGGCACATCTGATCTCCAAATCACTCTTTGCAAGGAGATTGTGCAATGGACACGTGCTGAAAAGCGAACCTTTTTGCGCCAGCGAATTGAAGCGAGGCTTGCGGCACTGCTGATGGAAAACAAGGAATATTCAGAGGCTCTGAATCTCCTTTCAGGGCTTGTCAAGGAGGTCAGAAGACTGGATGACAAGCTACTGCTTGTGGAAATCGACTTACTTGAGAGCAAACTCCATTTTTCTCTGAGAAACCTTCCGAAAGCCAAGGCTGCGTTAACTGCAGCAAGAACAGCTGCAAATGCTATATACGTGCCTCCAGCGCAACAAGGAACTATAGATTTGCAGAGCGGAATACTTCATGCCGAGGAGAAGGATTACAAGACTGCCTACAGCTACTTCTTTGAAGCATTCGAAGCCTTCAATGCTCTTGAAGATCCGCAGGCAATTTACAGCCTTAAGTACATGCTCCTGTGCAAGATTATGGTAAGCCAAGCTGACGACGTGGCGGGGATTATATCATCACCAAAAGTCGGCTTGCAATATCAAGGACCAGAATTAGATGCAATGAAAGCCATTGCTGATGCTCATTCGAAGCGCTCTCTCAAGCTTTTCGAGGTTGCTTTGCAGAATTTCAGGAGCCAGTTGGATGAAGACCCCATTGTTCACAGGCACCTTTCTTCTCTTTACGACACATTACTGGAGCAGAATCTTTGCAGGCTGATCGAACCTTTCTCAAGAGTTGAAATCGCACACATTGCTGAGTTGATTGAGTTGCCGGCCAACCATGTTGAGAAGAAGCTATCTCAGATGATTCTTGATAAGAAATTTTCAGGAACTCTAGACCAGGGCGCAGGTTGCCTGATCATATTCGACGACCCCAAGACGGATGAGATATATACAGCAACCTTGGACACTATTTCAAATATGGAGAAGGTTGTGGACAGCCTCTATGCAAGATCTGCCAAGATAATGGCTTGAGGTTTGCTTTGCAGGTCGAAATCTTTTGCATGCTTAGTTACTTTCTTTATCACAGATTTTACTGTTGCTCATCTCTCTGTAATTCCTTCTTGAATCCTTGATGATGTCTGTGACACCTTATTGAAGTTTGGTTTAGTGATCTAGCACAATCTCATTATGTTAAGAACTTGGTAGCATTCTTGTCTATGGAGGAAATGCTATGAAGTTATTTTTTAAAATGTTGATTTCTGGCTGGATTTATGATCATATCTGAGTTCTAATTATTCACATGAGATGATATTCTTGAAATGCATTGATGTTTGCTAGATTAAGCTTGTTAGGAACTTCCATTGTTGTCCAAACAAAGACAGTACATTTTAGCTAGCCTAGTAAAAACATGAAATCATATTTCAAATGGCATAGAATCAAAAACCATTAGCAAACAAATCCTACAAGATTTGTGCATTGTTTGGTGTGCTTTTCTTATTGGGTGGATTGCTACATCCCTGTGTGATAAAAATCATGTTGTTGCAACCAACAGAAAAATACATTGTTGGTATCCACAAGATAAGATGGTCAGTATAATACCTCATGCCCCATGTCTTATTATTTCTTTCTATGTTTTTGTCTGTGTACTAAGTTACGAAAGAAGCCCCTACTTTGGTTTGGGTTCGATTTTGGAGGGAGAAGATGACTCTTTTCCACCCTTGAAGTACGAATATGCTAAGACGGCTGAACCGATTGAAATCGCAGCAGCAATAGAACCCCAAGCCCATCTCTGCCTTCTCTTCCTTTTTTGCCGGAGTCGCCTTGACATTTCTGTGCACAAACAATACGACGGCATCACTCACACAGAAAGACCAAAGAAAGCTCGTATAGACCAATATTCGAAAGAAACCAATACAATAGACATTCTAGGAAACAAAAAGAAGATGAACATCTATTCCACTTACGAACCAAAAAAATTACTCCAAGAATTTGACACACAAGATCATTTATGGAGACATATAAGCCTATGTTGTCTAAGATATTTGGCCTCAACATGTCGAAGAAGAAGCTAAGATTCATCTTTCTAGTATATAAGCACACAACGGGCATAGCTCAAGGCAATCATCAAATAAGTTTGGAAAGAATTTAAAAGAGCATGCGTTGAAATCTCACCTACAACTTCTTGGTTCCTTTGAGACATTTCTTGATTCACCGCTTCATAATAATGAAGCCTGTCCCATAAGCGGGCAATCTCGATGTTTTTCAGGTCTATTTGAGCCTGCATCTCCATTTCAACCTCAGCCTTTGCAATTCCCCTTCCGATCGTATTTGACACAAAGCGGGCAATATAGACTTGCTGGCACAAATCTGCTGCAATGGCAACAGGTTGTTCGCCCACTGGCTGAGAAGTTGGATCCAAAGGCAGTGTCAGCCCCACATGAGATAATTGTTCGCGTATCCTCTGCCATTGGCTTCGCATATTTTGTAGGGTTTCTTCTGCTTGCTTCCTCTTCTCTATCTCCGCCAATAAGCACAATCTAATCTCCCGTGATTCAGTCTCGATATCTCGCATTGATAGATGAGAACCAGTCTCTGACAATTCTGGAGAATAAGATATGACAAGTTGAGAAAATGTAACAAATGGTAGTTGAAGGAGACGAAAAAGTATAATGTTAATTTCCACCAAATCACCAAACAAAACATTCTTCACTTAACTATATCTATAGCCCATATGACTTAAGAAAACAAAATACTACAAGAATTGTAAGTTACGATCATAGTTGTCAATCTCAAATAGCTTTATATAGCTGTCAACCTCTAAAATGCTTTGGCGGAATAGCGGATAGTAGGACGACCTCTATTTAAAAATTTAAGAAGATACATAGAAAAATTATTATACATACAAAATTACAATAAAAATGCATAAGAAAGTTTCTATAAATTAATCTCATAATTATCTTTCAATCTAATAAAATTGCAAAAAGTTTTTAATCATAGTTGATAGATAGCTATATAAACAAAAACAATTAGACTACAACTACTTTGATAATCAAAATCTGATAAATAATTTATTTTCTCATTTTACCATCTTCACTGCTACTTTTGTATGAAAATTCTTCCTCTTCTTCGTTTTCTTTTCTAGCTTACTTCATTTCTTCGTCATATTGCACAATATTCTTTTCCTTTTTGGAGCTTGAAGTAATTATAGTATACTATAATACCAAATAACAAATATAATATTATATTGTAAATTCTAAACCTATCTAAACCTACTTATGATCAAATTTATAATATATTATTTTTAAAAGGCATTCCGCTAAAAGCTGTGACGCTGCTATTACATAAAAGCAGCGCAAGAGCATAATGTCGCTCTATTCCACTACACTGCTATTAGCGCATTAATGACAACTACGATCACGATAATAATGAAAACAACAAGAAGCGAAATATGTAAAAGGAAGTACCTTCCCATGCATCATAGAACTCAGCCATAGGTGTCATAGACTTCAAGAACCGTTCATCCCAAGCAAATCCTTCATTTTCACTAATGCTCCTAGCACTCACTGAATCCTGCGGATCAACAAAAGTATCGTCCTCACCTTCTAGGTGTAGATGAACTGCCACAGGCTTCAACATGCCATTCTCCCCTTGAAGGCCATTTTGCACATCACTGATTTCATGGTTATCGACACAAAGCCCATTCAAATGCTCTTCCTTGGGATCTTCAACGCTAGGTAATTTCGTGGGTTCCATAACCATGCTCGGAACACAAGTATCATCCTTAGACGCATTTGCTACCCCTTTTTCTGCAGCATCCCAACCTTCATCTACATTAACCTCATCTCTGGCTGCTGGTTCACGAGCTGCAACATCCTCTTCAGAGAAACTCTTCATTAAACGTGGACCGCGTCGCTTGTGATTAATAATGTAAGGTGATGGCGGGAACGACGAAGGAGAATCAGGAAGCGGTGTCGATTCAGGAGTCGCATATAGTGCAGGAGATATCTGAGTCCAATGGTGCTTTTTCTCCACCAGTGAAGCTGTAGGTGGCGGCAAACTATTTCTCCTGTCGAGCTTCTGTTTGGAACCAGCAAGAACTACCAGATCAGTCTTGGAATTTGGAGGAACGCTTACTCCCCTACCTAGTTTAGGCTTCGGAACATCGCTGGGTCGTCTTTCTGGCTTCAAGCTAGGGGGATCTGTTTCCCTGTCTTTCAAAGTGTTAGGAGCGCTATGCCTCCTATCAAGCATTGAATCATTTGAATCTTGTGAAAGCACCATGGACTTTGTAGCTCCAGGTTCTATTAGCCTATCCAAAGCTATGGCTGTGAACGTCGGCATGACTTTCCAGCATCAAACAATCTACAAAGAACATAAGAACAGTTTTTTATAACCCTAAACAGCTACCAGGACAAAAACAAGAACAAGTTAAAAAGTCCATTTCAACGATATACAAACCTCCAAATTTTCATGAATACGAAGAGAAGCATACCACACTTACCACTCAAAAAGTTCTGATAAATTCCATATTCATAGAATTCGAAGAAAAAGGAAAGAAAGATACAGCAGAGAATTTGGAATTTGATCGTTGGTTTGGAGCATAACGTTATCGTTTTCCAAAGTTCAAGGAATCGTATGAAATCGTATCGAAACCACCAACGACAGACAAAAAAATCAAAATTATGAGCAGTCGGAAGGGAATTCTCGAAATTAAAAAATCTTCCAACACACGAGGCGTGAATTATCAACGAGGAAGTAATCGCCAGATGAGAGATAACAATCAAAATCAACGATTAATGCAAAGGAGTAATAGGAATAAGAGAAACTCACCGAAAGAGCGTGAAAAATGAATTGCAGGATTCGGAGGAATCAACGGAACAATAGCGTGAGAAAGAAGAAACCCTTGCGCTCATCTAAAGGGCAAAATTGCGGAATCAGCAGCATCAATGACGTAAGAAACGAAGAACAGATCCGTGATTCGGACCATATCGCTTGCGCTTGCGGACGGACACACACGATGTTCGCCGCTCTCTCTTTCTCTTTCTCTCTCTCTCTAAAAATCGAAATTGGAGCCCTAAAGTTTGGGAGAAAGATGAGAGAGTCTGTTATGTTATGCCACACAACAGATGAGACAACAGAGTGTGTCGTCTACTCTTCTTCTTCGATTGGATCGTCTTCTTCTTCCCCCTTTTATTAATTAGGTCACCAAAATTCGGCCGTGGCGACTGACTGCCATTTTTGTGCGTCTGAGGATGCTTCGGCGATCGCGTCTGTCTCTCTCTCACCACACCTTATTCATGAATTTGAGCATAAACAACGCTTATTTATTTATTTATTTATTTTGAAACTTTTTATTAAATATTTGAGTCAAATATGCATCAATTTTTTTTTTCTTTATTTTTATTATTTACTATGCGGCTGCAATTTCTTTTCTTCCTGCAAAATAAATACAACTCCTCCCATTCAAATCTTTCAATTTTTTATTTTCGTCTGTACCAATAAAATTATCATTTTCTAATTTAATAATTATATTATTTATTTAATATAATAAATCTTCTTTTAACTTACAATATATTATTTAAATGTCATTATTTTTATATTATATTATATTAAAGGTATTTTTATTTTTTTTTACTACAATTCAATATAATATTAAAAATTTTTGGCAAATGTCACCCTTCCAAACCCTTCCAATAGGACGGATGGAGTAGTATATTTAACAATTACATTGGCACAAATTCAATTAAAATAATTAAGCACTTCATTGCCCCCAATATTTTAAAATACTTATCTAGCAAAGGTTTAATAATTGCTACTATAATTTTCTCGAGAATTTAGGATTTGTTTTGTTAGAGTTTGAATATTGGAGATTGTTCAATTTTTATTTAAATAATATTTTCTTTAAAAATAATCATATTCATGCCAATGTTATTCAACTTATATTTTAAATAAAAAAATTATATAATTTATTTATTAAATATTATATAATTTTTTTAATAAATAATTGATAATAAAAAATAATATTTTTTATTAATGATTAACCTTTTATGAATAATATATATTACATTAATATATATATTTATATTTTTTTAATAATATTTAGGTTTTGACAAACTGAATATTTTAGGAAAAAAAAATTGTTGTATTTTTTATTAAAACTAACAAACCTTTAGTTGTTCTTATAATATAAAAAAAAGCATCCAAATCAACCCAAAACAAATACACCCCCAATATACACATAGATATTATATATATATAAACAAAGCTTCAAATCACGTTGCTAACTGTAGACACCCTCAAAAAAGTTCATCCTGTAAGAACAAATTACATTAAAGATATGATAAAAGTTTAAGGTTGACTTTCAGATATCGAATAAGTTTTCAACCAACCAACCTATCCACCAAATCCATTACAAGCACAACTCCGAGCATACAACAAATAAGCCAACATTTTTAAGTCTCCGGAAAATCAAAGACCAGGATCGATCCAATGGAACTTAAGACTCGTCCCATGATTTATTGGGAGCTGAAAACTTGGGGAGGGATTCTTATAAATATCCACCGGAAATAACAAAAAAGCAAATACTTTAAACACTTAGTTATGAAGCCTTTGGAGCTTTTACATTCTCCGGAAGAATTTCTGGCACTGTCTCGCGGACAGCGCCCAAAATTGAGCCATACTCTCCATCCTTATTAGCAAGTTTCTTGCGAAGTACCTTTTCAAATTCCACTTTGTCGAAATCTTTAGCATTTTCAGCAGCGTGAGCTCGGGCCAGGTTTGCGTAGTTAATGGCTGACTGAGGAATGAAGGCGATTTCTTCATCAGTTAGCTTCCTCAGAAATTTGGCTGGATTTCCTCCCCAAACCTGCGGTTAACAACGAGCAAGTTCAATTGATAAAAATTACGGCACTTAATTAATAATGTATGGTGTGTTTGCTCAATTTTTATCATCATTCACATTAACCACCATTCCTAATAAATATATATATATATATATTTTTCCTAAATATTTAGGAAGCAATAAAAAATAATATTTCCAAAAACTAACAAAAACCTCAAAATTTCATAAACACAAATAGAACATAAAGGTAATCTCTTGGTGAATAAATTAAATTACATCAAATCAAATCAAAATCCAAGGCTTTGTTCTTTTAACCATTGATTTCAAATTTTTTTACTATTCAAAATTTCAAAACCTCCACGATTCATTATAAAAAAACATTGTCTCATCTCACGAAACATCACATCAAAACAACTATTCAAATCAAAGAACAAAACAAAAATTCAAAAAAACAATCTAAAAATCCAGCATTCAAATTGTCAATTTATCAGCATAGAGCAATGCAGGGGAAAGAACATAGAAATTCAGCTGTTTTTTGCATCTTAGTAACACTATTATAAGTGAAAGCAAAAGCACCTAGAGTTTGCTATCCATTTTTTATTTTTCAAGTGGTTATTAATATATTAAGGGAAATTTGGACTATTAAACTCGAGGCAGGTTTTAGAAATCCGAAAGGATTGCAGCTTTTAGGTTTTGGGTTCAGAGCCTACACCGTTGAAGATTGTAAATACAAATTGGGCGCTTATCAAGAAACATGTAAAACTAAATATCATCAAAATGTCATAATAAACAGTGGGAATCAATAAATCTCACAAACCTCTCCGGAAGGTATTCTCGTTTCCTGTCTCACAAGCGCTCCAGCAGCAACCATTGCATGCTTCTCCACAACCACCCCATCGAGCAATGTTGCACCCATACCGACAAATGCCTCATCCTCTACAGTACATCCATGCAAGACTGCGCTGTGACCTGTCCAGTCCAATGCATATAAGTTATTTGATAGGACATCCCAAGCAGGACTTAATTTTATAATATTAAATATTTCCGCAATCTTACTAACCTACAGTGACATTGTCACCAATAAGGGTCGGCAGGACCTTCCCACTAAGATTAGATTTCGCTACATGAATGAGAGAATTGTCTTGTATGTTCGTTCCAGATCCGATACTGATGATGTTTGCATCACCTGCTCAAGAGCATCAAAGTTTAAGCAAACATCACATGGAAGCATGCCATGAGGAAATTGAACAGTTCTCTATAATTAAACCTGGAATGTTTATATCTATAAAATTGTAAATCTTTTGAGTCAAATACCTCAAGGGAATCATTTTCAACAGTTATTATATAGTATAATTTTTCTTCATTGTAGATATAGCAATCTTCATTGAACAAATGGCTTGTGCAACTGAAAATACTTAGGCCCCATTTGTTTGGATGGATTTGGATTCGAGGGCTGATTTAAATGAACGGATATAAATTACATTGAATTTTAAATACTTTTTAATTAAAATACATCATTTGGTTGCATAAAGTATTAGAAATGACACAGTATAAATGGTATTTGAAATATTAAAGAAGATAGAGTTGAAATCCACAACAAACGTATTGCCATATAAAACTAATGAATTTGATGGAATAATTTAAAATACTTATAATCCAATTCCTCAACCAAATAGGGGCTTAGTATATTTGACATTTTATTTGATTCAAGAAGGCTAGAATCATGAAATGATAAAAATCTTAATGAATGTTGCCTTGTTTTCTCAACTATTTCTCTCATGATCATTTATCTTTGATATCACCATTTATAATTCTTGCTTTTTTAGAAAGGTTTTCAAATGTTACAATTTTTTATCGTAGTCTATTTTACAAACTGAAAAACTATTGATCATTAATATAAGGTCATCGACCCAAAAAAGGATAATTGATTGCTCATGCTATGGATTAAGATGTTGGAAACTATTGTTGCTGATACTATTATTTATAAATTTGTGTTTAGAGATGTTCAACAAAATCGTGTGCTTATAATTTTCATGTATTTGTTTACCTTGCAGTTAAACAATGATTATGATTTAGAGAACCTTATTTTCTAATTCACCCCAGGCACTCTAAATATATGTTTCCTCCACATGACCTTAAAGATATAACTTTTCTACAAATCGAGATTGAGTTTGAGTTCCCATACTAGCAACAAACTCTCATCAAAATTTCACATTACAAAAAGCAATTGTGAATTAAGAGGCCTTTAATGATAGAAACCATAATCGCCACGAGGAAATGACCAGTAATAAATAAAGTGAAGTATCAAAGAATCAGCAGGAGCTATAATTGATAGAAAGAAGAGCATACCTCGGAGCACACATCCATACCAAATAGACGATCCACGACCAACATAAACATCCCCAGTGAGGGACGCGCTCGGGGCCACAAAGGCTTCCTTAGCAACCTCAGGAACTTTATCAAATACGTTCATAAGCGTTCTATGCCTCGACACTGGTAGACAAAAACATGTCAAAAACGTCCAAATAAAGTTTATCTTAAAAATTAGAAGGCATATATACATACATATCTACATATACAATTACTTAGTCGAGTACTACGAAAGACAAGTGATGCTCGGGAGTTCAGTTCCATATAATTACATTAGATTGCAGCAAAAGTAAATTGAGAAACGTTTAACTAAAACAAGCCATAATCCTATCTATCAATCAGTTGTGAAAACAACAGAATGTATTGCCACTCTTAAGACTGATTTGGTCGCAACCAGATATGAATCGCGTGATAATTAAGCCTCTACCAAAAAGATGAACTGCAAATCTCGATTTCCATAGAAATTGGGGGAAATAACTAATATTGTAGCGTCGGTAAACAGGGAGAAATTAAAATATAAAAGACAATTCGAATCCAGAAATGCGGCAGCGAGAAGCTACTGATATAGTTGATGAAGCTAAAAGAAGGAGCAGATAATTACGCTGTTCTTGGAAAAGGTAATTCCCCTGGAGACGGGAGCCGAGGCGATCGAGAGCTTGGCCGGATTCCCTGATCCAGAAGCCGACGGTGTAGAAAGCTCTGCCCAGAGTACCCATCGGCGATGGAATTGAGCGTAGTATTTCAGTGGTAGTGGTAGGGTTTTGCAGAGATGCGTCGATCAGAATAAGAGCATTTATTGGAGAAGGGGGAATTGTCTTCGCGGCGACCAAACCTTGAAAATTACTCCAACTAAAACCTTAAAACGACCCATAAATCACTTATTGAGAACTCGATTTTTTTATTTTTTTTAATGATATATTTTCATTAATTAAAATAAAATTGGCTTAATAAATCCAAATAGTGTTCTTTAGAAAAAGAAAAAATATATATGTTCGAATATAAAAATAATAATACTTATTATAACAATTTTATTGATTTGATTATAATAATTTGTTCATAAAATAATTTCAAATTTTTATTCTTTTCAATCACAAATCCAACTCACTATCCTACTCTATGGCTTTGACTTGTTTTTGGATAAGTTGATTTTTAGTATATAAATAAAAAATTATGTTAATAGATTCGTAAGAACCTTTTTTTTTTTTTTTTTTATAATAATATTTGATTTTTAGATTTTTTATAATATGTTTCTAATTATATATAATCATATATTATCTGCTGATTCAATCCCTTTCTTATAAAAAATTATGTAAAAAATATAAAATATTATTTTTAGAATTGCAATGTAACCAAATCGGTTCACTGAGTCCTTTCCACAGCATGTCCAAATCTCAGATTATCCATATGTTCATTAGGCTCTAACCATGAGATGCCCGAGTCGATGGTGCAATCAAATAACCATATATATTTTCCAAGTTCTCAATATGGAATGCCCTCAACCTCAACATTGAAACGTAGACACCTAGATATACTCAGCCGTGCCGTGCAATCAAATAGCTGATACGATACATTCATTCGCTAAGTCCTCACGTGCGCCTTCCTTCAACAACTTCAAGAACAAGAAACTTGGAGAGTGAAATGGCTTAGATACAAGGAGAGCAGATTCACAAAACACGGTTAAACACAATGTAACTTAGATCTTATTCCTCGATGAATCTTCCCATTCACTTCTAGTTTCAGAGTTCGTCGAAGAACTTATTTGTCTAATCAAACATGATAAAAGCATCATTAATCTTCCCAGCATAAGGGTTCAAGGATTATACAGACATCCTTAATAAAGACATACATATAGACATCCTTTATAATAGAGCTACTACTGCCTCAAGCTTTCAACAATGTAGGAAGCATACAGATCCCTGAAAATGCAACACAGCCAAGCTCATTTCTCCAAAATTTTCGACAGGAAATGAAAGATTTTTAGGTCAGATAAATGTTGCAACTTACATGGAGTACTTGATTGCGTTGATTGCAGCTTCAGCTGGTAGGAAGTCTTCGACTGCCACGGATTTGTTCTCGTTCTTTTTATCTATTCAATGTGAGTCAAGGGAATTGCAATAAAATAGTAACAGTTAGTTATATAAGACGGGGAGAATGAGTGGAAGGATACAATCCTCGAAGAAGCGGCGGATTTCAGCTAGTCGATGGGGTGGGAGATCATTGATGTCCTTATAGTGACGGAACTCGGGGTCGTCATTACATACTGCAATTATTTTGTCATCCTTCTCGCCCTGTAGAAATACCGAATTCGAAAACTGAGGTCAAGATTTAAAACTTCACAACACCCAAATTTCTTATATTAAGAGTTGTTAAACAAGCAAGCTTGAGTATTTGTTGTTCGACCTCTAGTTCAATTCGTTTATTTTTATAAACGAATCGAGTCGAGCTATGAGTTGGATCGAGCTTGTCTTGCAAGCTACCAGATTTGTTTGACAGCTATACTCATATATAAAGCATTAGTGTGTTTGATTATGTTTTGAATTTGAATTTTTCGACTTAAAAAGAATTACATCCGAAACCCCCAAAATGCATCCAAACGCACCCCTAGTTTTCAAGATTTTCAGAGATAGAATCAAATGCAGCAAAGACGTATATCGTAGGACATACCATAGCTACAAATATTATGAGAAGTGCGCGTGGTAAGTACCTGATCTATCATGGGCATTAATCCAATTGCACGTGCCCGAAGATAAGCACCAGGAAGAACCGGTTCCTGCAGGCAAGAATCGAAGGAGAATCAAGAAAATGAAATTAAGTTCATGTGGAGAGTTAAGCAAATCATATTGTGCCGGCAGGAGTGACCTGCATCAGGACAAGAACATCCATCGGATCACTGTCTTCACAGATTGTCCGCGGAATGAAACCATAGTTGTGCGGATATACCACCGATGAGTAGAGAACCCTATCTACCTGTTGAACAACGCCATATCAATAAAAACACCAATGTGGTCTAAAAACTTTGTCGATCTTAAAAAAAAAAAAAAAAAAAGGAAAACTGAGGAGATGCAAACAATCATTCTACGTAAATCCAAATGAAGGAACGGTATTTGCTCACTTTGATTAGACCAGTTTCCTTGTCAAGCTCATATTTCACTTTGCTTCCCTTTCCAATTTCAATCACCTGCCAAGTTATCTCATAGATCAAGATGCTGCCCATCGACTCGTGTCCTTATTGAACTATGCTCGAAAGAAATCAAATTTAACGCAGAAATATACGCTTTCGCCGCAAAAACAGACAAATGGAAAGATACAAGAGGTGCGCCGTAAAAAAGAAAATTTCTTCGATGTCATTAGTTATGGATTCTCTCCGTTGAGACAATATTTCAAAAAGCGCTAAGAATTGTACCTAGAAAGAATGATCGAGCTCTGTTTACATACACTTTCATAAATTTTAGCACTAATCATTTACAGTTACATTATAATAAAAGCATACTATCCTTAGAATTTTTCAACACTTCTATCTAAGCAGAGCTGATTTGAGGAATTCCTCAAGTTCGATTATTTCGAGCAGACCAACACAAGATAGCTTATATCTACCAATGTCTGCAATATGCATTGAGAAAAAATACTCACACAGTTGAAGATCGATGGCGCCCCCGGTCCTGCATAAACATCAAGCTCAGTATACAAATATTCAAGAAATTGATACAATTTCACCATGGAAAACACCATAAACTGACGTCTTAGGCTTATGAAAAACTCTTACCAATTTCTAAGTCATGCCAAGGATGAGCAGCCACAGATCTTCGTGCCATGGAAGAAAGTATTCTTTCATTGAGGGCAACACGAACAGTCCCTTGTGTACTCTTGTTAGCCATATTCAAACTGTTTTGGCAGAAACATGATCAGACAACCTTCTTATTTTTCTAATTTAATTTTCAATCAAACGAGCGAAGAACGTGTTAGATATAACAGTAACTACGAATCTACGATAACTGAAGTGATGACTGCAAATTGTTAAAGATCAGCAATCAATCCGCCATGGAACAAGCAGCAAATTCAAAACAGAGTTTTAACAAACAAATTACATACAGGATCGAGCGATGAGCAGTGAATGAAAAAATAAAAGGCAATGGAATTAAAAATTTCAAAATCAAGCAAAAACCTAGATTGTTACTGCAAATAACAAACAAACCTCGCAGAAAAAATCTATCGAGAACGGAATGTATATGAAATCTGCACAAGTAACGAAGAAATCAATTATGAGAGTTGGTACTTACAGTTACAGCGAGAGGGATTTGAGAGGTGGGAGAAGGAGCGAGGGAGAAAAAGAGGTGTGAGAGTAGAGAGGACAGGCACAGTACGGGCGTCAACATCTGACGTCGGATTCTCTGCTTTCTTCAGCATCCAACGATGTGTAAGGCGCCACGGATGAAAGGGTATCTTTTTAGGTATGGAGCGAGAAAAGGAGGGGTCGGTGGCGGTAACCAGATTGATTCAGGGTGGGGTCCGCCAACCGCCATGGCCATGGCCACCAGAATATACCTGAAAGAGAAAATGGGTGGGGCGACTCTGCTTTTCAGATGCTGATTCTGCACATCAACACTGTACGAACATGAATTATTGAGCCATAGCATAAAGAAGACGCTGGTGTTTTACTTCGCAAAACTTCTATCAATTTCCCCAAAAAAAAAAAAAAAAAAAAACTATGAAAATGATATACTTGTGCATTAGTAAAATGTAAGAGAAGTTTTTTTTTTGAATAAATTAATTACATAAATAATTAAATATTATATTTATAAATCAGTACTAATATTTAAAGACATAAATAAATATATACTTTGATGAAAGGAATAAATATTCTTTTCATAGTATAAATTATTATATAAATATACGATAAAAGCCAAGAAAACCTATGCTGCCCACCACCATATGAATTTCTTTTTATCTCAAGTTGAAATCTAAAATAAAAAATATACTATATACTAAAAAAAAAAACAAAGCATATATTATCAATATCTTTTTATCTGATAAATAGTTGAAATTTATGTATAATATTTTATTTTTATTACTTTGAAATTTTTAAAAAAATGATATGTATCTAATAAATTTTTATTTTATTTATAAATTTATATTTATCATATATATATTTAATTTGAGTTATATATAATTCTATTATTTGCCAAACTTATTCTATACACCTTATTGAAGTATAATTTGTAAAATAATTCACACATATATATACATGTACTCCCTCCGTTCGCAGATAAAAGGCAGATCAAGAGCTGGATGTTCACCTGAGCACGATAGTCGGCAGAGCTCCGTCGGCCGTTGGTATTTCTAGACGATGACGGCAGCTCCAAGGTATACTCCCGCCTCTTCCAAGAGGATTCGACGCATGTCAAGAAAGGTTCTACCATGGAACTAGTGATTCTGCTTTCCCGATCACCTGGAGAGCTTTCTTCCTTATATATCCTCCGTCCTGTGGGTCGAATAAAAGTGGCAAGTGAGAAATTACTTCTAAAGTGACAAGGTTATGATTAAAATCCGTGCATTCGACTAACCCGCGTAAAATTTGCAACAAGTTTTTTTAAGCTTGAAAGACCGCTGCTACTATGCTGATTATAACACGATATATATTAATATAACATAAATAGAATAAATGAATGGACAAAATATGACAGTAGACCACACAACACTACTATAACTGATCTTGTTTGGGCTACTAGATTTATGTTCTTTATCTCCTGTGGTAGAACTTAATACAAATATAAAATAGAACAAAAGACAACACATGCTAACAATATATAAAGTATGTGTTGTCTAAATTGTTAGCATATGTTGTCTATTCTATTTTCATGCGCTAATAGGCATCAATCGGCAATCAGCACCCTAGTCATTTTCGGAAGTAAAAGTCTCATTTGAACAACAACCAGCTTTTCAGGCTAATTATAGATGAAGCTGCAAATGAAAGCCTAATTAACAAACCTGAGATTCCAGCACCTTAGTTTTAAGCTTCCAAAGAGCTGACATAATTCCAATTTCATCCTTCACTGTCAAGAAAGCTCGATTAGCTTATAAAATTTTCATGGGAACACTTGTAATAATTTTGGGAGTTCATTCCCAGACATCATTTTTCAAAAGATCTTTCCGCAGAAAATCCAATTGTTCTTCCATTTCATTACATGCTCTTTTGAAGAATGGCTTCTTGTCTTCTAATTCTTTCGTAAGTGCAGAACATTGAAGCTGAGAAGATTGAGAACATCGATAGTAGCTTTAGCAGCAGTGAAATACTGCAGTAAATAACAATAACACATTTTCAGGTCAAAAGCAAGGTAAAGAAACTAGAATGAATTCTCAAAAACATATCATACGAACTGATTGTTCTGTAACCAAGAGCATCCTTCCAATTTCAGACATTCAGATGTCGGGAAACTGATAAATCAATGAATTTTAACAAGAAGACACTTTGAAGAAATAGATCATTAGCAGGATGCATCCACAGATGAAAATTATAAGCCACAGGATCAATACATTTTTATGCCTTTTCTTCTAAAAGTTTTCATAAAAAACTTATTTGAAAATACATCTGCAACAGCGCACCATTTTAAAAGTTCAGTTCATTAATGTTCATCGACAATTATAAATACAAGGGACAATTTATACAGAAACAGAACAATGCATTTGAACTGCACCAGGAAGCAAAATAACAAGAAAGCAATTGTCATTCAAGATGTCCAATCAGAACAAATTCACAACCGAACATCTTAGAAACCGACAAAGCAAACCATGAAGAACATCAAATTTTGGAAACAGAACTTCACAATACGAGATTCACCAAAACAATGATGAGGTCCATATTTATCAAAGTCTGCAAATTTAACAGACAAGCCAATATAAATCACTACCCAAAAACCAAGAATAATAAAATGAAAATGGGAGGCAAGAAGACAAACAAATTCAGAAAAATTATTCAATCTTTATCCAGGGGGATGATCAGTTAATCCACAAAATTACTTTCTCATTCACCTATTGGGGTCTATCAGAAAGCCTAACCTACTATGTTCATGCATAATTGAAGCCCATAGATTTAAAGAAAGGGAAGACGAAGATTGAAGAGAACTTACAATCCCTAAAACTACAACAAAACCTCTTTACAAGTCGACTTGTTGTGCCCAATGCCCTTGCATCTACTGCAGTGCAGTTGGCGTCTCCCGGCATCTCGTGATCCGCCTCTCTTGCTGGTAGGGCGGCCAGGAGGGCGGCGCGTTGGAGGAGGGTTTACAGTCACTGTCATTGCCGCCTGAGAACTGCCGCTCTGCCATTGACCATCTAAATCCAGAACAGGATGTACTGATTCCGAATAAGTTATTCTGTAGCAGTCTGTTGTGAAGTATCTTGAGCAATAATCATAGGGATCCCGACCAAGACATCCAATAACAGCAATGGCATGGCAACAAGGTACGCTCGTAAGCTGCCAGTTCTTGCAAGTACAATCATAGTTATCAACATCAACAGATTCTACTGTATCCCCACGAACTTCAAACCGGTTCCCACCAGAGATCAACACCTGAAGAGTCCTGACTTTGAGGTTTTCCTTCTCTAGCTTTCCTTCCATAGATGGGGTTAACCTGGTCAACCATTCATTGGACTCTGCTCGCCGAGTATAAATCAGTTCCATGATCTTACACCGAATAGTGTCGACCAATTGGGTTATGGGCAATTCGTGCGCATCCGACACCCAGCTGTAGAACAACTCACCAAAATTCGAAGTCATGTGGTTATATCTTGCACCTTGGAAGAATGCATTTGCCCAATGCATAGGCTCGCTACTCATTATCCAATCATATGCATAGATGGAAATATGTTTTATGCTTTCCACACACCTTTCGAAGCCTTCAGACGTAGTGGCATATGCTGCGCTGTAGAAATCTTCGACCATGAGACGTTTCACTTCATGAGAAAACTGCCCTGTCAGATCTCTCATCAGCTGCTCAGATAGGTACCGCAGGCAGAAGCCATGATAAACCTCCTCATCCCGGAAAACCTCAGCAATTGATTGTCGTAGTCCCTTCTCTCTATCAGCCACAAAAGTTATTCCCCTACACATCGAAAGTGCAGCCTTGAGTTGCTGTAAGAACCACCGCCAGTTGTCGTCAGACTCATCATCTACAATTGCAAAAGCCACAGGGAAAACTCCATCTTCCCCATCAGCAGCAGTGGCCGCCAGTAGAGAGCCTTGATACTTCGACTTTAAGAATATGCTATCCAAGAAAAGCAATGGACGACATCCTTGTTCAAAACCGTAAAGTGAACCATGAAAGGCGACAAACAAGCGATGGAAACTCGAGTCTTCTTTTGTCGAGAAAGTGGCAAAGCTTCCCGGGTTTGTTTCCACTATCTTCTCACAGAAAAACGGAAGCTGACCATATGCCTCCTTGTAAGACCCCTGAAGCTGCTCCTTCGCAATCTCTTTGCCCCTCCACGCCTGAAAGTAGTTTAATTGGACTCCATATTCTTGCTTGATGTCATTAACAATGTCCTTCGGTTTGTAATTCGGGAAAACTTTTAGCTTCTCCTTGACGATGCTGGCAACCCAGCTTCTTGTGGCTTGATACCCCGTCGTCACCACAGAGCCTTCACATGTGTGAGTCGAGTTCATTTTCTTGATGCAAATCAGAGGAGTAGTCGACAGCCTTGACGCATGGATCCTCCAGGGACACCCATCCGCTTTGCATTTAACAGTTACTCGGTGGCTGTCATTCTTCTTGTACTTGAACGCAAACTGATGAGCAATGGCATACTTTCGTAACGCCTCCCGAAATTCGTGCACACTGTTGAATCGTTGACCCACACCTGTGATATTGTTCTGCCATTGCTGTGCAGCTTTCGTCTGCTTCTCATCGTAGGAGGTGGAAAAGGGGATTGGTAAGGGCATTTCAATTGGAGCATCGATTTGGGAGACTGCATCATTGTTGGTATCGCCAACCACATCAAAGGCTGAATCGAGGAGAAGATGGGGCTGGTTTATATCATCCACAATATTGTCGATCATAGTTGGGGAAGCAGGCGCCCCCGATTGAGACAATGTCGTCCTACTTGACCTGCAAGAATGAAATTAAATTCCCAAATATGCATTTTGATGCGTGTACAATGCCACAGTGGAAATATATACCTGCTTCCAGGCATGTGGGATCCATCATCAGGGGCAGCAACTTCTTCAGACACGACATATACCTCGGCACAATCTGAATTGTCGTGGAACTTGATCATACGTTTGAGGTCTTTGTCATTGGAGATGGTGATGAGAGTCTTCTTGTTCCCTGGAAGGAAATACTTGATTGTGATGGTTTCCTGGTTAAAATTAAACATCTCAGAGACCTCCAACTTGAAAACTTTAAACTCCATTTTGTTATCAATTTCCATAGCATGAGCATCGCCGCCATTGTAGGTGACTAAACCATCTGCATTGGTCTTGAATTCACCTCCCGACTGACATATGGCTATCACTTTTTTCCCATCCATTTTATCTAATTCGAAAGGAACAAACATCAGAATCCGAACTCATTTGCAGGAAGATCAATGCAAGCAATGCTTAATCACCAAACTGATCTCTGTTCCCAAACCTTCAATTAATCAGTACATCCAAAAACCCCTAGTACGGATAAAAGTAAAATAAACATGATTGATCAGAGCTTTCGAGTTTAATCACTCCGCCGTCGTGCGAGTTCTGGAATTAATTGCCAACGAAACACAGCGTATAGAAGCGAAATTCATAAAAATATGATCCGAACCGACACAAACCCTAAAAAAATTTTATAAAAAAAAACAAAACAAAACGCGATGAACTTACCTTCCGGCATAAATTGAACCTCGGGAGCCTTCGTGGTCGATCTGGAGTGAGCAATCGAAGAAACAATCGTTCGATTTTTCGGAGTGCACAAGGAATTTCCCAAAACACAGACGGATTAGTCCAGCAGCAGAAGCGAAGTGGTAGGTGGGGTGTACGAGAAGAACCAAGAATTAATTGATGATTTGGAAAGGTAAGTGAAAGAAGTTCGTCTTCCTATTGTGGAAACATGACTATGAAACAGTTGGGTGCTTTCATTCTTTCTTTCTAACATCAGCATCAGAATCAGTATCCGCATCAACGTCAAGATCCTTCTTCCTTCCCCAATTGTTTTTCACGCCTGCCTCTTCGTTCACCTATTTCAGTCTATGTTTTGCTTTATCCGACTTGGGAATCTGCGCTAAAACGTTTTCTTATTTTTTATTTTTTTTAATTCACACTTAATAATAATATTTTATTTATTAATTTATATTTTCGACCATAACATTTTATATATAAATTAATACCTCGCATTGGACACTACAATCGACAATATACACTAGAAAAAATCTTTTGGAGATAAATGCAAGTTCATTTTAATATGTCAATTATTGACCAGAAATGTACTAATTCATTCAAAATTAAAATTCAATATTTATTTTTTTATAATACCCTTGTTGTTATTGGATTGCCTTTTATGCCATATCTTTAAGTTTCAAGTGATTCATATACTTGATTTGCCTAATATGACATATTTCGATGAATTTAGTTTGTCGACTAATAAGTTTAATTTACCTAAAATTTATTCGAAAAATAACAGCTTCAGTTTTTTACGTTGAAAAAAATTTTTGACTAAGACTCGAATTATTCAATTCATTTAAAAAATTATATCGGACTCACTTTTATAGAGATTGTAAATTGAATATGTAAAAAGGAAAGTAAATAGATGAAAAACAACACAATTGGAAGACGAATTAGGAAATTGGAATACGATATTGATATATAAAGTGTATGAATTTAAATAGTTGAAATGAAAATTGACTGAAGAATGTAAATAAGCAAAATAAAATAAAGGAAGGAAAATAATAGGAAAACTTGTGTTTGATAGTGGTTCTTATCTCTCTTCCAACCCTCCTCCATCATTTCAATTAATATCATTCCGGCGGCAGATTTCTACGTCAAAAAAAAAATAATAATAATAATATTATTTGATATTCATTAAACTTCTTTATTTGAATTAAATTTGAAAAAAAAATAAAAAGTTAATATTTGATATAATGTTATACTAAAGAAATAGTATATTTTATGTAATATTATTTAAAAATCGAATAATATCAAATGAGTGAAAATGAATAAAATAAACAAAATCTAAATTTTTCATCTTGTATGTTTGGGGCGGGGATAACAATCCGTATAAAAACGCGGCCTTAGTCCCGAATTCAGTAAAACCTGATGGGCTCAATCCATCTCATTTCAGCATTTAGTGTGGAAGCTAAGATAAGAATTCTTGATCCAAATAGATGAGATGAAGATGAAGATCCATTTCCAAGATGTGTTGAGAATTTATGGATATGGAATGTAATTAAGGCTCAATTCAAAGTATATAGACATGACATGAATGATGATATGACCTGACTCACACTCATTCCTCATTTATTTACACTTACAATAGTAGTAATAATAATGGCATCACCAAGCTTATCTAAGCTTTCATTACATCCATTCTAATAATTGTCCAAACCTTTTTACACCTTCTACCAATTTAAAATTGTTGGGAGACATTTGTTCCGGAATAAATAAATTAATGATGCATTTCTTTAACAATTTTAATTTATAGATGAAACGATCATTATGTGCATCCTACATATATCATAGCTTTAAATTTTAAAAAAATTTGATAAAAATATAATAAAAAATAAAAATAATACCATCTTTGTCATCCAAGTCGATTTCATTTTATTAAATTAAAAAGGGTATGAGAAAATATGTTTTTACAGAAATATTAGTTGACCCCAATGAAATTATTACAATTTGATGTAATTTTACTTTTTTGGGATTTTATTTATTTTTTGTAAAAAAAAATTGTATTAATTCTTTATGCCTATTCCTTTATACTTCGAACCTAAAGTGTTTCGTTATTATTTTATGGGAAAAAATTATTTTTGTCTCAATATAATCAAAATTATCAATTTTGGTCATAATATAAAAATCTTATCAATTTTGTTCCCAATATAACCAAAATTCATCATTCTTGATTCAAATATAAAATTTTTATCAATTTTAGTCCCAATATAACCAAAACTTTGTCTCAATATAATCAAAATTATCAATTTTGGTCATAATATAAAAATCTTATCAATTTTGTTCCTAATATAACCAAAATTCATCATTCTTGATTCAAATATAAAATTTTTATCAATTTTAGTCCCAATATAACCAAAACTTTGTCTCAATATAATCAAATCTTATATTTTTTTTTATCCCACCGTCAACAAATCGACGAAAAAAACTGACATTAACTTGCAAGATTATACAATTTCTTCGAATATAAATATAAGGTTTGATTTCTTTTCATGTCAATATTTTCCGTCGGTTTGTTGACGGTGGGACAAAAAAAGATAAGGTTTGATTATATTGGGACAAAAAATAATGAGTTTTGGTTATATTGAGACTAAAATTGATAAAAATTTTATATTGAGACAAAAAATATGAGTTTTTGGTTATATTGAGACAAAAAATATGAATTTTTGGTTATATTGAGATGATGAATTTTTGTTATATAGAGACTTAATAAAATTTTTATATTGTAATCAAAATTGATGAATTTTGCCTAAAAAATGATTTTTTTCCTTATTTTATTTGAGTGTTCATTTTCATTAATAAAATTATCTTCGTCTTTTTATGCAAATTCTAAATGGGAACTATTACAGTTGGAATAAATTAATCCAAACCCCTAATTAAGTAATTAAGGTAGTCAAAGATTAACAGATTTCAAGTTGCATAAATGGCTGCTCATCTCCATCTCCAGCAATGCATTGACGAAGACGATGGCTGATCCTTACCCAGACAAGAGAGAGAAAGAAAGAGAGAGAGAGAGAGAGAGAGAGAGGTAGCAGCATTTGTCAAATTAGTTGAACCGTTCTCGGTCAACGCCTCCATTTCATAGTTTGTCCGAAATTACATTCATTGACCTGGTCTCTCCTGTTCTTCATGATATTATATCTTAGTTTCACCTAACCATAATTAATTTATATTACAACCCTAAAAGCTAAAACCTTTTTGTAACACAACTCTATCCATAAATCAAGAATTGAAGATTAGATATGAAAGAGATGTTTCTACACAGTCATATTATGGATACTTACATTATTACCTTTCTATCTTCCAATTATTGGTAACTCCCCCAAATTATTACCACACCAAATCCAAATCTACACAAGAAAAAGATTACCTTTTTTATTTTATTTTTAAAATTTTACGAGTTTTTCTAATAGGCCTAGTTTGGCCCATTGTAGAATTTCAAGAAAATGATGAACACGTGAAGCAAGGAATATTGTCCATCCCCAAACGAAGAACAACGCAGAAAAAGTGCGACGAAGAAAATCAGGGAAAAAGGATAGATAAATAAATAAAATGAGAAAGAGAGAGAGTGAATCTAGATAGAGAAAATCCAAGAATCAAAATCGATTTCGCACTTCTTTCTGCTCTCTCCCCCTCAAATCAAAGTTCCCTTTTGTTGAAGAATCAAGATTTGTACTGTAATCACCTCACCATGTCATCGTCAACTCCGCCGCCGTCGCACGACCACCACCCCTCCGGCGAGAATCAGAATCAAGTTCAGAAACCCCAATCAGAGATCAAAAAGCCGACCTTTATCCCACCCCACCCCCAAAAACCCACATGGGTCCTCCCCTACCGAACCCCTTCTCTCAAAAGCCTTTACGCCATAGGTAAGAAGCTCGGACAAGGTCAATTCGGGATTACTTTTCTCTGCACCGAGAAATCCAGCGGCATTCCTTACGCCTGCAAATCTATACCCAAGAAGAAACTGATCTGCAAGGAGGATTACGAGGATGTGTGGAGGGAGATTCAGATAATGCACCATTTGTCTGAGCATCCTAATGTGGTAAGAATAAAAGGGACTTATGAGGATGCTTTGTTTGTTCACATAGTCATGGAGTTATGCGCCGGCGGGGAGCTTTTTGATCGGATTGTTCAGAAGGGTCATTACAGTGAAAAAGAAGCTGCTAAGCTGATCAAGACCATTGTTGGTGTGGTGGAAGCTTGTCATTCTTTGGGGGTTATGCATAGGGATTTGAAGCCTGAGAATTTCTTGTTTATTGGTAATGATGAAGATGCTGCTCTCAAGACTATTGATTTTGGGCTCTCTGTGTTCTACAAGCCAGGTTTGGTTCAAACATTTTTTGCTTTGATTGAAACAGGAAAGAGTTTTTTTTGAGTCTTGATGTTTGTTTTGAATTGGTTTTTGGTGTTAATCTCACTTTCTTGCTGGGATTTTGGGTGTTTGTGAATTGTGATTGTGAAATTAGTTTGTAAGAAATCATCTTTTTGGTTATATTAAGAATGTCTCGATTGCTTTGCTGTTCTTCTTATCGGTGTTAGGAATGTAATTGTAGAAAAATATGAAAATTGAGAATGTAAGAAAATGAGAATTAATTCATCTGTTCGGTAAAATGGATAACATAAAGGCAATATGGATGAAAGGATTAAAAGGAGACAATGGATCGGTAAGAGGGTTTTAACTGAGTGGAAATTCATGGAGAAATTTGGTGTGTTTACTCAAACAAACACTAGAAATTGAAAGATTTCTACTTATTTGTCTCCATTTCACTGTACCAAATGCACTCTTAAGTTTCGATTGGTTATTTCATCAGGGGAGATATAATTTTTGTGTGTTGGACTAGATACATTAATTCTATCTGCATATACATTGCTGCCCTGCATCTGAACCTGATGATGCATCGATCCTCTTGTCAAAATTCATGGTATAATCGTGAACTCTTATGGTCATCTGAAAAGGGATTCTTCGCTAACATAGTGCACGTTCTTGATTTGATATCTATTTTCTAGATATGTTCTTATTAGCTGCATCTTTCGTGGGCATTTTCCGTATCTTTCTTTTTCTCAAAATCAATCCGTCTAAGTTCTGTTTTTTGTAAGTAACTTAGCTGATACATGTTGTGGGACGAATTATGTTAGACTTGTCATATTTGCAGATGAAACTTTTTGTGACGTTGTCGGAAGTCCTTATTATGTTGCACCGGAGGTGCTGCGCAAGCATTATGGGCACGAGTCAGACGTATGGAGTGCAGGAGTCATATTATACATTTTACTTAGCGGCGTTCCGCCTTTCTGGGCCGGTATTTTTTAAATTTGTGTATATATTCCCTCGTTTTTAATTTGTATTGGACTCTTGATACGTTCTAAGATCTATGTTCCTTTCTTTTGACTCCAGAAACTGAGATGGGAATTTTCCGTCAGATATTAAGAGGAAAGTTGGATTTTGAATCTGAACCGTGGCCTGGGATTTCAGACGGTGCCAAGGATTTGATCCGAAAGATGCTCGACAGAAATCCAAAGACAAGAGTTACTGCTCACGAAGTTCTTTGTAAGAAGCTTATACATAATGACATTTTGTTATTCCCATTGGAAGAATTTATTCTTTCCGTTTCCTAAATGCTTCTTTCGATCAGGTCATCCATGGATTGTCGACGACACAATGACCCCTGACAAGCCTCTCGATTCTGCTGTTTTATCGCGGCTCAAACACTTCTCTGCAATGAACAAACTCAAAAAGATGGCTTTACGTGTAAGGCTTTAATCGCTGCTTCAAGATTTAATTTTTTCTTCCCATTAGCAATCAACATTAAGCATCTCAGTAAATACTATAGATTTAATCATCCAAAACTAGAAAACGAGACGAGACATTGAGTATGCCGGTTTTTTTCACTATCCATTTGTAAGTGATGTTTATTTCCCGATCTTGTTTCTAGCTAACGCTTAGTTTAAATTTTTTTTTAGATTACTTTTGTTTGTCTGAATTTGGCTTGGGTGTGTTTCTTTTCGATCTCTACACAGTTTTTTACTATTTGGACTTTACATTTCGGTAGAATTGCACTTACAAAGTTCTTAAATTTTTGTCCGGCATAGATTGAATCGATGATGGGTTATTAGTGATCTAAAGCTTTCTGACATGTTGCTAATTTATGCTAATGCTTTTTTCTATTCTTACATTGATGTCTATTTGTTTTCAGGTCATTGCGGAGGGATTATCCGAAGAGGAAATCGGCGGTTTGAAAGAGTTGTTCAAAATGATCGACACGGACAACAGTGGAACCATCACATTCGATGAACTCAAAGAGGGTTTAAGGCGAGTAGGCTCGGAGCTGATGGAGTCCGAAATAAGAGATCTGATGGACGCTGTAAGAAACTTCGATGTCTTAGCTCACACAAATATCTTATTGCTTCCCCGATAAATCCCAGCTCTTTACCAAAATCTTTCCTGTCCAGGCCGACATAGACAACAGCGGAACGATCGATTATGGCGAGTTTCTTGCAGCTACAGTGCACTTGAACAAGTTAGAAAGAGAGGAGAATCTCGTCTCGGCATTCTCGTTCTTCGATAAAGACGGCAGCGGTTATATAACCATCGACGAGCTTCAACAGGCCTGCAAGGAGTTCGGTCTTAGTGAGCTTAATCTTGATGAGATGATCAGAGAGATCGATCAAGATAACGTAAGTTGTATTTCTTGTCTCGATTGTTCGTTTTGAACGAATGTTTGGATTTCGATTTTTGTTTTTTTTGGACAGGATGGGCAGATTGATTACGGAGAATTTGCTGCAATGATGAGGAAAGGGAATGGAGGCGGAGCAATCGGGAGGAGAACGATGAGGAAAACTATAAACTTAGGACAAGCCTTTGGGCTCGGGGCGATTAAGGAAGGGGCGATTAAGGAAGACGTCGAATGAGTCGAAAATGAACACTATGAACACTAATTGGATCGAAACCTTCTAATCATCTAATTTATTTGAAGTTTGGTAATTTTACTACATCTCTGTTTTCTTGGATCCTCGTTCTTTTTGAATTTTCGATCTTATGGTTTTGGTCGGTTGTTGCAAGAAACAAATCTGGTGGCGAGGAAGGGAGTCGAGTAGTCGGGTGTAAAGGTTAGGACATACGGAAATAGACCGAGGGAATCGTACGTTGTGGGCGGCGTAAAATATGTATAGATGATGGATATTGATGAGTGCGAAAATCATTGGTTTTTCAACTCTTGGGTATTGGCAGCCGGCGTCGTACATCCAATGTTAGCTTTCGGATACTAATATTTAGACAATGTAATAAAATTTCTGATTCGAATGAGCCTAGATAACTCCATTTTCTTCGACTCCATTGGCGACATTACTTTGATCAGATTCAACGCCATTTTCGTTGTTCTTATCGTCTTTATCGGAATTCTTTTCTTCTTTTTCTTTCTTTTCTTCTTTTTCTTTCTCGGCCTTCAATCGAGCTTCTTCCTTGGCATCTTCCAGGGCAGTGATCAATCTCTTCAGACAGGTTTCTTTATCTTCACCGGCGGCTTTAGGCATCAGATTCTCGGCGACATCGGCCGGGGTCATCTTCGTTTCCTCGAGCTGCTGTCTCACCGTGGCGAAAAGCTCGTGTGATTCCATGTCCAAATAATTCTTGGCAAGAACCTTAAACCCCTTGAAAGTGCAGTACGAGAGTTCGATGTGCTTGTCCATCCTCCCTCGCCGAATTAGAGCCGGATCGAGCTTCTCGACATGATTGGTCGTGAAGACTATGATTCTTTCTTTTCCACAAGCTGACCAGAGGCCGTCGATGAAGTTTAGCAGCCCCGATAATGTGACCTGGCTTGGTTTCTCCTTCTCCATTTTCTTGACTGAATCCTTAATCTTCTCGACGTCTTTATTCTTCCCGTCTTTGTCTTTGTCTTTGTCCTCGTCTTCTTCTTTCTTGCTCTCCCTCTGCCCTGTTAGGTCTAGAGAGCAATCGATGTCCTCAATCACGACCACGGATTTTCCGGCCGTGTCGATCAGAAGCTTTCTTAGCTCAGTGTTGTCTTTGACTGACGTCAGCTCCAAATCATAAACATCGTAATTGAGAAGATTAGCCATGGCGGCGATCATGGTGGATTTTCCCGTTCCGGGCGGGCCGTACAGAAGGTACCCACGTTTCCAGGCCTTGCCAATTTTAGCGTAATAGTCTTTCGATTTGGAGAAATTAATGAGATCGTCGATGAGCTCCTGCTTCTTGTACGGATCCATTGCAAGAGAATCGAAGGTCGCAGGATGTTCGAACAGCACGTGGCTCCAGAGGCGGCGTCCGTACCATCCGCCGTCGGATTTAATGTTGGTGTAGAGCTTGCGGCGGCGCTCCTTGACGGCGATGGCTTTACCTTCGTCGAGCACGTGCTTTAAATAGAGTTTGGTGACGGCGTCGCGGTGGCGCCGGTGGAACGTCAGCCCGAATTCGCGGCGGTCGTCCTCCCTAGGGTAAAACGAAATCGATTGACGATTGGGGGAAATTTTGTAGGAGGACCACCAGAGGCGGACGCCGTTGAAGTCGTCGGTGACCTCCTCGGACTCGGCCATGGTGAGTACGACGTCGGAGTCGGTGTCGTGGACGACGTTGGCCTTGAGGCGCCTGGCTTGGCTGGCGGAATTGGCGTTGAGGTAGCGCTGGATGGCGGCGTAGGCGGCGCTGCGCTCGAAGCCGTCGCCGTCGTACTCGGAGAAGGTGATGTGGATGTAGGGGTAGAAGAAGTTGAGAAGCTTCTGGAAGTAGGGTTTGAGGGGGTCGACGAGTTCGTGGGGGAAGTAGTTTCGGAACATGGTGTAGGCGAACATGAGGCCGCCGATGGCGGAGGCCACCTGCGCTGCCACCTCCCCCATCATCGCCGCCGTCATATCTTAATCGGATTTTAATTTTATTGCAGCGGAGAGGGAGGAGAAGACGCCCCTCTGATATGATGAATGATATATATATACTTTGTCCCAAGTCATCGTAGTTTTACCAAAATATATTTTAGTTTTTAAAAAGTAATCTCCTTGTCCCAGATCAGAAGGGTATTTGAAAGTCATACGTTAAATTAAAAAATACCCCGTCCGTCCCATGGAATAAGGGCTTATTATAGTAGACACTAGTAAAATATAATTAATAAGTAATTAAAAAATGTATTAGTAAAAATAATTATTATTTAATAAAAATAATTATAAATTAAGATTAAAATAAATAAATAATTTAATTAAAATTAAAAAAATTTATAAAATTTAAAATTTAAAATGCGATGAAAGTGCATAATTATATTTTTAAAAATAAAAAAGACAAATTACGTGGGATCGGACTGACAAAAATAAAAAATAAAAACAAATTATATAGGAATAAAGAAATAACAGTATTTTATTAATTTAATATAATTTAATTTTTTTAAAATTTAATTTACATATTACAAGGTTCGATGGAGTTACCGGGTCATGAGTTAATCAATATGACCCTGACTAAGCAATTTCAGTATTTGTGTGTGTCTTGGCGGGCAAGATTACTGAGTGACAGTGACATTCCTCGAATGCAAGTGGCGGTTGTTAGAGTGTGGACAAGTGTAATAATAAATAAATAAATAATAGGAAGAAAAGTGTAATTGGCATTTCATAATAAATAAATAAATAAATAAATAATAGGAAGAAAAGTGTAATTGGCATTTCTGCTTGTGCTTATTAACTAGGAAGGTACAGAGAAAGAGAAAGGTGACGAGGAGGATGATGATGATGATGGTGTTTTTGGTTTTAGGATCCATAAAAGTCCGTGTGAACATCCACACCACAGAGTACTCTGTCTGAATCTACAGAGGTTCTGACAGATCCTTTTTTCAATGAAAATTTCTACATGTGTTTTACACAGTCCTTTCGTTTCCATCCATAGTAATATCTTTATTCTCTTTTTCATAAAAAAAAATTGTTTACGTAAGAATTTAGATAAAATATTATTAATAAATAATTAAAAAATATATATTTTTTAAAATAATTAAGATATTTAGAATGAAAATATGACTTAAAAAGAATAATATTAGTATTATATTGATAATAGTGGGTAAAAATATTTTAAAAAAATCAAAATGTCTTTATTCTATGTAATTATTGTGAAAAAGTGAGAATAATTATATAAAAAACAAGGAGAACTAATTACCAAAAATAGAAATAAGACTGTTGTTTTGGGATTGGCTAAAATAATAAAATGAAACTATTGTTTTAAGATAAAAGTAATATATTAGTAAAAGTAATCATAAATTATAAAATTAAAAATATAATTTAAAGTGTATAATTTTATTTTTTTTTTAAAAAAAGATATTATATGGAATGAAAGAAATATTTTTTGAGTAGATTAAAAAATAATATTATACTATTAATTAGTGAAAGTGTAAGATCATTTTAATATTTTTATCGATACAAAAGAATTGAATATTTTTTTGTAAAAATTATTAGTATTTTGTTATTTATGTTGGACTACTTTTACTATAATATAAAAAATATACTCTTAAATAAAATAAATAAAAATAGTAAAAACAAAGTAAATATTTTTTTATGTTTTCTACGGAGGACGATCAAACTATTATTGAACAAACAAAACATTTAGGATTTATTCACCTAATATTTTTTTTGGATGGTACAATTCTTATAATATTATAAAAAATAAAAAATATATATATAATATGATTATGGTTTGATTATTGGAATTTAAGGTTTTGCTTTTTATAATTCAAACTATCTGTTGATGTATTTTTTTTAACAAATAACAAGTAAAATTTAAAGAAATTGTACAATACATAAATATTCTAGAAATTAAATGCTAAAATATTGGAAATTTAAAGTGGGAATCCCCGAATCTGACATTGCTTTTGTTGAAGTTGATTGAAGATAAGGTGTCAGTTGCAAATTCTAATTCTTAAATACTCTTCAGAAACGGTACTGAAAACCGTCGCTCGAACGGTTATGACGCTTCTTTTTCAACCGTACTAACCCCTCTCCTGCTGACACGTGCCCTCAGCCGACCGAATTATTTCTCTCACTCACTTTCATCAGTGTCCGACCTCCATACCAACCGATCTGCCTATCCAACAACGAATCGGCCGACTCTTTGGACAGACCGCAAACCTTTCGCCTTTTTGGCTCGACCGCAAACCTTCCGTCCTTTTTTTGGACCGACCGCAGTCCTTCCGCCTTGTTGGTCCGACCGCAAACCTTCCGATTTACCAATCACCCGACTTATTGGTCCAGCCGCAAACTTCCCGACTTACAGACCACCCGACTTGTTGGTCCAGTCGCAAATCTCCCGACTTATAGACCATCCGACTTGTTGGCCCAACCACAAACTTCCCGACTTACAGACCACCTGACTTGTTGCTCCAGCCGCAAATCTCTCGACTTATAGACCATCCGACTTGTTGGTCCAGCCGCAAACTTCCCGACTTACAGACCACCCGACTTGTTGGTCCAGCCGTAAACCTCCCGACTTATAGACCATCCGACTTGTTGGTCCTTCCGACCTGCGGATCTTCCGACTTGCGGACCTTCCGACTTGCAGTTTCTTTAGAAACACGTCTATTTTACCTGATTTTCTCACAATATCCCTCGATCAGTCCAACCAACCCAATCGTTAGCCCATATTTTCTTTTTAATTTGAGCTTTTTAACTTAATTATAAATTTCATACGTAACAAATAAAAAAACAAAAAAAACTTTATAGTAAATAAAGACTAGAAAGTTGACGGAAACTGAACATAGCTAGCATAGCATCATCATCCTATCACTATGCCCAAACGATGGCAAAACTCCAAGCCGACACTAATTCTTTATTTGCTTTTCTCTTTTTTCTATCAAGATACAATTGGATTTTAATTTATTTTATTTTATTTTTGTTATGAAAAAACAAAAATGAGTCAAATTGTACTGATTATGGTTGCAAACTATGCAGATTACAAAATAATCAGTCTCCGGATAAAACAATCTTCATATCAATTGTGTAATTGAATACTATAAAAAGTAGAAAATCGAGCAATTTAATCGGCCACTCATTTACATAATATTATTATTATTATTATTATTATTATTATTCTTCGATACAAATTTTTACAGACTATCAATTTCATTCTATCAATCAGCCACTCAATCAGTCGTATAAGTATTGTTAAATATATATTATATTAATTAAATTATTCAATCAGTCGTACAAGTATCGTTATATATATATTATATTAATATAAATTATGTGATATCTCACTATTTATTATATATTGTGTTTGTATATACGCTATGTTGATACTTTAGCACTCAATAGTAAAATTTTTGTTGTTAGTTATTGAGAATCGTGAAATTTTTTTAAATAAAATAATTTTTATTATTTTTTAAATTATCTTTATTTAAAATATTTTGTTTGAAAATATAATATATATATATATGTTTTTAAAAAATATGAAACTATATAGTATTAATTAAAAATGGTTTGAGCCCACTTTAATTAGTTGGACCTATAGGTCAAAATGGTTACAAAACAGTCTGGATCGCATTCTTTTTTTTTTCTAAATATATATATATATGCTTAAATACCTATATTTAATAATATGCACATAAATCTGTAAAATACATATTTTATTTATTTATTAAGATAACGGAGTATTTTTTTTTTATAGAAAAAAGCCCAAGCTGAATAAAAATACATGCTGTTCTTGATTCACTCATTTTCACATTATTCTTCAACTATGAAATTTCCATTTGGGTTTGTTCTATTGTACTTGCTAATTTTCTTTCAAATATGATCGATCGATACTGATAAAATTAAATAAATAAGATTGGATATTGATTTAGAAGATAATTAATTAAGTAGGTATGAATAATTAATTAATTCATCGTCTTCTTCCTCTTGAATGTGGTGATGGTTTTGAGCAAGAATAGCTTCTTCATCGTCTTCACCACCGATTCCTGCACTAGTAGCAGCTTCTCCTTTTTCTTCTTCTTCTTCGCCGGAATCATCGCCATCAAGTTGTTGCTATTTTGTAAACGATCCACCTGACGCCGACAACTACCAAATCCTTCCAGTTCTGTAATCCGGCGAGGATCCGACGAGAACGACGACGAGGAACCGCCGGCGCCGGCGCCGCTGATGGTTTCCACAGGTGAAGAACAAGAAGAAGAAGAATAAGCAGCCATGGCTGCTGCTGATCCTGCTCCTCCTTCTTCAAATTGACTAGGGTTTTCAGTGTAATTGAAATCCTCCCACAGCAAATCCATCTTCTGCTCGCTTTCCGATTCCTCCTCCTCGCCGACTTTCATGAACAGAACTTGACCTTCCACCTGCGAGAAACTCCTTGTGAAAAGCTTGCTTCTTTTGCAGCTTTCATGTTCCGCCGACGGCAGAAATCCTGATCCTGATCTTGACGCCGCCGTCCAGAGAGGCGGCAGCACTGTCAGATGGACGGCGGCGGCGGCCGCCGTCATAATGGGGAAGCTGAACTCTTCTGTTATCATCCCTGCAATTTTAATTAAATTACCAAAGAACTGATCAAATGATCGATTTGTCTGTATAAAGATCCATGGGAGAAAGAATTGAAGATCAGAAATAATTTGCAGTGGCAGGTTCGATAGAATTTATTTAAATTTATTTATTTAGATGTTGGGTGTAGAGCTGGGAATTAATTAGGGTGGGCTAATAATTTTGGTGGAGGAAGATGAGCTGGAAATTGTCTATCCATTAGCCCCGGATTGCCCGGTCACATTTGTCTTTGTATTCTTAATTAGTTCATTCTTACACTACTTAATTGAAATTATATATTGATGTAATAAATACGGCCGCAGACTTTCAAATCATAAGATAATAAGTTATAATATAATATACTAATATATTATAAATATATTAAAATATATATTCATCATCTCTATAATATATGTTGTTGATCCAATCAAATCAGCGGCTACACAGTATATATTACTATTGATTCAGATTATGTAATGACACTTTATATTTTATGTAGTATTAATTCAATTGGTATGAGAGCTACATATCACCCAATTCTTGTCTCTCATTGTCATATTTATTGTTTATTGTCTATTGCTAGAGAAGAAGAAAATAAAAAGAAGATATTTTTTCTATTAAATATTATTATATCATGAATTAATTACAAATATATTTGTGGAGGTGCCTTGTGTGGCCTGCCTAATCAATATCAATTCAAATATTGGTGAGTACTTAATTATGGAATATCGTTATAATTATAATTGGGCCCCTGGCTAATCGACACGTGGCAATGTGTGTGTGTGTGTGTATATTTCATCTTCCCTCCTTAGATATGCCAATGATAATATAAAATGTGTACATGTACGTATGTGTCGGCATTGATTAGACAAGTAATTCCATTACATTGGCTTCATTTATTTTAAAATCTTAAAAATAATATAAAATTGAGTATTTAAAATAGTATTTTATAAAAAAAAATAATTTAAAAATATTATTAATAAATATTCATTTCATCCACCTCATTTATTTTTTTTTTTGTTTTATTTTTCATTAAATTTATCTTATTAAGAACAAAATCAGCACTAAATGTTATCATTGTTTTAATATTTATTTATAATAAATACTAGTAATTTTATTATATTTTTATACAGAAGAAATAATATAGTTTTATTAAAATATATATATTATAAATATTTTTTTGTCCTTTTTTTTAATAAAATATTTATTTTTTAAAAATTTTTGTATCGAACTCAAATAAATTATTTTTATGAAAAAAAATAGTAAATATATATATATGAATACAGAGTTGTCATTGGTCAAAATGAATTCTTGTTTTGATTAAAGAGTTGTGGATGATTTTATGACTTCAATTCAAATCGACCAATCCGGTCTACTTCTGGAATTCACAAACGAAAGGGTGGGGTGGGTCTTCTTTCCTTTATCAGTATCAGGCGGCATCACTATCTCTACCATGACTCCATTGGTTTTGAATTTTCTCCTATTTAAACGATCCGTCTGAACCAAAGAAAGAACTTTGTGGAGATTTAAAAATAATAAAAAATTTGAATTGTAATAATTGAACGTAATATAAATAAATATTGATGTAATATTTTAAACGTAAAAATTAATTTTTAATATAATATAAAAAACGAGCACAGCAAGAAGTTCTTCCTCTTCCACTTCCACACTTGTAAGTAAGTTGTAACACATCACAACACTATACAATCAACCATATATCAATGCACGCACATCATTTTCAAGTCTACATCCTTCTGTCCATCTAATCACTATCAACAGAACAAAACAAAACAAAACAAAACGACGATTGATCCTACGCATTGATAAAATACCCTTACATTTATACCATACGCGATCGTCACGACAAAATGGGTTATTTCCCGATTGCTTTCAAGTTCTTAGCTACTCGCATTTTCATTTTTGCTATCGTCATTTCCATCATCGCTGTCCGACTGCATATAATCTTCATCAGATTCTTTTTCCTCGCCTTCTAACGGCGGCGCAGAGTGTGCAGCTGAGGATGCTTCTTTTCCATCATCAACGGCATTTGGTTCTGCAATCAAAACTCCATTCTCATCGAATGACGCTTCCTCGCCTGCTTGCTCGCGAACTGTGTGTATCAGGTAATGCGCCACGGATTTGAAGCCAAGCTTCGCAACCTGCATTCGAAGAATCACTTTTAAACTTTTCGTACTATTCATCAACAGTAATATTTTTAGGAAAAAAGAAATTACCTCAAATATCCAAACTTTTACTATCTAAACAGAGCCGCAATATCTTTGTAGTGAATTAGCTGGCTCGAGCATTATTGAAAAACAATGCTAATCGCCGAGAAACAAAAAAAAAATAAAATCGAATTACCTTCTTATAGATTGCTCCGGTAGGTGTCCATCCTTTTTGTCTTCTACAGCGACTGCAATTACATATGTCGCGGCATACAGGGCAGACCCAATCCGGGTTCTGATTAACTTCAGTAACATTCTCCCCATATCTGAAATTTACCCCGACACATTTGTAACTATATTGCGTTTAGAAACCAATTTTCTGGGTCGAGTTAAATACTAGGTAATCGATAAACATGTAAAAATTTAAAGCTCTCCTTCAGATTTAAAGAACTATATAATGTTTTGATGCTAAACAGATCATTTTTAACATTACTCTAAAAAAGAGATTAGGCATTCTTGAAGAACTTTATTAAAAATATCGCCAGATTCAGATAAAAACAAACATACACACCTCATGTACAAGCAATCTCCACAAAACTGCCCGGTGACCTTCTGGCAAATGCTGCATTCAGTGTGAAGCCCGGTAGTTTTTTGCCTGCAAATTCGATAATTATTATTCGAGTCAACAAGTCGAACAAGATCAAGGAAAAAACAATAAAAGTTACACTCGAAAGCATGATAAAGCAATCTTATCACGACGAAATCATTTATTAGAGCTCGGCGATATTAAATGTCCACAGCCTACGATATGCATTCACAAATAACCACAGAAACATCGTCAAAAAACTAGCACAACAATTTTAGAAATGCATATGTTGCATATGTCTATCTCATTCATTAATCTACGATCAAGTGACAGAAGAATAAATTAAACAAATGCAGAAGCAAGCCAGTTCTAAAATGGTTCAAAAATCCATAAAACCTTCAAACAAGCAGAAAGATTCTTCAATGGCGGGTATAGCAATAATTCATACCTGCACTGGTGGCAAGTCTTGCCGTTAACAGGATCGTATATCCGCTGTCCATCCTCGTCGTATCCGTCAACATAAAGTTCCCAAACACTACTGGAATCGCCCAGCAGCTTCTGGTGCTCTTCAGTGTAAATTTCAGGCTTCTCTCCTGGTGGAATATTTATTTCCACATTCTCCACCGACTTGTCGATCTTCGAATTCGGCATTTTCTTCTCTGAGTAACTCACTCGAGGCATATCTTTCAACCTGAAAAATTGCATTCGCAAAATTCAGCCATAACGAGGCCAATCGATGAAGAAGAAACGCATATTCATTATCTAAAAAAAAAAAAAAACCCTAAATGTGGACCTCGAAGAGCGGCGTGGGGGATCACTGGAAGATACTGGCTTGGATTTCCTGAGGGAAGAAGAGGAAGGTTTGGACTTGAGCGCCATGGAGAGATCGAAAATGCCAAGGCTTTTCATTCGTTCGGAGTTCTCCTTGATTCTCTGAGCGCGAGACTCTTCGTAGTGTGCTCGTTTTCCATCTGATTCTTCTTCTTCTTCTTCGTCGTCGTCAATTTCATCTTCTCTGGTCATCTTCTTGAGGGCTCCCACTCTGCTCCTGCGACTCACCATGGCTATGCTATCTCTGTCTCTTCGCTTCCCTTCTCTCTCTTGACGTCTTTTCTGAAATTGAAAAAGGAAATGACAATCGACAGTGGAGATGCAGAGAGAGAGAGAGAGAGAGGACAGAGGAGTATTGTATAAATAAATTCTCCCGCCTCATCGACATTGGGAGGAAGGAAGCATGAATTGATCATCACAGCGGACTTTCTGGAATAATGGTTCTTTTTATAGCATTTTTAAGAATAACTCTTATTTCAATTGACAAATGTTTATTTTTGAGGCGATAGTTTAAATATAATTTTTATCTTTTAAGTATAAAAATTATAATGTAATAATAAAATAAAGATATTTATGTAAAAAGATAGAGTATTTATTTATTTAATGAAATAATTAGTTTGGACAATAAAATATCCATATTTTCTGAATTGATAAATAATATAGTATTTATTTTCCTCTCAAGCTCAAAGTATGAATTTATTTTTGAATAGTTTGAGCTATTCTAATATTTTTATCTTACAAAAAGAATAAATATTGTATAAAATTTAAAAATAAATGATACATTAATACGCAGTATTTGTTTGAAATATAAAGTTTGAATTTGATTTTTAAATAGTAAATTCGAGGCTTACTTATCTTATAGTTTAAGATAATATAAATAAAGTAAATTATGAATAAAATATTTCATTCTTACAAATTCCTTTTTATCTCCTTTTTAATGCTTTATAATTGAGTTAAATTTTTAAGAATTTTCAAAAGTACTTTTTTTTTTTTCTAAGATTTATGAACATTTTTAGATATGTTCTTTCTATATATTTTCACATATATTTTTTAAGAAAGTTAATGTATTATATATATTTATTGATTTATATTATTTATACAATTATCAGTATTATATATATAAAAAAAAATTTTAGAAAAATTTTGTATAATACACACGCTATTTGTAATTAAAAATGTTATATAATCAAAATAAATGATCATCTAAAAGCTTCGAAAACGTATCTTTTTAGTTTTTTTAGGTGAAACAATCAATCTAATCATCTTAAGATAAAAATGAAAAGGAAGTAAACTCATGAACAATTTGGTCATCTCAAGATAAAAATCAAAAGGAAGTATGGTCCACACATGAGCTGAGTGATGCATATGGTAGAATTTGATAAAATTGGAAAAATCTATAAACACACATAGGCATTAGGTGTACAGCATTTTGCATATTTCATAGCAATTTATATATACGAGCTCGAATAATAATGACCTAATGAGCACTGAAATCACCACCAACCATATCACACTAATAAGTATTATTATCATTAGGGCTTATTTTCAGTAACGATTTTTCACAACACACAAACAAACAGCACAGCACACAACATAGAGTTTCAGACAAAGAAAGGAAAAGCAGAGAGTGTAAGAGTGGTGCTGGGAATCACACAGAACACCACTTCCAACACACCAACATTGTCTTCTTCATCGAAGAATATTCCAATCATAAATGGTCCCAAAGGAATTCCAATCACCCAATCATTTCTCCTTCGACCTTTATTTCACCATCACCACACACCATATCCATATCCATATTTAGCAGTAAGTCTTTTGTCTGTATTTCAACAACATCGTACCTGTAGAAGACCAAGTAGTAGTAGTAGCAGCAGCAGCACCGGCAGGGAAGGGCTGATCGCCGCCTAGCCTAGCCTAGCGGCGGAAGCTCCTCGTCTGCCGTGGTTCGAGTTCATCGTCGCCCCGGAGTTTGACGAGCGAGTAGATTCCTGCTCCCGCAACAGCTCCGAGTGTCGGCGCCACCAGATATATCCATATCGACTTGTAATTCCCCGCCGCAACTGCCGGCCCCAGAGTGCGCACTGGATTCATCGAACCGCCGCTCGATGGCCTGCGCCGTCATCGCAACTTTAGTATTCGAAAAGAAGCATAAGATTGACAAGTTTGAAGACTATATAATATGTAATTAAGATGCATTTTCTTATTAATTTAAGATTTTAAGGAAGATGATTGTTTAATATAGTATGAGAACATGAATCCGTCTTGCAGATGAGGGGCGGGCCATTGTTGGAGGACCATATAATATGAAATTAATGATGCCATTGTTGGAGGACTATATAATATGAAATTAATGATATATTTTTCGATTACTAATGTATTTCACAACATTAGTAATTGGAAAGTGTAACATTCTCAATGTTTTAAAACTATATAATATGTAGGCGGCAGTTACCTTACAATGCTCAATGCTCATTTGAAAATAGTCCGAAAGGATAGATCAAAAATTCAAATAGCACATTATTTATGTTAATATTTTATAAATACAACATAAAAATTAAAAGCTCATTACATACTCTTATAGAGCATATGATATATTCCTATAGAACAGATGATTTTCCAAATATCACAAATAGAGTCATCGATGAAGGATTTAGAAAACATTGATCAAAAGTCCAAAGAATATGAGCTATATTTTAAACTTGTGCAATATAAACTCTTGATCGGTCTCCAAATCAATTTGTCTCAATACGTAATTAATTGAAAAACTATATAATATGTAACAAATGATGTATTTCTCTATTAGTTTAAACTTTTAATCGAGATGGTCATTCAACAACAAAAGCGAATCGGTTACTCACCCGGCAACGAGAATATTAAGCATAACCGTAGCCCCGACAGCAATTCCCGCTAGCTCCCCAACCTGCATGATAAAATCATTGTAACAACAACGATCAAATCTTTTCTCGATCAAAGAATCTCACTACTCGTAGGTCAATAACTTACAGCTCGGGTGTCAGTAGCGACAGAAGTGACGACAAACAGCAGATTGAAGGTAATGAGGAACTCGAGGGCGAAAGCCTGGCCAGTGCTGACCGACGGAATGGTGACCCCGCCGGACATGAACGGGTGGAACACGCCTTTGAGAGCAAACGAGGCGCAGATGGATGCCGAGACTTGCGCAGCAATGTACGCCGGGACATGAATCCATGGGAAGTGTCGAAGAGCTGCAAATGCTATGGTCAGCGACGGGTTGAGATGCGCCCCGGAAATGTGGCCCGTCGACAGGATCACTATCATCACAGCCAGCCCCGCGCACGCCGCATTCCCGATCAGCGTTTCTGCGCCGCCGTACTTTTGGTTCACGATTGGCCCTGCCGTCGCTGCGAATATCAAGATGAATGTCCCGACGAACTCTGCTCCTATCTGCGTATTTAAAGATCGGATTACATTTTCGGTTCACTAAAAGTTCGACTCTGTTGGACTAACAGCTCTAAAAAAAAGTTTCGAATTTCTAACACATCCAAACAGGGTATGCTAAAGTTGATTCAATTACAATTGGTGATGAATGTAAACTGACTGGCGCCCGAATTCACTGTTCAATCAGTCATTCAATTTCCACGTTTCACCAGACAGAAAGAATCTACTTTTTTCTCTAGATCAACCATTCTTCCATGGCTATTGTCGTTTACTGTTCGTTTTAGGCATTTCCTAGTTTTCAATTTTCAAGAAAGTAATCAATGGCGGATTAACTGAAAGGTAAAAATAAATTTACCTTGCGGGTGAGGGAGATGTCAGGCACAGAGAAATCGGTCAGGCAGGTGTGAGGCGCCCCCCAAGTTGGGGCATCTACGGGCAGGCACTTGCACCGAGGCTTTGAGTTCCGATCGTACGACATTGAGTCCACGCGCAGCGACGGCATCAACGGCGTCGGAGTTCCTGGAGTCGCCGGAGCCGACGACCTCGTCGGCGTCCCCACTTCGTAATCTGCCATCTCTAGCTAAAAACCAAATCCTTTTTTTTTGTTTTTGTTTTTTTTTTTTTAAAAAAAACAAACCTAATCGAAGATTAACGCAGAAAAGGTGAATCTGGATACAATTACATGATCTGGAAGACTTTTTTAAAGGTTTTCGCTACACAATATCCAGAACTGTACCCAGATCGACGCTTCTCTACAGCTTCCTAGTTGAAAACACTGTAAATATATGTATAATTTTTTTTAGGGTTTCTTTTTGGGGGAAAAGATATGGGTGAATGGAAGGAAGCTGGATTTACATGTTCTTCAGGCTTTTATAAAGATTCAGTTACAGAACACTAAAATCCAAGCTCTCCAGCTTGATTCAATACAGGAGGAAGAGAGAAATTCACCCAATCATACAAAAAGAACCCTTTTTTTTTTTATTATTTTTTTTTTTTGGTGATTTTGAGAAGATACTGAAGTGTGGAACGAAACTTTTACATGCTGGGGAAGATTTTTATAAAGGTTTGTTTAAGGTGTTGCGATTCTGCGTAAGAAATCCAGATTGAAGTTTGTATCAGAAGAACAGTTGATTGGAAGAAGCGATAAGCATGGAGGAATTGGGATTAGAAATGTAGGATGAGGAAGAAGACGAGCAAAGGGAGGGGGGGTGGTTGGGGGGGGGGTGGCGATGAGCAGAGTTTGTTTTTGTTGGGTAGCAAATGACGATGGGAGAGTGAGATAATATAAGGAGGGAGGGGGTGGGGTGGGGTGTAAATGGGTGTCGTTATTACATCATTCACTGATATAATTGAATTAATAATTAAGTAAATAAATAAATAAATAAATACAAGCTGACAGAGAATCAAAAAGAAAGCGAAAGTCAATGCCCAGAGAAGCACTCTTGTATTTGCATTATTACCGAGTCGACTCAACTCAGGTTGAGTCGACTCGCTCCCACTGTCTCTCTCCTCTCTCACTGCCTTGTTTGACCAAACTTAACAGTTTTTATTTCCTCCTGGTTTCTTTCTTTAATTATTACACCATACAGTCTTAAGGGTTTGTTTGTTTTTGATTCAAATGCAAGTTTTTATATAAATTTTAATTTAGATACAACTTCGTGTCTCGTAGAAAGGTTATTGTAAATAGATTTTTTAATATTAGTATTATATTAAATTATAGTGAAAAAAGATAAAAATATCTCTATTAATTTTATGTAATATAGTGTAAATTAAAAAAATATTTATAATAATAATCTTAGACGAACATAAATGAAAAATAACAAACTTTTAATGAATTGAATAAACTATTATTTGGATATAATATATTATAAATAAACAACATATATATTTAGAAATATATAAATCAAATAATATTAATTTTTGTTTAAGATACAAATTAAATACACTTTAAATTATACTCCCTCCGTCCCAAAATTATAGTCTAGGTTGTATTCGGCACGTAAAAAGTACTGGTAAAAGACTTTTTTACCTTTGTGAGTGTATTAGTGTAAAAAGTAGTGATCATTGTATAATAATAATTAAAAAGTAAAGATAACTTTACAGTTATACGAGTATTTATGAAAATGAGAGAATGCACTTGTGCTTAATTAATATTGAATAAGAAAATCAAATAAGCAAATCCTATTATTTCTTTATTATTTATTTTTATATTATTGTAATATAATATATATAATTATATTGTAATATTCAAATTACATAGGTAACTAAATGTATTTATAATATTTGGATAATACAATGTTCAATAATTTACTTATATTAATATTATAATATTCAAATTACATAGGTAACTAAATTTTCTTTACATGATTGTTTATACAATATTTATTTTATTTTTATTTTTATTTTTATTTCAACGTATATGATATAGTTCATGCTAATTTTTTTTGGTTTAGTATTTTCAATTTTTTGCCATGTAACATTTCGAAAAACATATTAAGGATGTATTCTTTTATCACATTTTATTCAATTTTTATTATTTATTAAATTTTTTACTTATCATCTCATGGTCACAAATTCACCCCGCATACCATCGAGTGATTCCTTGACACCTCAATTATATTATTATTATTATTATTATTATTGCGTTGGAGGAGTTTTCTTTCTATCACGTTCACTTTTCACGTAGATTTGTATGTTTAGAAGTAAAATATTATTACATCAGTCAGTGAAGTAGTAAAATATAATAAACCAAAATTAAGCAAGAGTCCATAACACACGAGAATATAACTTACTGTTCAATTGGGCAACCTCCACGTGTATGTATGTTATTTAAATGAGTGCATAAAATAATGTAGAAACCACAAAAAAGCAAAAAGAAAAGATGGTGGTAATTATTTATTTTTATTTTTATTTTAAATTGTAATTAAAATAGTGAATTTAAATCTCATAATTTCATATAAATATATTAAAAAACTCAATCACATTTTTATTAGATGCAGGCAATTGCAATTCAATGGTATTTTATTTCAAAACTTTTATGTATGATTTTTTTATAAAAATATATTATTTTATTTTATATGATATCAAATCCAAACTATAGCTCAGTAATAAAAAATAATAATAAATTCAAATTCCAAAAGTAATTAAAGGATTAAAACTCTATTTTTTAAAAAATTAATTTAATATTATTTTTCAAAACCATTCAATACATAGATGCAACTATTTCAACCTATTTAAATACAAATAAACATGCTCCTATTAAAATCAATTAATTAATTAATATATATATAGTACATAAGTGAATAAATTAAATGTTTAGATGGGGTCCGGTTGAGTGGACTAGACGTGCATAATTTGTTATATTTAGCAGCTAGCAGCCCGTGACGACTTCTTTCGGGGTACTATTCTCACATACACCCCTCAACATTATATATTATTTATTTATTTCAATAATTACGGCCAAGGTCGTAGCATTTATTTAATTAATATTTATTGTGCTCGATTATGATTGTGTATATAAAAGTATATCTATTGGTGTTATTCCGTGCATGAATTTCCCAAACACTTTCTTTTTCTAAATAAATGTCGGCTATATATTTCAATGTATATTTAAATAAAACAATTTTTCACGATCTTATATATTTTAATTACTATCAAAGGTCAAAAGTAATAACTATCTATACATAAAATATATTTGGGCGGGAGTAACAGTGCTGATTGTAATTAGTCCTCAAATATAAATAGACAATACAAAATATATATAAACACAACACATAATGTAATATTAGTACATAAAATATATATTACATAAAAAATTTATATGCAAAAAGTAATTGTAATTGTATTACAATTAAGGTTACAATTTCCTAATTTAGTAATTGTATTACCTACATAGCATAATAAATACCCTTCAAACTTACACTATATTACACAAATATCATTACTTTTATATTACATAATACTAATAGGGGTATTTTCGTCTTTTTCGCTGCAATTCATTATAATACTAACATTAAAAAATTTATATGCAAAAAGTAAATGACAACCTTGCACCGGGACGGAGGGAGTATTATATTTTAAAATATTCAGCATAATTTATTCAGCACTGGATACATACTCTTATTACAATACACATATAAAATAGAACAAATAACATATACTAACAGTTTATACGACACATGTATACATTGTACTAATTCAAATTATATATTTTGCAACTATATTTTATGTATTAATTAGAATTAATCAGCATCCTAACCTAACAACTCTCGTAAATTTGGATAGTGAACAAATATATAAATATTTGGAAGATTTATATAGTAATTAAAAATGTATAGCCTTTGAATGTTTGCATATTTTAGTTTGCAAGTATGGAAAAATGCTGTACATATGTAGACAAATACATATTTACATTTAAGGAAGAGTCGAATATATTCATGATATAAATATAACAGAATAAAATAAAATATATAGCCGTAAGAATGTAATGGTCCATGCATGGTGTCAGAGGAACAAGTTGGTTTAGACTTTAAAGACTATATATATTATAATTATTATTATTATTATTATTACTCCGTTCGTCCAGCTAGAAAGTATACATATTTTTATTTTGGGACGTCCAATTACAAAGTAAATATTTAATTAAATACGTTACATTTTTTTCACAAATACTCTTATTTTACATCAGATAATTACTTTTACACAAAAAAATAAGGGTAAAAATGTTATTATACTATTTTGTTAACTACTCACTATAATTAAAATATTATTATTTTTTAAACACCGCGCCAAAAGTAAATGTTTACTTTATGTGTGGACGGAGAGAGTATTATTATTATTATTATTATTATTATTATTATTATTATGTGCATTATTGTACTAGGGTAGAAGGAATAGAATAAAGGGGAGGACAACTACTTCATTTCTCTATATTCTCTATTATTTTTCTTTTTAATTTTTATACTATATAATTTATAATAAAAGTATAGTTTTTTTTTTTTTACAAAATATAAGGGATGTGCTTTATATTTTTGGATAGATATATTTTTTCATATTTAATTTTATATTTTGTCAGATTATTTGTGTTATCTTTTTGTTGGAAAGATTTACTAGCTATATATATATGTATATATATATATATAAAAGGAATAGAAAAGAAAATTGTAAATAAGGACATTTTTAAAATATTTTAAATTAAAAGTATATATATATTTTTTTGAAATGAAGATAATAGTATTATATTTTAAATAGTTTAGTTTGTACCTATAATTATGAAAAACAAAAACACACATGCAAATATTTATACAAAGGTGTGCTTCTATTCAATTTGAAATGAATTTTAAGATTTGAGCTTTTGATTTAGTGAAATTCAAATAATAATTAAAAAAAAAAAAAATTGTGTGGAGACTCAAAAGCTCTCTCTTTCACTATATATATATATATATATAGTTAGACTCATAGGAGAATATATAGTGATAAATATAATTAAATATTTTCAATAAACTGCATATATCTTTAATTATACAATGTTCACAAGAAATTGTGCTTTGCCTTTTTTCACTTTTCTGTTTTTGCTTTAATGACTTATTTGAATATATTAATTATGCTTCATTTTAAAATACACAAAGGTGAAGCTCATTGACGCTCACATCATGTATATGAATATATAATATGATGCTTATCAGTCCTAATCATCATTGTCTTAATTAGCTCATACATAATAATAATAATAATAATAATAATAATAATAATAATAATAATAATAATGCTTTAGTTAATCTTGTCCTCAAGTTAAAAATATCTCACCGTTTGATTTACAAAAGTTTGACAATATATATATACTTTGGATACCTATTGATAGGCATTTTTCAAAACTTTTGAAGTAAGCATATCTTATATATATATATATATTATATATATAGTTACATTAATTAATCATTTTTCTTAGCCCATTTAGAGGAGTTATACAAATTGTTCAACTCGCTTAGAAGGTGGAAATTACGAACTTACAGTGCAGATAGTACAATAATATATATCAAATAACATATTAGACATAAATCTATAGCACACATAAAATAAAATTAATAGTACGCACTAATATTTTATATAACATATGTTGTTTGTTATGTCTATACTATTTTTATGTGCTGATTGAGACAATTAACATGGTGTAGGTAAATTTTCAATCATCAACCTAATCGAATCTCACTTATAATGTCGACATC